GTTAAAGCATAACACTAGCCACCCTTGGCAAGGGTATATAATGAAGCGAGAAGATAGATCTATACTAGATAGGGGGGAGAGGACCTTTTCTCCTTATCCAACGTCTTGTACCTACACGTAGATATCGAACGTAGTATATTAATCTAGCCTACCTAGGCCTTAGACATCTTGCTCGTTGCTCTCGTGATAGATTAGATAGGTGGAAACCCCTTATAACACTAATATCTAAATAGTTACTATAGAGACTTAAGAAATAAATACTTAGGTTATAATTGTTACTAAGGTTATAAAAGGCTACCTACTAGAGCTATATAGATAATATACTTCTATATATCCTACTCTTAGAGTAAGAGCCTCCCCTAATGAGGTAAATATTAGAACTCTAGGTATCATACCATATCTTCTAGATTATAGGATATCCATTGAGACAGGGCGCAGCCTGGGACGATTAGTTCCAGGCTAATAGTAGCTAGCTATAAAGGCTAGGAAGCCGCTGGATCTAGTCTAACAGCGATTCTTCTCTCCTACAATCTACTTTGGTTGCCCGTCTTATACCTATCTACATTGCTTGCTTGTGAATCCTGACATTAGCTACCCTTAGGATTTAACACCTCGGTAGACCGATCACTACTCTACTGGCAGGCACTGTGAGCTGTATCACGAAGTATAAGGCTGATATATTGTTCAACCATATGGTCACTGGCCCGAAGCATATCTCCAGCAGGGTTGTTCGGCGGTGAAAACTCATGACAATGCAGCCCTAGAGAGTAGTGAAACGAACTACATCCATCGCGGGGCCATACTCACCTAGGGCCATTTGTCACTCACAGATAATGATCAACATGTCGACGGAACACTAATCAAATTGACTTCAGATATAATGGATATGATGCAGTTTCACAGCAAGTCCCGCGCCTATAGAGCACTCCAAGTAAGCAAAGCGTTTACTCTTTCCTCTCCAAAACATCCTCAACCTTCGCTTCCAGCTTCAATACTTCCGCAATCTCTGCCACAGCTTTCAGAATTTCATCCTTCTTCCCGTTTTCCTCCCACTCCTTTAGACTCGCGTCTCCAATCCTCCCCTCATTAACTGCGGACATCAGATCCGACCCTGCCGCAAACGGCAGTAGCACTTTAGTAGGCACGACCTTCATTTGCATAACGATCCCCAAGCTCTCCGCCAACTGCTCATTCGCCTTGCTGCCGCCGTGCACGCCATAGCTGATAATCGCGACTGGTTTTCCTGGCCACTCGTTCTTCAGATAGTCGACCGCGTTCTTGGTACCGCCAGCAAGGCCGTAGTTGTACTCTGGAATGACGAAGATGTACCCTTGGAAGGAGGCGATGGCGGCGGACCATTTCTTGGAGTGCTCATGGGTGAATTGCTTCATGGCAGGCACCATAGCAGGCATAACGGGTTCGTCATAGACGGGGAGGTTGAAATCTGCGATGGAGAGAGGTTCGATGGTGAGACTGTCTGAAGAACGAGTCTTGAGGATGGAATGCACCCAGGTAGCACTACGCAATTTGTGCACAGTCAGCGCTTCTAGGGAGAGTATGGATAGATGATACGCTTAGATAGCGCGTGCAAGGGTTGATCACCAGCAGTCTAGGACGACAGTCTGAGTACTGTGTGTTACCCCAGGATCGGCAGTACTCAGGCTGATTTTACTCGGAATTTCGTCCTGATGCTGTACGAGGGAAAAAGGTGACCCGGCGCTGGAGAAGACGCAAACACCTTGAACTAGGAATTATCTTACACATGACTACCTGCCCGCGGCGTGCGCGTGCTACCTATGATGAGAGCAATCCTTAACATTGTGAAGGGTAGAGAGAACGGAACAAAGTGGTAAGATGGATTGATTTAACACGACATACCTATCGGGCCGTGGGCTGCTAGTCACATATATAGTCTTTTGGTGGTAAGATCCAAGGTGGGTATCAGTATTAGAAATGCAGCTATAGTAAGGGATGAATTAAGGAAGTGCATGGTATGAGAAAAAGATGCTACACACACATGGGGGATATGCATGTTGTTCACCGGACTGGACATGGCACTGTGTAAGCAAGGTGAATCCGGGAAATTTTTGGCCCAAGCACCAATCAACAGGTGCTAATGTGCAGGCAGTAACAGGAAGGACGTCCCCACGCTCGCTACACACGTGGTATACGCTATCTGTAGATACCCGGAGTCGCTGACAAATGACTAATACTCACGTTCGGATGCGGATGTTGAAGCATCCGGTTCCCCATGTTGGTCATGTAAGCATAGCTGCACTGAAAAGACAAACATGGTCAAACGTAGCTATTCGAAGGTATTTCTAAGCATGCGAACCATAATCAAGGCAGCAGTTTGCTCTCCGACTCGGCTTTTTGCCTGTACTCTGTCATCGGCATAGCGATCAGCCCTGAGTATCCCACGTCGCCTTGCGCCTTCTCCATCTTCCGCATAATCTTTCCTACTATGCTCGCAATCCACCTGTCGTTTGCAACGACATTGACCGTCTGGATTCCAGCCTTCCTCCAACCGTCCTGAATCTTAGTGTTCATACCTTTGAAGGTCTTCGCCATCCCCGCTTTCCATGCGGCATTACGGTTGGAAGCTGTAGATTGCGTGGAAGCTGGAACCGAGGCTTGCGATCCGGTCGTTGCGGCGTCGGATTCATTCGAAGACATGCTCGTCTGATCCGACGTGACACTCTCTGAAGCTATAGAGTCCACTCTACGGACCTCCATTTCAAGCTTGTCAGTTTCCGCCCGCTTAAGGACAAGTTCTTCGTGCCCTTTCTCGACCTCGATGACCTTTGTCGCCTTCACAGTAGCAGCAACAAAGTTGAGTAGCTCCTGATCGAAAAGCGCAGGGAGATGTCCATGAACCGCGATTTTCATACAAGTCTCATCCTTCCGGCGTCTCTCAAGATCCTTCTTCATTCGAACAGCTTGAGGTGTGCCAGCCATTTCTTCGATCTCTTGCTCCATTCTCATCTCGTCGAAATCGGTTAAGATAGGCGGGAACAGGTGTTCATGGTGAGGAAGGAGATACGAGGGAAGAACAAAGGTTGCATCCGCTCCTCCAAGATGCACGACCTGCGTAAGGCTGACTGCCTCCGGAAGTGTCCTGTGCGCCATGAGATCTCCAATTTTGAATTTACATTCAATGTCATAGTCTGTATCAACCGGTACGTGTGCTGTACAGAACAGGTCGGTAAGGCCTACTGCAAAATTCGCATCCGCAAGCCAAGCCGATATGCGACTCTCTAAACGCCGGACCTCGGCGTCTGATTGGGAATAGTGCTTGAAGAAGTGGTCCTTCATGAGCGAGACAAACCACTTTCCAGAGCCAGCTGATGTGACAGATCTGATGTGAATAGGATGGAAATAACTGATCGGATTGAGGAGGAGGCGGTACAGGAGTGGCAGGCGATGTAGGAACCTATTGCAGTCGTATCAGCTTGGATACCATCAAATGTGCCATAGTGTACGTCCTATCTACCAAAATACGTACTTCTTAAAGTTCGGATGCTTGTTATGCGAAAGCGTCGTGAGTCGTATCGATTTGGTAGGAGGATGCATCACGGTCGGTTGTTCGTGAACTTGGGCACAAACAGCTGCACGGAGGTTATTGTCGGAGTCAAGAACGCCATCGACGTCGCGCTCTTTCGCAGTCCTTTTCAGCATCTCTTGAGCAATGTGGCTGGTGCTCGTATTCAATATATGTCGGGTGAACTTGTCCACTTCGATGCGAGCCTTCTCTTCGTCCGGCGATAGTTTCCGAACAAGCTGGCCATCCGGTCCAGGGCGCTCAACCGCATCGCCAAGCTCTTCCTGAATTTCCGAGAAGCCATTTTTCGCTGAAGCGTAAGCTGCCTTCAATAGAGGGGTATCCCTTGCAATGAGAGTATCCTTGGACATATCGCGCTCATTCGGAAACTGTCGCACTTCTTTGAAAGTCATTTCGTCGCGGCCTTTGACATTTGCATAGACATCCCCAATCTGAATTCGACGGAACAGCGCAACGATGACCTTGTCCGTTTGTATCGACAGCTCCATATCATCGTCAAGCTTAACCCCGACTTCAATCCCGTAAGCGGTGGCCGTCAAGGTGGACAGCGAAAACGTGAGGCCCCGAACGACGAACAGTCCAACGGTGTCCTTGTCGATTTCCAGAGCCGGCAGATCGAACAGGCTGATGGAGTCCTGGACAATGTGGCATTCATGCAAAATGTTTTTGAGGTAACGTCGTACGATTTTTGCGGCGAACCTGAACTGGAAGAGGCAAGACAGCGAGAGCGCGGTGTAGCAGGCTGCGGCAAAGCCCCAATACAGAACCCAGGAGGTGGAAGCCACCACGTATGTCACGCATATAATCATGAAAATTGCCCATAGTGGTATCAGTGGAAAGACGCGCTTTCCATTCCACTCGCCTATTGCCAGCGAACAGGCCAGAAATGGGGTTCCAGATAATATCCATCGCCAGCTCAGAACTGTAGTCGCTAATAATGTGAAAGCCAGATAGGCTAGAGGGGCGAATGAGCTCTTCGATTGCAGTTTTGGCGGTGCTGCATCCGGGATAGTATTGATAGGAATAGGCTTTCTAGCTATTCCTGTGGGCAGGGCCGCCTGTTTATCTTCCTGAGATGTAGGCTCCATGGTCGTGTTCTCGGAGCGTGTGTTGCCCCGATGTAGGGTGCAGAGGCGGGTTGACGAGGCTTTGTTGGAGGATAAATCAAGCCTGATCCATGGTTGTGGCTGTGATATTCTGGGCTGCGTCTTAAGGCTAGGTGTTCCTTGAATACTAGAACAGTCGCGAGCTCGTAGGTATGACGTAGTCACGAAGCGAGTGCGGTTCGGTTAGCGCGAACAAGGGTTTGTTCCGATCACTCGTACAGCAAATTATCGTGTCGTAGAGACAGTGGGAATAGGTAATGTTCGCGTGATCGATTGAATAAAATCCATGGCGGAAGTCCCTTGCGCATCTGAGGCGTCTAGCGGTTGTGACCCACGTTTTTAGACAAGCCAATCGCGACTACCACGTTAGCCACGCAGATCGCGTTAGTATTTGAGCTTATTTATTGCATCTTATTGTGAATCGTCTTCTCATCAGGACATGTATACAAGTGAGCAACATGTGCGGCATTATTATTCGTACTCTCAATACTCCATTGCCTCCTCAAACAACCCTCTCAACTGCTCCCTCTCTGTGTCCACATTGCTCATTTCTAGGTTCGGCGCCAGCATCAGCACTCTTGCTTGCGGAATCGTTCCTTCTACTAGTGCATCCAGATGTTCGTTTCCGAATCCTAGATGCTTTAACCCTCTCGGCTGGTCACCAAGTTTGATTAAGAACTCTGCCAAGGCCTCGCTGAGTACTTCGCCCGCAGACTCCTTCTTCACATTGCTGATGTCAACACCAAACGCTTCCGCAGCCTGCAGATGCCGCTCAGGATTTGATGCAGCAGTGAACTTGAAGACTGCAGGTGCCGTCACGGCGACTGACACGCCATGAGGGATGATCTTATGCTCCACCTCGTACCCAGCGTGTTTGTAGCCGGGGTTCTGCCCGGATATGGGATACGACATTCCATGGCACAGATGAACGCCTGCATTACCAAAACCAACGCCTGCCAGAGTAGCAGCGAGCAGCATTTGCGACTGCGCTTCGTGGTCTTCGGGGTCCTTGACTGCGCGCGGGAGATACTTGACCGTATCCCTAAGCGCCTGTAGTGAGAAAATGTCCGAGATGGGGTTTGCGCCTTGGTAAGCTGGTCTTTGAATTGGGTTTGCAGGCCGTGGCGTACGCTCGTAGAATGGTATCGCAGTCCATGACTCGAGGGAATGGCAAAGCACGTCCAGGCCAGAGGATGCATGAACTGCAGAAGGCATCGTACGGGTGTTGAGTGGATCTACTATGCCTAACGTAGGTTTCAGATTTCGATGCGCAATGCCAGTCTTAGCACGTTTCGACACTAGATCAAAAATGGCGGTCCCTGTAGTCTCGGAGCCGGTTCCGGCTGTGGTAGGTACGGCAACTAGAGGGTAAAGCTTTGACTGAATCGGCATGCCCTTTCCTAACGGAGCATTGACAAAATCCAGAAAATCAGCCTCTGTTCGTGTCAGCTGGTGTCGATCTCGAGGCACGAAGGTAACGACATACCAGGAAACGTGGTATACAAGTTCATCAACTTGGCAGTGTCGATGACGCTCCCTCCACCCACAGCCAAGAACGCATCCGGCCTATATTTCTTGCTGACCTCGATCGCCGCCTTTATGCTGTCATCCTTTGGCTCGACTCTCACACCATCGTATATCTCGAATTGTATACCCTCCCTTGTCAGGCCTTCCACGGCCTGCTTCATAGCATCCAGCTTTCTCACATTTCCATCAGTGACCACCATGACGCGCTTGGACCCCATATTGGTGAAGTCCATGCCCACTTCTTTTGTGCATCCAGGCCCAAAGCGTATCGACGAAGCTGCCATCTCGAACGCGTACTCCTTCTGGTGCGAGGTGTCGAGAGGCGTAGCAAGATGGCGGCGTGCTTGATGTATGGTGGAAGGCGTGTGATGGTGGTGCGCAGGGTTCGAGTGGCACGGACATGAGGGCGGATGCGTGAACTGTACAGTGCGAAGCAAGTTCATGGCGCGCGCTGCCCGTGAAGGCGATATTCGAATAGCGGGCGAGATAGACATGGCGTGGAGTCTTGAACAATACAGAATTAGCAATTGGAAGGAACTATATTCAGGGGGGATGCCCTCTACCCCCGTTTAGAAGCAGAAGAGAGGTGGTGCTTGTGCGAGAGAGGGGAACGATGCGTCGCGTGCGGAAGCGGAGCGGATGATGCGGAGTGGAGCAACTGGAGACTCAACCGAGGTTGTGGGGTAACATCGTCATCTTGTGGGGAGGCATGTATCATTTCGAAAAACCATCCTCAATCTTTGAGACACAGTGGCTGCCGCAAAAACTGGACTCTTAGAATACCTAATCTTGTAAGAACTTACCACGTAAAGCCCATCCTGAAATCCTACAGCCCTAGAAATTGGAGTTTTTGTCACCCACTGCGAGGCACGCACAAACACAGTATTATTAGGCATTGAAACTCAAAAATCAGTGTACTCAAATAGCCCCAATTGGTATCATCCCCAACGACATCAAACCCTCAGAACCGTTTTCAAAGAATAACGCGAAGAGCATGTGCTTGTAGTACCGCGCCGTTGCCTCTCAATGCTAGTACTGGCCAGGCTCCCTTCCCACGCCACTCGCTGGAGCGGCACTGATGGGCGTTGGCCCTGCAGTTCCAGTCGTGCTAGTTCCAGTCGTGTCGCTTCTTGCCAAGCCCGCAGTGTCGGTTCTCAGCGGCAAGGGATGCTTTCCGTCCTCGACCTCGCTGTTCTGCTTGCCAATAGGGCTCGTCGGCGTGCTGCCTTCTGGCACCTCGGTCGTCACCTGACCAGCAGCCTGCCGTACAAGCTCCCACCATTGGCTCGCCGCTTGTGGCGTATGTGCTTTGAATTGGAATTCATGGCTCATGCTAAAAGTGTTTCCAACCTTACCCTTGGAGACGTCCTTGCCCTTGACATTGAACTTGCGGTCAGATAGGGCACCAACCACGCAATCAGGTAGGTACAGCGACGTCTCTGGGACGGGGTCCTTTGCGAAGTCATCATCAGTCTTGAATTCATGGAGGAATTTTGACGGCGTGACAACATAATAGTTGGTGCTGTAGGAGCGAAGCTTGCCCTTGCGCTCGAGGGAACCGGCAATAAGTGGCTTAGTTGAGCGGTGGTTTTGGTTGGGGAAGGAGATGTTGGACACGGAGCGCGCTGGCGCGCTGGGGTCGATGAGGATGGTGTTGTTACGTTGGACGAAGCCGTTCCACTCAAAGTCGAGCGGGATTTTCTGCGCCGTGCCCACCATGTCCCCGTATGCCATCTTGGTCTGTTCGGCCTGCGTGTTGACCACCTGCATGAACTGGCCCATGCCTCCCTGTATGGTCTGAATAACGTGGGCTTCGAACTGAGCGAACGAGTTTTGCACGCTTATCAAGTCTTGTCGGTTGTTGTTCTCCTCCTGGATCTGCTTGTTCAGCCGATGCAGGACGCCGCGCTGGAGGACGTAGGGGTCCTCTGTCGCTGTCATCTTGCCGCCATGAGACTCGAACGACGCCGTGTGCGAACCGAGGAGCTCAATGTGCTTTTGGGTCACGGAGCGTGCCTTGTCGACCGCTTTGGAGCCCTTGCCGGCGCCTTTGGTGAGCTCCTTCGTCTTGTTCTTGATCTCGGTATGCAGGCGCTCGAACACGGGGAGGACGGAGCCCTTGAGCTGCTTTGCAGTCTCGTAGTGCTGGTTGGATAGGCCCTGCATAGAATTAGCAGCCGTCCGCATGTGACGTTCTGGTACACTTGGCGCACATACCTGTGTGTTCGACCGGATGTTTTCGAACATGCCTGCAATGCCCCCAAGCGACTGGTCGAAGTGGTGTCCCTCCTTAAGCGGATCCTTCACAGTCTACTTGACGTCAGCCATGGGACTCGTGCTGCTCCTCATGTCGCGCACCTTCAACACTCTCTCGTACTCCTTTCCGTGCGCATGATGCGTCTTCTCTGTCGCCGTGATGTAGTCCTCGAGATAGCCCACGGCGTGCTTCCATGCTGCCAGTCGCTCGGCGAACAGCTTGGTCACCTCGCTCGTGTCTTCTCCTGGAATGGCATCGTCATCGCCGTTTGTGAGCGCTCGCGAAACTGTGGGTGAAGTTGGCGAAGCCATGCCTGCAGATGTAAAAGTCGCTGTCGCGGTACGGTGAATGCAGTGGAACGTCCCCGCAAGCAAGCGAAAAGAGAGGGTGGGGTGATGTAATGTATTCTCGGGAGCAAGGGTCTGGGCGAGGAGAACAAAATGATTAAGCCCACCAGAAACGCAACGAAGAGCACACTGCCAGCGTTTATATCCCCTGGAAATACAGCGCCATGCCTAGATCCCCGCGACTTGCGCCCACCTTTCCTGGAACGGCTGAGAGAGGACCATCAACAACTACGTCATCCTCAAGATCAGCACAGGGGTCGCCTTATCCACACTTCCGCCTCCGCCTGACGCGAGTGGCTGTTCGAGATTTGCATTTGGTCCTCCCGTCCACTTTCAAGGATGGACTGGCCAGACGTGTCCACCATCAGACTTGCCTGTCTCTGGGCCGATTTGCGTGCCACCACTTCGGCGATGCATCTCCTTTTTGGTACGTAGCATGCGCATCGCATCAGACGACATCGATCTCGGACGCTCGGAGAGGCCGGTCCCCACACGAAGCCACCACGGCCGTGGTCCGTGTATAGGTTATTGGGATCAAGATCCGCCAATTAAACGATGCGAACGGGTAGCGGATTTCAATGGTGAGGATGTTTCTGTTTTCTACCGGACTATACGAGCATCTGTTCGATGTGACCACTGTACAATGCACCTGTATCCGGCATCTTCGTGGACTACCGACTTCACTCGATAACCCCATCATCTCTCATCCATCAGCACCCCTGGCCGATCCAGTCCAAACCCTTGACTCCACCCATGCCCGGCCCATCTACATACAATACGCCACGCCATGGTCGACCTGGCCAACGATGAACGCTCGATAACTCCGAGCTAACTACAGAACGCGACGGCTAACAGAAATGATGACAGCGAAACCATGCTTATCTGGTACAAGAAAATAATGGCTTGGACAGGTAAATTCTCCATTTGACTGGCAGAAGACTGAAAGAAAGAGGCCGTGTGCAGACTGGCCAATCTGCTAATGCTACCACATGTCATCGTCTCTGCTACTTTGATCTGAGTCATCATAGCCTCCATACCCGTGCTGAGCTTTGGGTTGTCCCAAGTAACTAGAACTGTTTGCGACACTATAGCCGCCATTAGAGCTGTCATAGTTCGAATGATGCGAATCTCTTGGGTCTCGTTGATGCTGCTGGTACTGTTGTTGACCGTGATCTTCTTCGTGCTGCGACTCAGGACCAGCATATTCGTGTTGCTGGTAATTGTGACTGTGACCGTCTTTCTCGGTTTGTTCCTGCTACAGAATAGTTAGCGATTGCACGTATATGCGCGAACGCAGTGTTCGTACCTGTTGATACCGCTGGTACTGGGAATACTCTTCCGGCTGCTGCTCTTGTTCTTTCTTTTGCTGGGCGGCGGCTTGAGCTTGGCGTTGCTGCTGCTGTTTGGCTTGCGCAGAAGTGCCTATTTGGATTTGCGGATGCATTTGCTGGACCTTCGCAAGATACGAGTACATGAAATTGCTCAACAGGACTTGCGAGTATAATTCGCGGCGAGGATTGGCGAGTTTGATATGAGCCATACGGTAGATGGCTCGCTCTTCCAAAATCGAGAATCTGGTCCAATTGTAGTCGATGTCTGGTTTGAGTACCCTTGGCGGTGGTTCTGGTGACAACCCACGCATTGAATTTCCTTTCTTGTGATGCGATTCTTTCTCGCCTTTCTTCTTGCCTCCACCGAAAATGGACGAGAAGAGGCCCGACTCCTTTTCCTTCTTGTTTTCATGCCCGGTAGATTTGCGGCTGCTCTCTTTCTTGCGTTCCTCTTCCAGCTTGACGCTCTCTCGATCGATCACAACACTCTCCCGGCCCCTGTTACTACCCTGGATAGAGTTTTGCAGAACGTCAAGCCTGGTGTCATCGTGAACTTGACCCTTGTCTTGCGTCTTGCTCAACTTATTCTTGACCTTCTTCGCAAGCTCCTTATCTTTTTCTTCTTTTTCTTTCTTGTCCCGTTCCTTGTCATCGCCTCCCAGCAGCCAGCCCCAGCTCGTCTTCCGCGACCCACCTTCAGAACTGTCCTTCTTGTCCTTGTGCTTTTTCTCCGGTTTCTTTTCCTCGACAAGATTTGGGATAATGGAGAGTGTGTCAGTCCTTGTACTATTGCCAGGAAGAGATGCTGGATGCGTAAGATCATCCATACTTTGTCCGGGCTTGATAGGTGAGGACTGCGCGGCCTGTGCATGCTTATTTTGTCTTGAAGCCTGGGGTGGACGCTGCTGCTGTTGAGGTGGTTGCCGTGGTCCTTGGGGTTGTGGTGCACTTGGAGGGGGTTGTCGCGACGAATTTCTCTCTGGTAGCTGCATTTGTTTCCGCTGCGGTTCTGGGGGAGGGGGTGTAGCGATGATCTGAGGCAACTGCGGAGCAGTATTGTGCCCAGGTAGATTAGCCGTTGTTCGACCATTGGATGCAATTCGAGAATGAAACTTTTTGGGCTGCGGTCTTCGGTCCTCTGTGGAAGACTCCGCTCTCGACAGGTCTTCAGATGAAGCGGAAGCTTGCCGGAACCCAGGAGGCGATCGTTGGCGTGTTGGACGAGAGAAATTTTCCGCGCTTTGGTTTGAAGGCTCCGATTGCACTCTGGTCAGAGACAGGTTAGACAGCTCATGTTCTCTGCCTTGTATGGGAGACGCAGTGGGAGATTCCTCGGTATCCGTCTCAGCTTGCCTCGCAACCGCTGCCCGGCGTGAAAACGGGACGCGCTCTCCTTTACGAATACTACCTCGTCTATAGTTTGTACGCGTCGAACGCTTCAGCGATCCTGGTCCAGCAATATTCCCCGGCAAGATGGGGACATCTTCGGGGTTGTCGTTGTCCGTGGCCGAGTTCCTTCGGGCTGCGTCAATGCTCATGCGCCTTGCCAAAGCAACAGGATCTTCTACAATGTTTTCGAGCTCTTGAAGCTGGGGCAAACCCCCACTCGGCTGCTGTGCCCCAGAACGTTTCCTCTCGAGGCGTTCTGCACCATCGCGATAGCCACTGCCGCTGTCGATTTGCCGTGATAGCATAGACTTCTTCCTTCGCAAACCCCCTCCGGAGCCCTGGCGTCCCAAAGCACCATCGGGCGACAATGAATCGCCATCGCCGGAGCGGCGTCTAATCGTGTCAACCTTCTCTTCTATAAATGTTTTGAACTCTTTGGGTGCGAGCTCCGGGTGCAATCGTGCAGGAACCCAAAAGAGCTTCGAAGGATCCTCGTCTTCAGAAAAGTGTTGAGGCGGCGCAGGCACGTTGAAGGATTGGAATGATGGCAGGTCGGGATCCGCTGTATTTACATCCATGGACATGCGACGTATGGCCTGCAGATTGCTGAGTTCCTGGGCGAGGCCGGCCGGGCTCGACTCATAGTCCAAATCGTGCAGGGGAAACTGCTGTGTGGCGGTATCCGAGTTGGTCCTTGTCAAGGGTGGCGTGGAGAGCGTAGGGGAGAGCTGCCCGTTGGAGGCGGCCGAAGACTTCCTCGCAAGCGGCGCGGGGCCTGCGGCATTGGGCGGTCGGTCGTGGTTCATCTGGGCACGCAGGGGCGATTTGGGCGGGGCGGCAGGGAAGGGGTTGAAGGGCTCGAGGCTGTCTCCGAGCGGGTTGCTGATGAAGCTCAGGGGCCGCGAGTTGCGCCTCATGGGGAAGTCGTCGTCGTGGCCATACATGTCGCCAATGGCTTCGGTAACGTGGTGGCTGTCATCGCTTATGGAGATCTGGGGCGCGTGACCGCGTCGCTGCTGGTATAAGCGCTCCAGCTCGCGCGCTCTGCGTTCCGAGTCCTGGCGGCGAGCGTCAGCATTCGAAGACGAGGGGTTAGCAATGCAGGACGAGGGGACCAGCGCGGGCGGCTGCAGCGCAGGTGAAAAGGCGCCGCGACCGCACTCCCGCATGCACGCACTGTGGGCCTTGAGTGACAGCTGCTCACCTGCATGTTGGCCGCCTGCGGGGAGGCGTGTTTCTATATGTGCCACAGCCGCGGAAGGGACAGCATCGAAAGCGATGGGCACGCGGCGGGCGGCGGTCGGGCGGTCGGCGGTCGGCGGTCAAGCGGTGCAGCTGGGGGCGAGGCTCAGAAAATGGCGTTCATGGCCCCAGGGAGGACGACGGCTGCTCGCAGAGAGAGTCGGACGGGCAGGGTGCGGGCGCTGTGGGAGCAGGTGGTGGTGCTGTCGTTGGTGTACAATGTTCCAGGCCGCTACTTCGAGCGCGCCTAACTGGATAATTGCAACGGCGGCCACCGCCCCCCTCCTACGACATCATACGGGCCCAGCCTGCACATGCGCATGCCTTTTCACCACGCACGCGCTGCCCCCTCGCCCGCGCTCTCGAGAACACGTACGCTTGAAGTTGCGAGCGCCTGTCACCTCAGTCGTCAGAACACACACTGTCGCCTTGTCACGCAGCCACACTCCCCGGGTGCCGGTCATGCGTGCGTCGACGGCACGTAGGCGCCCTGCCTAAAAGGCGGTGCCACCGGCCGTATCCAGTGCAGCGCCAGGGGTCCTGAGTCCGACGACTCGACAGACATTCAGCTCATGCGCCTTGGCGAACATGCCGTTGCACACAGGCTCGCTAGCCGACGTCGCCGCACTGTACATGCAGGGGCAGTTAGTCCGAACGTGAGAAGGGTTGATTATCGATTACACACTAACGTCTAGCTACCCGTTGTTCAGATAACTCCACTCGCTCCCATGCATCTATATGTTAACGGTGGTCAAAAGTAGAGAGGTTCAGAAACTATGAAGACGCGCCGTTGCGTTTCCAGATGAAGACGGCAGATGCTACTGCACATGTCACAGCGCCCAGCGCAAGATACAAGTTCAAGTTGTCGTAGGGCTCCTCGTCCTGCTTCGGGAAGGCCGTAGAGGGATGTGTTGCACACTCAGCCAGCTGCAGAAGGTCAGTAATTTACGCGAAGCTCCTACATCAAAAAGTGGTACGTACGTGGACAAAGAGCTCTGATATGCTGCTCCAGGTTGCACTCACATGCAGGGGAGCAGCCATGTTGAGCGTACTTGTGTATTCATCGGGCTGCTGCTCGCATCGCTGCATCGTCTTGTCTTGATCGGCCTTGAGGGCGGTGTAGACTGCCGGCAAATGGTCGAGGTGGGGGTATTTCTTTCGTAGCTCCACGATGTGGGTGAAACTGTCGGGGTCGCTCGAGTCGTACGTGTAACAGAGCAGATCGCAAGCATCGAGCTTGGCCTGGTTCTCGAGAATGGCTGGCTCCAACTCGCCAAGCTCTTCCAGAATGAGATAACACTGCTTGCCGCCTTTCAGCTCTACACTGTTCACAGCTGAGCGCGGTTTGATGGTCGGGTGGTACATGCTGGTGAACGGCCGTTGCAGAAATGACGACAACAGCGCGCTCTTCCCGCTCCCGCTGGAGCCCAAAACATAGCACAGGAACACGGTGCGCTCCACTCGCCCAGGCTTGTTACGCCTCTTGCGCGCCTTGGTGACTTTCAGCGCATTGGTCGTTCCGCCGCGATCGCCACTCTCAAAGCCAAGATAGGCGAGGTATTCAAGCGTCGTCTTGGGCTCTTCGAAGGTCGTCATGCTCCACTGCGCCAGCCATCCCTGCAAAGTAATGTATCCAGCTTCGTTGCGTACCGTGCATGATGGAAATGCCGAATCGACCCAGGACGCAGGAACGCCAGGTGTAGGTGCGAACAGATTAGCAAGCTCTTTGTCGTTCAAGCCTCCGTCATTGTCTCTGTCGAACTTCAAGAAGAGGTCCACGAAGAAACGGTACCCAGCGGGGCTTAGCTCAGCCGAAGAGTACTGCGGTACATCGAACTTGGGATGGAGAAATGTATCTTGAAGACTAAGACTGTCAGTGTAGTTGAATTTCCTGAGGATGATCCAGATTGTCTCGTGGCGACCCTTCTCAGCGAATATCTTGTTCAGCAACAGAAAGCCCTTCTCGTCCATCCCATGCTCCCCAGTAGATGCTGGGACTGATCTTTCAATGGACCGCTTGATGTTGGCCAAGTCATCCTCTCCCAATGGCTTCTCAAAACACTTGATCTGGAAATCGTGAATTTCCTCGTCATTCCAATAGCCATCCTTGTCCTTGTCGCAGAGGTGGAACACACGCTGCAAAGCGGCTACCGCAGCGGGTTTCAATGCATTTTCCTTGGAATCGTATAGCGGTGCGATGGGGTGCGTAACGGCCTTTTGGCACAGAAAGAAGACCTCGTTGATGTTGTGGTGTTCTTTTGCACTGGTCCGGATGCACGAGTCGATCTCCTTGAACTCAGTCATGACGGGGAGCATCTCGTCGGCGACGACCTGCGACGTTGTCCCGTTGGACGCCAGATCGGCCTTGTTCGCGCAGAGCACCACGGGCACATTGACGCCCAGGGACCGGAAGTACGGCATCCAGAACAGGGCGACGCGCTCATAGCTGTAGTGGTCCGAGTACACCAGCAGTATCACGTTGGATTTGCGGAGCTCTTTGCGGAGCGCATGGCGTTCGTGGGGCAGCGCCGAGGTGTCGACGATGGTGGTTGTTACGTTGTCTGGCGTGCCGAGCGTGGGCGGGATGGTGACTTGGGGGAGGACAGGCTGGATCTTGGCCGTGACGAAGACATCTTTGACGAGCGACGTGATGATGGAGCTCTTGCCGACGCCCTCATCGCCGCAAACACAAATTCGGACTGGGGCGTGTCAGTTGCGCGCGCGCTGCGCGTGGCCCAAGATACTCACCAGTGGCCATGCTGGGCGCACATGGTTTAGAACATGCTAAACGGAAGCAAATGGTTCCAGCAGAAGCGTGGTTGCGCGGCGGCCTACGATAGATACCGCGAGTGAGCTCGCCGATGAGCTGGCGGCGCTTGCGCTTGCGCTAAGAACCGCACGTGGAAAGCAGGTGCAGCAGTGGTCTGTCTGTCCCCGCAATAACGACGTGGGCTATGCCATCATCTGCAACCTGCCGAACCTCAATGCTGGCAGAACACCCGCCGTTATCTCCGTGGACGGTTCTGCGGGAGGCATCGAGGAGCACACGTACTCGTCCCGCACGACGGCTCCCAAGACGGACGCCGCCCCATCTGGTCACTGGGAATGGGCAAGCCACGCCCCTCAACTAGCGCTTGCGCTCCGCACCTTCTCCCCGTCTATTCGGCTGCACGATCCCGGGGTTCGCACGGCACCGCTGTCGAGCTCACGCATCTTCAATTGCCCTTATATTGCATAGCCGCCCCACCCCCATCTTGTCCCAGTCGCACCCGCTGCCGTGGTGCATGCCCTGACGCGCATCTTTGGCTGGCTGCGATCCGGTCCACGTGGTAGCAACGGCCCTCGTAGCTTCCGACTCGTTTTGCGACAGACTGCGCTGCTATGTTGTGAGTTCTCCCATGCTGCTGTGCCCAATCACGCGCCCTCCTCTCCGCCGCCGACAAGCTTGTCTGACACCATTGCAGTGTGCTCCCACCTCCACCCAGGTACCCTGTCGCGGGCTATCCTGGCGCCCCGGGCGGCGGACAGCTTATCGAAACGAACAACACCCTCACCCATCCCACCGGGCCTGAGCACCAATTGGTTGTTGGCGAAGGTACCCTTCCCGTAGCTGTATACAATCTATCTACCTGCTCACACTAGCATCGCGTCAGGCACATATGTACTTCGAGACAACCTCCACCTAGCCACGCCGCCGCCGCACCCTTCGGAGGCGCCCGTACACAACCCGAACCCACTCGCGACCACAGTCTCCCCGCCGACGGCAGGAACGAAGTTATCCATCGTAGTGGTGGCGCCTCGCCAGCAGTCGCATTCTCGATTATTCCGGCTTGATACCGCCAACAGCACGCGTTCGCAGGTACCACCAAGTATACAAGAGTCCCCGAACGAATCGAATAGCCAGGCCAGCGATGCGGGCTCGCAGAGCGTCAACGGCAACGGTGTCACTGCAGCTCCGCGCGAAGGCCTCCATGCCCCTGCGTTTGGGTCGGGGAACTCGGCGCTGGCAGTTTTAAATGGAAAAGACAGCAAGGATCCACTCAAGAGGCGGAAGCCGAAGAGCAACATTGTCAAGAGCAATTCATCTTTTGTTTCGAGAGTCATTCCCCACGAAGCCCTCACCAAGCGGCTACAAGAACACAACCCCAACGGACTATACGCTTTCGCGAACGTCAACCGCGCTTTGCAGTGGCTTGACTTGACCTCTTCGACCAAGGTATGTTGCATCTGGCCAGAGAATCGTTGCTCTCGTCTTACCAAGAACGTAGGAGGAACATTTCACCAAGATATTATTCACCAAGGCACACGCGCTGTGTCATGACGTGAACCAAAGCACAAAGGGACCGGGACACGTCGACATCATTTTAGGTTTTTCAACAGGCGACATCATATGGTATGAACCCATGTCGCAGAAATACACGCGCATCAATAAGAACGTAAGTGCAGGCGGAGCAGGGCGCGACAAGGGACATGTCAAACTGAAACCTTATCAGGGAGCGATCAACAGCACTGCCGTGTCAGACATTCGATGGCTTCCTAACAGCGAAAACCTGTTTCTCGCAGCGCATATGGACGGAAGTCTCATCGTATACGACAAGGAGAAAGAAGACGCGCCATTCGTTGCCGAAGACCAGGAGCAAGTCCAGGCCGAAACGGAGAAGAAGGCGCGACTTGTTGTAAAGAAGTCGGTAAATTCAAAGAATCAGAAATTCAATCCGGTGTCGTACTGGAAGACATCAAATTCGAAGATTAACGCATTTGCCTTCTCGCCAGACTGCCGACACGTTGCAGTAGTGTCGGAGGATGGCTCGTTTCGCATCATTGATTTCCTAAAAGAACAGTGGGTCTAGCTTATCACGCCGCTGATGATGGGCTAACTCTTCCAGATTGCTACATCAGTACATGAGCTATTATGGCGGCATGATATGCGTATGCTGGTCTCCGGACGGAAGATATGTTGTGACTGGAGGCCAAGACGACCTCGTCTCCATCTGGTCGCTGGAAGATAGCATGCTGGTGGCGCGTTGTCAGGGACATAACTCGTGGGTTACTGCAGTGCAATTCGATCCCTGGCGATGTGACGAGCGCAATTATCGTATTGGAAGTGTTGGGGAAGACTGCCGGCTACTTCTGTGGGACTTCAGCGTTGGCATGCTCCACAGGCCGCGAGCGGTGAGCTGTTGCAAAATTAGACTTTGGGAGAGGAGATGGGCTGACACAGACGCAGGCATCAGTGAGACAGCGCAGCAGCGTCACGTCGGCGACACTCAAGATGCAACGCACGCGGACAGATGGGTCGAACACGCGGTTGCGATCTAACTCGAACCTCACATCGGGAAGCATGCTGGACGAGGAAGAGGTTGTGCACGAAGTCGAGCCTCGGGCGCGAACGGCAATGCTGCCGCCAGTTATGGTGAGTTCCCGTCAGGGGTTACACGTGGGTCCACAGCTGAGGGAATTTCTGCAGGCGAAAAAGGTCGACGAGCATCCGCTGTGCTGGCTAGGATTCGAGGAAGATTGCATCATGACATCGTGCAGCAATGGTGAGTGCAGAGATTTCTTTGCTGGGCAGAGTGGTTGGTGTCGATAAGCTTATCTGTGGACGCGGCGGCGAAGCTTGGATGCAGGAACACCCGCTTTGGTGCCGCATGGCAGCCACACCCCGATCCATGCTCGAAACATGGTGATAACAAACGTCGCAGGACACATTCGAACGTACGACCGGCCGAAGGAGGGCGCCGGCAGCGAAGAGGTCTCGACGACAGCGAGCGCGAGCAACGCGTAGGACATGGAGACAGCTTGTACAGCGGCCGTGGGTTTGGGGGGCGCGTCAGAAGCGTGAGTACCAGCACACAGGCGCGCGTTGCTAGCTTGCGATTGCGAGGCAGCGGCCGAGAAGAGTGGATGATCTGAGGCGGCTGGCGACAGGGGCTGTTGGAGAGAGGGCCAAACCGAGTGGGTTTGCGCACTGGCACCCTGGTGTTCGGAACCCAGATAGCGACATGCTCCCGGCATTATCCGATTCACATGCACAAGGCCATGTTTCTGTGCGCACTGTTCGGGTGACTCAGCCCTACGGCGCCGTGCGTGATGCGCGCGCATGTGTGTGTTGCACCTGTCTGACGTTTGCCTGCTTCCAGAAGACGGCTTGTGCAGAGCCCCAACTCGCGACAGCCGACGGCCTGCAGGGGCACCGAGGCAGCGCAGCGCCTGTCGTGGCGGGCATGCCCATGCCCACCCACGGTAGGAGTCTCGGGCGTAGATCTACGCGCCGGAAATGGCGCGGCAACATCTCGTCTGCTGTGGCGCGCTCGTCCAGAATGTGTGCAGGCTTTTCTGCCGTCGTCGGCCCGAGCCTCTCGTCTCGTGTCGTCCGTGGCACCTCGTCGCACTGGCAGCCTCGCAGTCTACGTCGCTATCGATAAGACGTCCTGGTCCTCGTCGCCGCCAGCTGCAGCGCCGCTTCGCCATGAGCGATCCGCACTACTGTCGGCCTAGTGCCCGCGTGGGTCTGCTTCTGCGCCAGTGTGCTCTCACGCCAGGATCACTTGCGCCGTTCGCGGCGGGAGCGATGCTCGGATCTCTTGCTTTGTTGCGCCCTCGCCCGCCGGTCCCTCAGTCGACGAAAAACCAGGCCCAGCGGCGAGCGCTAACATTCCCTGGGTACTAATGACATGACCTGTCCCTTCTCGCTTGCTTGCTTGCTTGCTTGCCCAGACGACTTTCTCCCGTCCCACGCTGCCCGTTATTCCTCCATTGTGCCCGGCCCCAGCTGAGCACTCAACTACCCAGTCATCCCACCCTCAGCCACGCTCACATACCACTGCTTATACGCTTCCGCCCACGCCGCGCTCCCTGGTCCCTGTTGCATCCAGCCCGCAGCCCTGGCTCAGCCATTCGTTTCCCGAGCCATCAAGTACACGTCCGTCTGCCCGTGCAGCTCTTCGATGATCTTGTGCTCTTGACTTTTATTCTTCTTTGCTTCACACCATGCCTCGCACCGGCGGCGGTGTTTTTGGCAGGAATGCTGGGCCCGTCCTCGAGATCCAGTGAGTTTACGTCGCTGCCCGACGTTCTGCCCGCATCCTAATGCACACAGCCCGAGCTCGCCATTCGTTGTCTTCTATGGGGAACCAAATGAAGCCCAGAACACCGAGCTCACGGGAAAGCTCATACTCAACAACCCAGAATCCATGTCCGTCAAGAGCATTCGCATGACGCTTCAGGGCACGCGCAAAGTAGCCTGGCACACGACCAACACCGTTACCCCACAGCCGATATCCCAGAAGCAAAACTTCCTCCTCGAGAACCTTAGTCTCTTTCCCGTAGACGGCTCCAAGAACAAGGCGCACAAGATCAATGCTGGCGTGCATGAGTGGGAATTCAAGTTCAAGATGCCCTCCACGCTCGACGAGAGCATCGAGGGGCTACCCACAAACTGGGTTGTATACAACTTGAAGGCAACCGTAGACCGTGGCTATATGAGCAAGCCATTGACTGCCTCCTCACATATTCGAGTTATACGGACTCTTGGTCGCGATCTTATGGAGAGCGTGCCCATGGAACAGATCAACGAGGATATCTGGGCTTCTAAGATCGCATACAAGATCACAGTGCCTCAGAAGAACTATATCGTCGGCACCTCGATAACCGCCGACTACGTCCTGATCCCGCTCCGGAAGGGTGTCGAAATCGCAAACATAAAGATGGAACTCATCGAGTCGAGACAGCTCTTTTGCGATTACGCTGGGCGCAGGATCTCTCACACTACCGAAGTCCAGGTCGCGTGCACTGAGGGAACGATGCCGGAAAACTCCAAAAATCTTGTGCCCGATGGGGTTGAAGACGCCGACCAGCTGTTTGACGAATGCCACCGCTTCTCCATGACGTTGGATCTCCCCAGATCCCTCAAGAACTGCAGGCAGTCTGTAGACACCGAGAACATTCGTATATCGCACAAGTTGCGCCTGTACGTCAACCTACACAATCCGGAAGGTCACACGAGTCAGCTGCTGGTGAAAAATCACGTACACTTGTTTATCTCACCAAACCTGCCTCCGGGTGAAGATCAATCTGTCCTGGTCGACCCGCAGATTCTGTCGCAACAAGCTGTGCAGGACGAAGTAAACCAGAATGCTCCGCCAACCTATGGTCTTCATCAGCTAGATTCGCTCTACAACGACATCGATCCCAGTGGTTTCATGACGCCTGGTGCCCACGCAAGTTATGGAAGCAGCGGTGCAAACACACCCTTCTATGCTCAAAGCAGATCTGGTTCGGCGGAAGATTTGGCATCGCTGAATGCCATTGCTGGTGGTGGCGCTTCGGCAGCGGCTCTGCAGCATCGTCTTCAAAATCTTGATCTGAATTCGCAAGGCAGCCATTCACGGTTCTTACCTATTCGACATCACTCGTCTGGGGCCAACACCCCACATTCGCGACCAGATGGTGTTAATCATACGCCTCCTAGTGGCTACTTCGACAACCACCCTGACTATGACATGGAAGCTCTGACGCGCACACCCTCCTACAATACGGCTGTGCGAACGCCCGCTCGAACCCCGATCTCTGAGGACCTACCCACCTACGAAATTGCCACCTCCAGACCATCGAGTCCTAGCAGGACTCCCACGAGCAGAGGCACAACTCCTAGTCCAGCTCGCAGCCTTGACACACTGCGAGAAGAGACGGAGAGGAACACAGCGATGAATAGTCGGAGAGAATCTCCGAGGCACAGCGGTGACGGAAGGTAAATTCCCGTTCCGGCTCTCTTCCTGCATATCCCTTTAATCTACCTCTGCATTCCGAGCGTATGGCTGTTTTGTATTCCCCATTCTCACATGACGGGCACGCACCCCGTTCCATGTCCATGTTAGCACCATTGTCTGTTTGTTTCGTCGAGCGATTACATACTTAATACCCTCTTGCATATAGCCCCGTCAGTACTCTCACCCCTACAACATCCAATTCAACTTCCTCGGCATTTTCGCCGCACGCGTACGCTCCTTCGCATCTATCTCCGCGACGCACGAATGGGAGCGGCAGCTCCTCGCGATCACGGTCTCCTTCGCAGTCGTCCCAGCACTTGACCGTGCCACGACCAAAGCTTCGAGAACGATCCTCGACGAACAGCCTCCGCGAGACTATCGACGCGATGGCGGGATTCCGGCGGGCGCTGCGTCATGTCGGATGAGCGCGTTCTGGCTATCATTTCACTATTTTTCCTTCTTTCTTTCGACGGCGTTACTATCTGCACTACGACCTATCTAAACTACGACTGCACGTTGAGAATGCATCGGCACACTGGAGGGGAAAATGCATCTGGGTTTGGCATGTGTCCGCACGTGGTTCCTGCATGGCATGGCATAGGTGGTTGTCACCATCATCCACGGCATTACGTCTGCATTACGCATGGGCCCAGGAGGCATCACATTGAGTTTTTCTCTTATTCTTGTTCCTTGTACTTTTCGTAGCCTTAGCGCAATCGTCGGGATACCCACAAGGTGTTCTTCGCGTGTTCTTCGCGCGCATGGCGTTATCTTTTGTGGAGCCGGGTAGAAATCTAGGGTAGGTTGGCGGCGCGCATGGGCGCCACGAAATCCCACTCAGAGACAAGACTTGTGGACTTTATTTTTGCGTGACATCATGCATGGTGGCGTTTTTTAGTCTGGACACTGCCATCGTGGGGGCTTGCGGTGCTTGTGAATAGATCAGCAGGAGGTACATGTGCATTACGTCCACAGCATGCACATATCCTAAATCTGTCACGAAAACGTGGCACGCAGGCGTCGCCAATTCGTATTTCAGACCCTGCGTACGGATTGTGCGTCAGCTTCCACGTCCCCACGTTCGGGTAAGCCAGCACAGCCATGACATGTCGCATATTCTCACATGCATGCATCGCTGTCGCCGTCTAGGCCCTGCTTTTCACGTGGTCCCCACGTATGCGATAAGCACCGGGACAAAGAACGTGGGCCTCCACGAGGCGGAAGTGACCGCTAGGACTGGATGGAGATATATGCGAGGACATTGGTTGCGCGAGGTCATGTAATGGTACTTACATGTACTTGCAAAGCATGTTCTCACGTACGCGCCTGACGATGTGTCAACGCGCACGTGGAAGACATCAGATACACATGTGAATACTCCAGCCTCGCTCCGATGCACTGTGGTCTTGACTACTGCGGATACTGCTCAAACAGAAAACCCGCCGCAAGCTCGACATTCCCCTCGGTCGCATTCAGCGCAGCGACAGCCTCCTGGTTCGAGAAGCCCAGCACCACGAGCTTCTCCACCGTCTCTGCAGGCCACGGCGCTGGCGCCTCGGGCAGCTTCGTCACCATCTGCCGGATCTGCTCTGGCGTGACGCCCAGCATCGGGTTTTGCGTCTGCACCCGCGGTGCGTCTTCGACCCTCAACACTCGCCCCAGCGCAGCAACCCAGCCTGCCTGCACCGTCTCATTGTTGAGCTCCAGCGATGTAACGTGCACCATGTCCTCCTCGTGGTCTCCGCTGTTGAAGTACTCCCAGCCCATGACGCCACCAAACCCACCTCCTACGTCCTTGTACTTTTGACGCAATCGCGCGCAGACGTCGCGAAGTCTGCTTACGGGGATATGCCCCGCGCCATTTCCGGGGTTTGTGACTACCCCGAGGACGACCTTGGAGGGTGTCCAGCCCGCCGCAATGATGGCGTCGTACCACTGCGTCGACCCCGCGTCGCCCCAGCCACAGTAGAACTGCGTGTTGTACCACGCAATCTCTTTCCCGTAAACGCTGCATTCGAGCTCTGGGTAGCTGAAGCCACTGAGATGTGGCAGTGTAGGATGTAGCGGGTTGGGCGTCGGGCCGCTGGCGAGCAGAGGCCGCGGCGGGCGGAGATGTGCGGGCATGTTAGGATCGGGAATGAGTGCGGTGGCTACGGGCGCCATTGTGACGAGGAAGTCGGCGCCAAAGTCGGCGCGGAGGCGGGCGATGAGGCGGGTTATGGTCTGAATCTCTACTTTTTCTTCTACGTCGAGGTCGATGCCGTCGAGCTGGTGGGCGGATATGATGGCCTGGAGAGGCTTGTAGTAGGCTTCGAACTAGAAGTGTCAGTCTCAAGACTGGTGAAGTGTTCCATCTCATAGATGTGGTGTGCATACATTGTCCTCACTGCCTCCAAGACGCTCGTAGCTCCCTTGTGCCGCCCCTCCCAGCATGCCCAACACCTTCACTCCGCTTCCCTGGAGCCATTTTACTTCGCCCCAAAGCTGCTCGTAGCGCTTGTCATCCGGCCTGTGGTCATTCAGGGTGATGTTTCCCGGCCCCTCGTTCAAGTGGATAGCTGCGACGATGATGTGGGTGACGCCAGTGTTGTTGGTGAGCAGGGGCAGCAGTGAATGGTAATTGCCGGCCGAGTCGTGGAATGTCTGGTGGTATACAATCAGGCGTGGGCCTTGCGATGTCGGCAGAAGCTTTGGGGGAGTGGGCGGCATCGAGATGAGTGAGCTGGTGGGTTCGGCGAGGGTGCGGAGGTGCAAAGGGTCCGAAGCGCGTACCCCTCGCCGTTGTTGTAGGGCTGAGGCGGGGCAGTTGCGGCGAGAGCTAGCTTGGGGGCGGCATCATTTGCGGCCATCCCCTCGCAAGCGCATCAGTTAACCAGCGCCTCATGACGAAGGGTCAAAACATCTAGGGAGGTCCTACGAAAACCCTCTCCAGCTGCATCCACTCTCAAACACATTGACACAAATGACACGCTGTAATAGTGCCATTATCTTGGGAGTATACGCGGTTGCCGGAACACCTACCATGGTGATTAGAGCTGAAGTAGCATGGCACCGCGCAATTCGTAATGGAAATCATGAAATCCTCCTATTATGCACAGACCGCATCCGTGAGCATCATTGTCTAGTCAAAACGTAGCCTGCATGCCTCAAAACCCAAGCGCGAACAGGATATGGACCACTAACGCCGTACACTGCTTGCTTGCTCAGTGTCATTTCATCCAGCCAGCACGACAAAATACACGTCGAACCAAACACGCGACTTGAATATGCCCAGCTCCCTATGCTGCCAAACTCGTAAGATCGTGAAAACCGTCAAAGACTACTGCACCTAGTGGTAGCCGTTCCCATAGCCGTTGCCGTTCCCGGTACCCGTGAAGTAAGGATGAATGACTGCTTGCTTCGCTGAAATTCGGCCGGCCGGGTCGTATACAAGCAGCGCATCTAGGAGATCAAGGCCGTAGTCATCCAGAGTCGTGACTGTTGTGGCGATGTCTTGCTTTGCCCACTTGGGGAACGAGGACTTGTAGTCGGGAAACGAGGTGACGCCGGGCCACTCGACTTCAGTGGGGGTGCCGAGAACGCTGGAAAGGTCAGTAAAAATGCTGCACAGGAGAGGAGCACCGTTTACATACCGGAAGATCTTGAAGATCTCGTCAATCTCCGAGTCACCAGGGAACAGGGGCTTGCGCGTGCACATCTCGGCGAAGATGCAGCCAACCGACCACATGTCAACGCCAGTGGAGTATTGCCGACCACCAAGCAGGATTTCGGGCGAACGGTACCACAGCGTCACCACCTCGTGCGTGTAGGTGCGAAGAGGTACACCAAACGCGCGTGCCAAGCCGAAATCTGCCAGCTTGAGGTTACCATCTTTGTCGATCAAAAGGTTCTGGGGCTTCAGGTCGCGGTGCAGCACACGGTGAGCATGACAGTAGCGAATGCCCTGGCACAGCTGTGTCATGAACTTCCTGACGACTTCTGGGCCCATGGTAACTTTGAGTGTGGATCCCTCGGGCAGCGACTTGCCGCGGCCACCCTCGCTAGCAGGGAGCGCCTCCATGTACTTCTTGAGATCGACATCGAGGTACTCGAAGACCAGGTACAGCTTGTGGCCGTCGGCGTGCACGATGTTGAGCAGACGGACGATGTTGGCGTCGTTCATCTCCTTTAGCAGGGATATCTCGCGGATGGCCGTCGACGGCACGCCCTCGTCCTCGGCCTCCAGACGGATTTTCTTGAGCGCCACGATGCGCTGGTCCTTGGTCGACAGGTCGCGTGCCTTGTACACGACACCGTACGTGCCTGGCAGAGCGTGTTAGTGCGGGCTCGTATCGAGCTGCCACCAGCGAGCGCCCCGTGGCGGTGAGGTGCCCGCAATGCAGCAGAAGGAGCACTCACCCTCCCCGATCTTCTCCATCTTCTGGTAGTTCTCCATGCTGGGCTGGGGCGCTGCTCGCGTGTCTCTCGGGTGGCGGTCTGGGTCGCGGTTGCGGCAGTGTCGAGGTCAATTGCACGCTTCGTTGGCGAGCAGAGGGACGAGGGGCGTGTGCCGTGGAAAATTGACAGCGAGCGACGGCAGGGCGGGTGCGGTAGTCGTGGCGTCAGGCTCCGGAGCGACACACAAAAGCAACCTGCTGTTAGTATTCACGGGTCGGCGTGGAGGAGTTGGGATGTGGCCTCGGCGGGGCGGTGATGTTGATCTCGAAAAGTGCTGTTACAGTAAACACAGCTCGCCAAGCACTCGGGTCGCCCCAAGCAAATCACACAAAGAGACGCGTCGGGCGCGCGAACCCGCACCGCCGCGTCTGATTCATCGCCATCGCCCCACCACCACTCACAATCACCGCCATTCCCCCTCCATCCCCCTTCATCCCCCTTCATCCCCCGCATTGTCCCTCTCTCGTCCCCGCAGCGCTCTGTACAGGCTGTGCCAGGTTGCACGGCATGCCTGCGCTTGACCCGCATGAGCGCCCGCCGGAGCGCATCCGAAATATTTACAAAAGATACCAGAAAATGAAAAGCGACGACCTCGAAAAGGACACTGCAATCCTGGACCTAGAACGGCTGCGTGCAGGTGGTGTAGACCCTGGAGGCAAATTGCGCCTCGTCGACGAGTGGCACCATCAGCACTTGACCGCTACTTTTCGCCGGTTTGGCGGTGACCACCCAGCTGCAGCATATCCCACGCAAACCTCACGGATACCTGTCTACGAACATGACGACATGCCTGGTAGGTGAAACTGACCTCGAAATTCTCCAAAACTCTCGAGGCTCTCTCCACTGTCGACCAGGTGGTAGAGTGCCTGGAATTGTCCGAGGCAATAGTGTCCCAAGTGAGAACAACAGAATTCCTCTATGCGCATCGTCTGCTATAGCTCTTCATATTTCATTCGTACCATCTGGCCTGACATCAGGCAGGTCTCCTCATCGTACCCTCCCTTCTGCCCCCCGAGACCCAGCTCGCACTACTCTCCCGTCTCCTGCATCGAGATCTCGCGCAGCCCTCTCATCTCACCAACATTCACACTCACTACCATCTCTCCTATCCGCCGTCCGCATCATCCTTCTTCACACTGCCGCCAACATCCCCCGCTCCCGTCGCCCATCCCAAAGATCCCACTCTCCATCGTCCACTGAACATATCTCAGCTTCTAAACAAGAAACTGCGGTGGACAACCCTTGGTGGGCAGTATGACTGGACGGCGAAACGATATCCGGACGCTACACCACCTTCATTTCCTTCCGATGTGAAGGACCTGTTGGAAGCCATGTTTACCAATACCAAAGCAGAAGCTGCGATAGTTAACCTGTATTCACCCGGCGATACCCTCAGCGTGCATCGCGACGTTGCCGAAAGTAGTGACACAGGTTTGATTAGCGTCAGTCTTGGATGCGATGCCATATTTGTAGTTGGCACGTCTTCCGAGTCTCCAGCGACGACAAACGAGACCGGCGATGCTAGTTCCACAATTCCAACCGGGGAGCGTGTGCTCGCAATTCGACTACGATCTGGTAGTGCTGTGTACATGAGTGGCGCGTCCCGCTTCGCATGGCATGGCGTTCCGCAGATTGTGCCAAACACTTGTCCCGCATATCTCGAGAGCTGGCCGGCTGGACAAGGAAAAGACGACACCAAATTCGAGGCGTGGAGAGGGTGGATGGCAAGGAAGAGGATCAACGTGAATGTTCGCCAAATGTGGGATTGAGGTCAGGGTCCCCGAGGTCGCACTGTGCACGACAAAACATTGTCTATCGGACCGACCAGCCCGTCGTCGACTTTCGAGGTTCGATCCGGGTATTTTGCATCAGTCCACCTATACGTCAGATCCTTCCAGTGGCCTGATGTTCACCGGCAGGGCTGAGTACTGTACAAAACTTAGCCCACTTTGCAGAGATTGTAGGGCAACCTTCGAAACCCCGAGCCGCGCGGTGTATCCAGATGATTGTATAACGCCTTCAGTGTCGGCGAGCTGGAGGCCTGTCTGCGCTAAGAGTTCACCGAGCATCAGCATCTGCGCTTGTCGGCGTTCTCAGCCAGGATCTAAATGCGGCAGTGCTTCTGGCCCCTGCTCTACATCCAATAGAGAGCGGTCGTTGAGCTTACATCGCGCGAAACCCTAACCTAATATGGGTTGGTGCTATTCCACGCCGTTTTGGGGGTCGCCGTTCAAGAGGGGCGTAGCATCTTATGGCGAAGCCTGAGTTGGAAGCGAGTGCGTTCCTGAACCTAATACTACAATTGGTCGCGGCTGATAATTTTTATTGTCCATTATTTTACCACGATAGTCGCTCTTGATTGTTCTCTTCATACTGTCCTGGTTTACTCTATTGCGATATGGCTACCTCCTGTCATTCCACTGTTGTCGACATCGAGAAACATGCCCACACCGACCACACTCGTCTGAGCAATGAATCGGTGCACAGCTTCAGTTGGAGCGACATTGCTGTGACGGTGAAAGATCGCCACACAAAGCAGCCGTTGGAGATCTTATCGGATGTTCGTGGCCTCATCCAGGCTGGTATGTGGACCTTCCCGTGGTGCCTACTATACTGACACCATTCTCCAGGCGAGATGCTGGCTCTGATGGGCCCAAGGTAATATTTCCACCGACTCATCGATGCACACCAGCTAACATTGCCAGTGGGTCCGGAAAGACGACTCTCCTCAACGTCCTAGCATCTCGTGAAGCAACCATCGGCGCCTCAGTATCCGGGCTAACGTACGTCAATGGCGCACAATCGAATTCAAAGGACTTTCGCAAGCTGTCTTGCTTCGTCGAGCAGGAGGATGCACTCGTGGGATCGCTTACCGTTCAGGAGACTCTGAGCTTTGCGGCCCGGCTCGCCCTTCCTAGGTACGAATGCACTAATGCGCGCGGCAACGCAGCAAGGCTGACTGTCATCATAGATCTGTATCGAAAGCGGAACGAATAACAAGTATCAACGCTCTGCTCGAGTCGTTCGGTTTACGCGAGCAGGCTGACGCTCTTATTGGCACACCCATTCGCAAAGGTGTGTCGGGTGGACAGAAGCGCCGCGTCAGCGTTGCCAGTCATATGATCACCAGTCCAAAGATCCTTTTCCTAGATGAGCCAACCAGCGGGCTTGACTCGGCTGCTAGTTACGAAGTGATGAACTTCGTGCGCGCTACTGCCAGGAAATACAATGTCGGTTCCTGTTATCGTCACCTTAGGTCTAGCTAATCAAGTGCATAGATTCTGGTCATCGCTTCCATTCACCAGCCGTCCACGACCACCTTTGAGTTGTTCGATCAATTATTGCTACTATCGCGCGGTAAGGCGGTATACAATGGTCCGGTCGCAGGCATCCAAGACTACTTCACAAGCATCGGCTATGAAATGCCTACCTATATCAACCCTGCCGAGTACATCATCCAACTAGTCAACATCGATTTCTCTCAGAACCAAGCAGAAGCAGTTGAAAGGCTCACCCGGCTCCATTTATCATGGAAGAATTCTCCGCAAGCCGCAAGCCTCCAAGCTCGCCTTGAGGATGATCGTCGATCTGGGGCAGGCCTCACTCTCGACCACGCCTACCTTTCCGCCAACCCCTACTCGGTTCCTATCACACTCATGCACCGGTCCTTCATCAAGTCCTACCGTGATGTCGTCGCATACGGCATTCGCATAGCCATGTATGGCTGTCTCGCCATCCTCATGGGCACTGTGTGGTTGCGCCTGTCCCCAACCCAAAATAACATTACGGCCTTCACCAATGCCATTTTCTTCGGCGGAGCCTTCATGTCGTTCATGGCCGTAGCCTACATCCCCGCCTACCTCGAGGACCTCTCTCTGTACACCAAAGAGCGACTCAACGGCCTCTACGGTCCTACGGCCTTTATGTTAGCTAACTTCCTTGTTGGCATTCCGTATCTGTTCATCATCACGCTGCTCTTCTCTGTGATCGCATACTGGCTGGGTAACTTCCGCCCCGGCGCCGACGCCTTCTGGACCTGGGTCATGTGGCTGTTCCTCGACCTGCTCGCCGCCGAGTCCCTCGTCGTGCTTCTATCGAGCCTGATCCCCATTTTCGTCGTCGCCCTCGCGGCAACGGCTTTCGCGAACGGCCTGTGGATGTGCGTCAATGGTTTCATGGTCGAGCCGCAGACGCTCAATGTGTTCTGGAGGTACGTGTTCCACTACATCGACTATCAGGCGTATGTGTTCCGTGGGATGATGGTGAACGAGTTCGGCAAGAGGAACTATGCATGTGATTTTGTTGAAGGCGTGTGTCAGTGCATGTACCCGAGCAAGCTACAAGATCAGTGCATGGTTGAGGGCACAGCGGTGTTGGAGCGCTATGCATTCAACACTGAGAACACGGGCAAGTACGTTGGGTATATGCTGGTCATAATCCTTGGATACAGATTGCTAGGATGGGTGGTGTTATATGCGAGGAAGCACTGAGCCTTCTGCTGGAATAGTAAATAGCGCAATTAACCCTTCGTGTACACATAGTATCTTGTATTCGTGTTCAGGTAAATGCAAAGTTGGACCAATCTCGTCATAAGTGTGTGACAGAAGCTATCACCTAATTCTCAACATGTAAGCACACAGTTCATGGTCCACGTTGCATGTTTTCCGAACCATGGCTCCCGGACACGCCTCTACCTTGTAGATCCAAGGTCCTGGTAATGGTGAAGTTCGGTACGGTGGCTCCCAGATACGTTATTCGGTTTCAACAAAAACTCGCGCCTGCCGCCGCGCACTACAAGCTCCTGCCCATTTTACCTCCACCAGGTTTCTGTCCATGATGCCTTCAAGAATACAGCAGTAACAAAAATACATTCCTCACGTGAAGATGCGTATCTGCACCACTCCCTACAGCCTCGTCGTAGACGACTACGACGAGGTCAGGCATCTACAAGATACATTGAATCCATCGTCCCGCTCCCAGCGCTTCAATGCGGCACATCATAAACGCCTCGACATCCTCCCCGGTGTCCCCAAATCCAATGACTTCAAGCACGAGCAACCGCCCTGGGCGGCCTACAACTCCGTGCTCTGGCAGCCTCTTATCACGCAGAGTCAAGGCATGAGCGAGAGCCATATGGTTCAGACCCCGGAGTTCCTGTATGAAGACTAGATGCGCCGGCCATTGGTGTGCGACAGGTATGACGACGCCACGCTGCCTGGGTTGCGACGAACAAGCTTCCGCCAGAAGTGATCCAGGAGACGACCCAGACATGGAAGAGTACTAAGAGGGGGAAGTTACTTCAACCGATCCTTGATGGGGAGAGGAAGTGGTTCATCCGCCTCGACCAGATGTCCCCTAAAGATTCGCCTTTTGGCGGCAAAGAGCCAAGCACGACTTTCGAGGACGTGGTGAGAAAGATATGTTCGAGCATGCGCGCTTGGAATAGTCTGCAGACCGAAGGTTGAATGCAGAACGAGAGGGCAGGGAAATGAGGATTTGGCTGTTACTCAATCCGTGGGAAGAGGATATGGATGCCGGCAGAGACTTCCGCGTCTTCGCCCCACCGCCGGCGGCGAGGGGTGAAAGGCAGGAAGTCAGCCAAATGAGGGTCAGTGCGGTCAGTCAGAATCGATGGCCGTTTTCTTTCAGATCACCCTTCAATTTCTCACTTGAACACACGGCGGAGTTGGTATACTCGAAAGCGAACGAAGTACTGGAGACCATCAAGGTGTTTATGGAAAGGGAGATGAACCCAGACATCAGGACGCTGTTGGTCAAGTATGGGTTCATTTTTGATGTTGCGCTGCAGGACGACGGCAGTGTGCAGCTTGCGGAAGCCAACCCGTTCGGGGCGCTGAGTGGGCGCGGAGGGTGTTTCTTCAATTGGGTGAGGGATGTGAAGGTGTTGTATGGATTGGAGGAAATGAGAGTTTGAAGTCACGTTGGATGGGTCAGGTGATGAAGCCGCTGTCCGGGTAGGTGAAGACAGGCACCAGTCCCATCTTCTGTGGATATCACAGATAGTGTGAACCTCAACCATGCAATTCTCCACAGCGGCAGTGCGCATCTCCCGCATGACCTCATTTCCTCCCATTACCTTCATTTAGCAGCGATCGCTCGTTTCAAAACATACCCCAGACGCTAGATCTTCAGGCACGTCGCTCTCATTGGTCGGTGGTTTTGTAAGATCAGTTGGCCGTTTCCGTCAATCTCCGCAACTCCTTCTCCGCAGCGCCATGCTTGTAACATGACCAGATCTTTCATCTATCTGAGCGAATTACGTTGCTTGTCCCTCATAGAAGTCTCGCAGACTCTTCCAGGGAGGCTGGTGAGACACACAGGACCGGGTTGCTTTGCCGCAGGATAGGGCGCGACGCCACATGCATCAAAGCGGCCCCAGCGTTAGCACAGGCACGGCGAGGTGATGTCTGATGACGGCGGCGTGGACGATGGACTTGAATATACGTTGGCCTCTTCGCTCTGCCAGCTGTCGTTTTCGCGAATCGACTGCTGTATCCTGAAGTAGGTTTCCTCGGAGCCTTGCCCTTCGTTTGTCCTTCGTTTGTTGTTACTCCTTGCTTCACTAGTCTACACACGGTGAATTCTTGCCAAACTCGGACCAGTTCAGCTATTCTAAGTATTAAAAGCTCTGCTGTCGAGGTACTATCCACAAGCACCCCTCGCGTGTTGATCAATTCTCAGGTACGTTTAGCTGCATATGCTTTTAGCCGCACTCTAACATTACTATAGACACGTTACCGATCAACTTCCAACATTTCCATACTCCAAAGCAACATGTATATCGTACTCTTGCTTAGCAGCTTGCTCGCCACGGTTCTGGGAGCTCCTCTGGTCGCTCGACAGAGCGACACAGAGTGGAAACCTGCCGCAGGCACAACTACCACTTGCGATGTCAACGCCGACAAGTACATCTCGCTGACCATTGGTCCGGAGCAAGGCAATGTTATTTTCGAGCACGCCTGTGCTGGCATTATGCCGGGCTGCGCTTTCCCCGAGAGCTTAGCTGAGGGAACAGTCTGCACTCAGACCGTCACCTATAAGCTCGACGGACCCAAGAACACGACGCTGAACGCACTGGTTGAGAAGAGAGAAAACCACAACAAGCTGAGCGACTGGGCGGTCAATTGTGAGTATCCTCTTTTCAGAGCTCCATTCTAGTGTATTGATAGCACTCAAGTCGCCGTGGCTCCGGCGAAGCAGCCCGAGGACTCTGCTGGCGTCCACTTGACCAAGGCCGATTGCATCGGTTACTTCCAAGAGCTCTTGTTGAAGTCCGCCCCAGAGGGCTGCACTCTTCAAGGCCTTGGTCCCAGCGCTGGCACTCTTACAGTGGGCGGCATGACATCGCTGAAAGATGCGGTGTTTGGGGTCTCCTTCGTCAAGCGCACGTAGCCCAACGAGGCTACAAGGCACGGATGGTGTTGCTCGGGAAAATTTGGCGGATTCACGGGGTAGAAACAACATGTGACATGTACAAGCCGGGCGTTAGGGTGTTCATCGCATCGGTTTCCTCATTTGGCTATTACCTCTCGGGGTCAGCTCCTCTGGTAGGGCTACATCGGAATGTATCTGGCTTCTTAGGGGGCTCAATCACCCAATATTACTTGCCGTTCAATTCGGTCTGGCGATATGTAATCACAACTATCGAGCTAGCGCTCCAACCACTGGCGCCCGTTTCACAGAATAACCCTAGCTGCAGTTGATCTTTTTGCAGGATCTGGGGTTGACATTCTTTGGTGACTGCAATCTCGCGGCGAATAAGAGGAAAACCGCTGCGCTTGATGCAGGAACCAGCTTCATCTATGGTGAACCGTTACATATGCAATGTACCGACTGTTTTAAGATGACCACTCGTGACTTTTGAGGTGTAGCGTTTTACGATGCATGTCCTCGGCTCCGATGTTCACATTGTCAACATTTCGTTTTGGAAGTTGCGGGGTCGATTAGTGATTACTATTCTGGACGCTACGCCGAGGACAGTACGAGGCTTCCCCGAGTACACGCTGCACCCGAATTTGCGATGAGTGATCACACGGTAATAGTCCAGTCCTGCATATGCATAGCAGAATGGCTTCGAGCTGCGTAGCACTGTTATATGGACACGGCGACACTATTCGCAGCTACTGTTGCTCCAGCAAGTGTGAACTCTCGGTCTTGCCCAATCTAAACGAAGTAGGGACTAGCAGCACTGCTGTGGTGAGAGCTTGACTTGCTGCCAGCGATGGATACACACGAAAAGACGAATGAGGACGATTCATCTTCTGCCATGAGCGATCATGCGAAAGACGAGCTCGAAGCGCAAGCTCCACCGCAGGCTCACAGTCTTGAGAATCTGCCACCGTCCAATGCCCCAAAAGAGACGACAGCGACCACAGCACCTTCGGCGCTGGACTGGGATAGCCCTGAAGACCCGGACAACCCCCAGAATTGGCGACTTGCGTCGAAGGTTTATCATGTTACCATACCAGGTCTCTTTGGCTTTGCAGTGTAAGTCATTATGGCGCACCCTGGAATTCTGCCATCTGATTGGTACGTAGAACATTCGGTACCTCCGTCTACACGCCTGCCCTCCACTCGATTTCATCGCATTTCGACATCTCTCGGACGGCAGCTATCCTTGGACTGACCCTCTATACACTGGGTCTGGCCTTTGGTCCCGTCATCTCTGCGCCGCTTTCGGAGAGGTTTGGGAGGAAGTTAGTGTATCTCCTCTCCGCACCGGTTTTTATGCTTTTTACTTTGGGCGCGGGTTTTTCAAGGAGCTTTGGGAGCTTGCTGGTGTGCAGACTGTTCGCCGGCTTGACAGGAAGCCCGGCTTTAGCGGTCGGTGAGTAGAATCAGACTACCTTACCTATTGATGTCGATGCATCCTCTGCGTTAAGATTTGTCAGAGTCACTAACCAGCAACAACAGGCGCAGGCACAACGGCAGATCTTTTCCCACCAGCGAAACGGGCCAAAGTAACGACTGTCTTTGTCATGGCGCCGTTCGCCGGACCATCATTTGGGTATAGCTTTCGACTCCCTGACAATGTCACTGCTAACTGAGACAGACCTGTCATCGGTGGCTTTGCAGCGCAGTACAAAGGCTGGAGGTGGACACAATGGTGCATTCTCTTCATCGCCCTTGCCGTATTTCTCGGCGCGTTGCCCATGAAAGAGACCTACAAGAAGGTGATTCTCGAGCGCCGAGCAAAGAAGCGCTGCATCAGTCCCCCAGAGCCTGTCGGCGGCGCTGCGGTCAAGAACACTGTTGTTCAAAACTTTCTTCGACCAATGCATATGCTTGTCACGGAGGTACGATTTACCTAAATGTCCAGCGACGATAGTGTACTGACGTTCCTCAGCCAGTAGTTTTCTTTCTCTCCCTTTACACAGCCTTCGCCTTCGCCGTCCTCTTCCTCTTCTTTGCCGCGATACCTTACGTCTTCCAACGACCTCCTTACTCCTTCACCATTTCGCAAACCGGCCTTATTTTTCTAGCCATCGGTCTGGGCGTCCTGCTAGCTAGCATCACAGGCATCCTTATCGACACCAACTTCTACCAAGTGCAACACCGCAAGGCGATGGCAACCTGCCAAACACATGCTCAACCAGAACACCGTTTGTACAATGCAATGATAGGCAGTCTCGGTATCCCGATTGGGCTGTTCTGGTTCGCATGGACTGCCAACACGAGCGTGCATTGGGCGGTACCTGTGGTAGGCGCGGTTCCATTCGCATGGGGGAATCTATGTTTGTTTGTAAGTACGATGTTGATGTCACTAAGTCACACATTCCGTCTAATCTGGCTTGAAATCTAGATCTCAGCGGCCATGTACATGGTTGATTGCTATGGGCCCCTGAACGGTGCCTCAGCGATGGCAGCGAATGGCATCTTCCGGTACACGCTCGGTGCAGTGTTTCCTCTGTTCACCATACAAAGTACGTTCCTTGAACTCGCTGATCAGGTAGTAGCTAAAAATTGTAGTGTATGAGAGCCTAGGCATCGGCTGGGCGACGAGCCTCCTTGGTTTTCTGTCTATACTTATGCTGCCCATACCCTGGGTGCTGTTCAAATTCGGACCTGCCATTCGAAAGCACAGCCGCTATCCAGTCATGATGTGACCGCGACTGTGGCGCCCTACGAAGGTACTATCGCATTCGAGATTAGGTTTTGTCTTTTTGAACGAGGCTCCCACAGTGTGATCATATTCAATTATCATGTATATCCTACGTCATGAGCTACGCTGCTGAGTTGCTGATCTCGGCCCTTGGTGAGACGTTGTGGAAATCAGTGTAATCTGGTGGTTGCTGCGGGGATAATCCCGACGTGAAGAGTCAGTCTTTGTGCAATGTACCAAGGTTGTAATTTCATGCGAGTGCGACATACAGCGAAGTAACATACTCTCGGAATACATATCCAGATGTGCAACACGTGCTGGCAGATGCTAAGCTGTACTTCCTGCCTTCCAAGTCGCCTTGACCGCTTAGCCTCCGATGCCAACGCCCTACTCCATTTTCAACCTTAACCTCATTCCCTATCCGCAATCTCACTCAACCACGCCCTCAACCCCACCTTCAACCTAAGCTACTAGAATTTAAAACCACCTTCAATTCCAGACATGGAGCTTGACCACAAACTCCATCCCCAAGCTACCCTTGTACCACTGCGGTGATTGGGAGGAAACTCGGGCGAAGCTCAACATCGAACTCAACCTCAACTACCGCGATCGGCGTCTTCATTTACCTGCACGGATAGGAAGTTTGGGCGTTCGAAAACACGAATGCAGCGACCGCAGGCTTCCACTGGATACTGACTGGGTAAAAGGCGTCTGATGCTGACGCAAGGTGAAAAGCTTGTCTGTTATACAGTGAGATTGAAGTTCTTATCTCGAGCATGTGGCACCTCGCTCTACGCAGGAGCTTAGCTGTCGATGTTGAACTGGGAGATACCAACCAATCACTAAACAGAAATCGTAGCCAAAGCACAGGGACCTGGTCACACCTTCTAAACTCCCAGAATTTGTATGGTGTTTTCATCTTGTCTTCGCTATTTTACTCCTATGTGAAGAGAGTTGTGTCTACTCCTGCTTGACCAGGGATACGGGTGCGACATAATTCTTCCGCGTACTAACGAAATAGTCAGCTGTCGCCAGAACCGCTAATGCACCAAACATCAGCGCGGCCCAGTTCATGTGTATGGCTGCTGGATCAGGCGTCATCGGGAAGAACGAAAAGACGAATGCCAGGTCATTGATAAAGCCAGGTCCTTGATAAAGCCACCCCATTTATCCAGGCTCCATCGTCGCGCCAGCAGAGGCTCGCCTCGCAGACGTTTGAGTCGAACACATCCGATGGAAGTGACATAGGAGAAGATGAATCCAGTATTGGAAATCGAAACAACGGCGTTGAGAGTCCCATCCGAGCCGAAGTTGATGCAAGACGGCACCGGTGAGCACCCTAGACACACTAATAGCAAATTCAAGGGAATTTTCTAGCCAGGCCAGACGTATTCGATCCATGAGGAAATTTGTAGGCCTTTGTCGCGCAAGAAGGCCCAGGTCTGCCGCGACGACGCAGCGGTTACAGACAACGCAGCAAAGAACAAAAGGACAACCAGGACAGTGCCCATTATGATAGTGTTTGTAATAGGCTTCGTGGCGTTGTACACAGCTTGGAGCACAGGAACGCCAGTGGGAAACTCCAGCACAGAGTCAAGATCTCACACCAGAAGACGAAGGTGATCATCATGACGATGCCGAAGACACCATTGAAGAAGACAGCCCACATTATGGCCTTTACGGCACGACTGAGGCGTCCTCGAGTTCCTCCGCCATGTGAGCTCCGGCATGTGGACCGATGAAGCTCCACAGTGGCCTGGAGAGACCGACGAGAGCGGATGTTCCAAGCGAGCCCCACCACCACAATCGTAGAGCGTCGTGAATACTCCACAGGCAGGCAATCGATCCGCCATGGTCCAGAAGATTAAGAGGAAAGCAAAGAATGCGAGGACATAGTGGACCAGTACGATGCCCTCGACCAGCGGCAAGTGCTGCGCCAGGGAGGCGTTGAAGCCGACCATGAGAAGCAGCCACATCGTCACGATCAAGGTGATATGTCAAAGCTCGCCGATCTGGGCGTTAGGGTTGACAAGCAAAACTATGCTGATGACGAGAGACGACAGCATCTGCGCGCAGGCTGGGATGCTGGAGCTTTAGCTAACGCTGGCGCTCTAGCCTACAATGTATGAAATACTCATCTGGAACGATGGCGGTGGAATCTAAATAAAACCAGTGATACTGCCCGCCCACAGTCGGCGCTCTGTCTCATGTTAGTCTTGCGTTACGGTTGGGCGTTGCGAGGTCGACGTACATCGAAGCCACCTCCGCGAGCGAAACAATCATCATGGCTATGACGAAGAAACATACGACGACCGTCATCCAGAAAACGCCTGCATTTATGCCATTGAATAGCCCAAAGTATGCTGACCTGGAGATTGGTCAGCTCCAATGGATAAGACTTGGGCATTGCACTTGCAGCAGCGCGCTCTCCACGTCAATTGCAGAACGACAACGAAACCAATGATGGAGACAAAACCTAACCTCCTCTGTTACGGAATGTCAGCGATTAACACGCAGAAGGCATAAATAAATGGGCTTACGCGGAGCTCCTGCTGCTTGCCTATTCGATACATGTCTTGCGCATCGTGAAGAATCCGTCCTAGTGCATCGCTGTGTGGTCGCTCAACTTCATTTTGTCTGATGCTGGAGTCTAATACAGAGCCTACAGACTCTTCCGCAATAGCTATCGCCTTTCTGAAAGAGGAGGACTAAGGATGAAGGTGGCACTTCTTAAGAATATCCAAGGGACAGCTGATAGGATAGAGAGGGAAGATACTGCTTCAGCGGCGTGAAACTCTCAACCCCACATTCCCCAGATGTTCAGCCACTGAAAACCAGCTGCGCCTTAAGGCTGGCGTGGCAAGATCGAAGCCACTGTGTCGAGTCTCACTGGTTGGCCGAGAGTTTGTACAACCAATGACCGCAGGCATGGGATGGTGAACTTTGCATCCCTCATGCATGCAGTTTGCAAGGAGCTTGCGTTGACATCTTCAGCCTCGAGCCACAGAACTGGTTAAGCAAGATATCATTTGACGCTAACAACTTATACATGCAATGCTCGTGCGTCGCTAAATGCCCAAAACAGCTCGTCTATCCCAGCGCAGCCACCATCTTCACCCTCCACTTCCCTGCATATCGTCCCATCGCCCACACAACCATCAGTCCCGTCACCAAGCTCCACAAGCCCAGTATGGTCATGAACCAGCCATTCCCAATCGCATGTATGATGGGCTCCGCAACTACGGCTCCCGTAAAACTGCATATGTTCCTCACAAAATTATTGATAGCTATGCCAGCGGACGCACGCTTGGGCATAAACTCAGTTAGCATAGTCGAGGACAGCGCAAAGATAAGCATCGATCCCACGCCAAAGAAGAAATTCGCAACCATAGGCACAATCCAGATGACGCCGTGCTGCACCGTCCAGCCGTACCACAGCAGCGCGCCGGGCCACAGCACCGCCGCCATCCACGCGTTCTCCCGCATGCGGTCCTCAGGCCGCAGCATCAGCTTCCCAGATGCATCGTACCGGCCCGCCTTGCGCGCTTCGCGGTGCATGATCTTGTCGATCCACTTCCCGCCGAAGACGCTCGCGAGGATGTAGCCGATCGAGCCGGGGATGTAGAGCAGGCCGACAATGATGGTTTTGAAGTTGTAGGGAGCGGTGGAGAAGGAGGCTTGGATGCTGATGTTGAGGCAGTAGAGGGAGCCAAAGGTGATGGAGGCGTAGTAGACGGTTAGAGCGACGGGAGGGTAGCGGAGCCAGGTGAGGACGACAAGGGGGTCGAGAAAGTAGCGGCGGAGGGTTTTGAGGGTGGTTTTGGTGGTGGTTTGGACGGATTGGCGGGTGGAGACGCGGGTGAGGTCGGGTCTTGCCGTGGTCTTTTCTGAGGTAGACTGTTGAGTTTGAGTAGGCACTTGTAGTTCTGTTCTACGTAGGGTCTCTGGCATAGCGAAGGTGATGAGGAGGAGAGTGAGCCCGCCGTATATGGCGAGGAACCACTGCGTGCTCCGCCAGCCTAGCGTTTGCGCGAGGACTCCGCCTATGATGGGTGCAAATAGCGGCCCGCATAGAGGTCCGAGGTAGAACATTCCCATGGCCCTCCCACGCTCCTTTGTCTCCCAGATGTCTGCCACGGTCCCGGCGCCCACGGCCTGCACACTTGCGGCGGCGCCGCCTGATAATGTCCGCATCACTATCAGCATCGCCATGTTGGTGGATACCGCGGAGAGAATTGCGAAGACGGTGAACATGGTGAAGGAGATGAGATAAATCGTCCTTCGCCCGGCTGTTTCCGAGAACGAAGACCACCAGAGCGGGAATATAGCCATGCTGAGCATGTAGACCGCAACGCTCATGTTGGCAACCGTTGAGGATGCTCCGAATGCCTTTGCAACGTCCTGCAGGGCCGGCATGACGATCGCAGACCCCATGGGTGCACCCATGGCGCAGGCAGCCACGATGGCCGTGATGAACCACTTTGTCTTCCGCGCGTAATGATAGCCATTTTCCACTTCGGGAATAATGGTCAGGGAGCCGAACAGGCCTCTTCGATTTTTCCGATCGACAATGATTGCCTCAGGATTCACCGACGTTGTTCTCGTCAACGTTGCCGGGGGGTTTGGTCTCTCTGACGCCTGTTCTTCATCGTGCCCTGATGTGGTGGTGGTGGTCGTGGAGTGCGCTATTGATATCGCGTCGTCCTCATCGGTGACGTCCACCTCTTTCGCCGCGATGCTTGGATCGGCCGATTTGACTGATTCCTCTGCGCGATGCTGTTCACTTGATGACCCCGGCAACTCGTTCTCAGAGCTTGACATGCTTGAAGATAGAGTCCGGGTGAGGAGAGCTGCAAAGCTCGAGGAAGGTTTTCCATGCGACGTGGTGGTTTATCCGGCCGTAGGAAGCAAGCATCCGGCGCAGATGTACTGATAGTTATCCCTGCAATTTCGCAAAATCCCGCCCTTCAAACAGATAGTGACGCGCACGATTCCGCAGCAACGTCTTTTGGAGAGAAGGTAAGGAGAGGACTGGTGTAATGTAAAGCGGAGAGCACGCTGGCTGTCGCGCCCGCAAGCAACGCTCGTGCCGGATTGCCGAGCATCTCTCCGGTCTCTAACGTCGCGAAAAGACGCCGTCACATCGCTTGCACAGCACATTTTGGCGGGGTATCTCCTGTTGCGGTATCGGTGCCTCGGTTGCAGCGGGGCACTGGGGGGTCGGCCGCACTATTCCCGGCGTTGGAGGCTCGAAGAAGATGCTGCTGCTGCTTGTGCTCTTGCTGCTGGAACGGAATTCTTGGCGGTGAGCGAGCATCGTGACACTACCCTGATGAGAGGGACGGAAAGGTATGAGGTTGGGTGTAGAGAAACGAGCGTGAACGCCTGTGAGCGGTATGATATCAGACAGAGCCTCATCTGACAAGACTACACCCAGTTTATTGTGTCTGGACAGTCTGCATGCCGGCCACAACATCTTTGTACGCCATGGCCCAGCCTGGGCATTGCAACGAGTGAAACGTTGCCTTTTCTTGTCTCGTTTCATTGTAGCGGCCACTACTGTGATCGGGTGATCGGCGTAGGGTTGTCGCACAGCCGAAAGCTTGATGCTTGCGGCTGTCCCTCGCAGACCAGACAACCCCACCATCGACACACTGTCCCGCCTCACCGAAGCCCAATTGACGCTGCCCTCCTTCCCCCACCGCCGGACTACTGCTCTCCATACCCGGCCGCAATGTCGACAGCCGCCCCGACGCAAAAGCAGGACCGCCTGAAAGCCCACTTCTCCAACCACACGCCCGAGGAGCACAGCAAGCGATGGGACGACCTCTGGTCCGCTGGCGACTTCCTCCCCTGGGATCGCGGCTACGCGAACCCTGCCCTGATTGACGCCCTCGCTGAACGCAAAGACCTGCTTCCCGCCCCTAAGAACGCGAGTGGGAAGAGGGCACGCGCTCTGGTGCCGGGCTGCGGTAAGGGCTACGACATCGCGCTATTTGCTGCCCATGGCTACGACAGTTATGGGCTGGAGGTCAGCGAGAACGCGGTCAAAGTAAGCGACGAGTATCTGAAGAACCCGGGAGAGGGGCCGCTGGAGGGAGAGTATAAGGTTTTCGATGAGGCGGCGGGAAGAGGGACCATGAAGTGTTTGCTGGGCGACTTCTTTGAAGATGCGTGGCTAGAGAGTGCGGGTGGGCTGGGCGAGGGGTTTGATGTGATATACGACAATACTGTGAGCGGAGTCATAAAGGTCGGGATCGACGAGTACTAGAATTGCTGGCTAATTGCGCGGCCAGTTCCTGTGCGCACTACACCCCACGATACGCCCGCAGTGGGCCGCGCGCATGCAGCAGCTACTTGCTCCCGGAGGCGCTCTCATCTGCCTCGAGTTCCCGACGCACAAGCCACCCAAGTCTGGCGGTCCGCCCTTTTCGCTGCCACCGACCGTACACGAGGAGCTCCTCAAGCGGCCAGGAGAGGACATCTCTTACGACGAGGACGAAAAGGTGCAGAGCACGGATCGACCCGAAAGTGACAAGGCTCTGCATCGGGTTGCGCATTGGAAGCCGAGGCGGACGCACGACGTGGCCATCATTAACGGCGAAGTAAAGGACTGGGTGAGCGTGTGGCATAAGTAGGGGCAGCCCCCGTAGCTGGGTTGCATTTGGCCCCCGGTTGTGCAGATCTGTAGATCCGCTCGGTGGCTCATGAAACATTGCGCAAAGAGTTGTAGTGTTCGCCCAAGCCATGGCTATGGCGGTAGTATCCCAGCCAGATCTCCTTGTCATCTTCGTCCTTCACGTCGTCACCTGGCTCGATCTTGTCCACGTGGCCGTCGCTATGTAGAACATTGATATTGACGCCGTATGATCTTGCCAACGCCATGAGCTCCATGTGCCCGCCCCACTCGCCTGTTTCTCGTATCTTTTGCAAATAAACATCCAGCGGCTCCTCCATGAAACCCGCAAAGTCGTCCGGATGGCTTTCTATGAGGTCAGCCGCGGCATATCGCACCCTCTTGTAGTCGGGCAGCTTTGCCTCCTCCTGCGTCTTGACCTGTATCCGTGGTTTGAGCCCTAAACCCCGCGTCTCCATCTGATCCGCGACCGCAGCATACAGACAATGTCCGTCTGCGCGTATTTCCTTGACCTCGACCCCGTATTTGCCAAAATGCTGCTCCATCCGCGTGCGCTCCTGTTCGCGCAGGTCGGGCATGTTGGCAGCCTCCTCCTTCGCCTGCGCAACGAGCGCATCATGTTCTGCGGCGCGGCGCGCGAGACGCTCCTTTGCGCGATTTTTCTTTTTCTTGGGCCCATTCTGCTCGGTTGTATGCTTTTGCTCCCTACCTGAGTCTATTGTGAGGTTCTCCACCGCCATTGCAACCCCGTTGACCTGCCCCTCCTCGACTTCTGCTATATCCTGCTCCTCCTCAAGCGCTGGCTCCTCGTGCGGATTCTCGCCGTTGAAAGTCGCAAGCTCGCGCGCTTGTCGCTCTTTGAGTTCTTGTTCTAGGCGCTCGCACTCGTCATTGACACCTTTGCGCGTTTTCTTGGAGGCTTGCTTCTTCTTTTGGGTGATGCGAGAGACGAGGTCGCGCTGTTCTTTGCGGTGGCGCGCTTGGAGCGTTTCGAGCGTTTCGGGTGCCTCGGAGGCGTCAGCCATCGCGGCGCGATATGGGAGAGGTCGAATTCGAGCTGTGTACAGTCAATTGGATATGTACCGGGACATGTTTGAGTCGGGTCGGATTATTTCGATGCCGACATTAGTAGAACCACCTGCACGTGCCGACCCCACCTCCTGGGCTCCTGCGACTCTCCTTTATGGTAGACTTCTTAGTCTGGACTATATTTACTACTGAATACTGACAGTACCTTACGAAGATCCTGGACCCAACAGAGGGCGCGCCGTGTAGGCTTTTGCTCGGAAGAGCTATCCACTACTAGGCATCTTGACTAAAGACAAGCATTTGCTGTTGGATGTCTGACATGAAAATGCAGTTTGTGTCCATTCTCGATTTCACATCCCAGCCCAACCATGGCGGCGCGGCGCTCAAGCATCTGCGAGCGGCTTGCTTTTCTTTTGGCTCATTGCTCCGGCAATTATTTTTTGTTTACACTTCCCAGGTGTCTTCCCCGGATCGACGCGCGACCCGTTCGACTGTCCGAGTTCTTTCCGCTCTGGTATTTGGCATTGCAGAATGGATGAACACTGTGGTTCCTGGATACACTTTTCAGCGGACGGTTTTCTTTCCCGAAATGAGCGATGCGGTACCGACGCCTGTGACCTACTGCTATATTACCTGCTAGGGCGCCATAAATGATAATTCGCAATACATCCACGCTCGTAGGACCCTATGAGGAACTCATTCTCCTCCAGGGCAAACTTAACACCGCCTGTACCAGTTCGATTCGATATCCCACACCCATCAAATGATTCAACACCGCCCCCCACGCCCCTCTGGTCCCTCGCGGGGAGTCACAAAATCGATTGAGAACCAACATAAACTCACTTTAGCCTTACGGAAACAGTCACTAGGAGTGTACTTATGGCCGAGGCGTCTCAAAGGCCAGCGTCCTGCAGCCCTCGACCGGCCCGCCCGATTGCAAAGAATACCACTCATCAACGATTGCTAGAGTCATTGATGAAGCTATCGCCGCTTCCAGCTTGACACCACGACTGTATCGAGATGGATGCAAGGTTATGCTGCTGATTGTGCCGTCTGCAGACGGCCGCTGGCCTTGCATCTCTTCTACGTGCTTCGCGTCCTTTCCCACACATGCCATTCCAATGTTCATGCCCTGCTTCGTGACTGTCTCAAGAACACCCAACATCGCGCTGGTCTGGAAATCCGCCCCCACGTATCCCGCATATCCGAACAAAAGCGTCCTTGCGCGGTGAATCTCTGCATCTGGGAAGAGAAACTATAGGTGAACGCGTGGGGGATGGAAGACGTAGACTTCGTCGGAAGGTGTGAAGGAGTTGAACTTGTTCTTGAGGGTGCTCAAGCTGTTCACCGTTGTGTTCGTAATTGCAAAAGCTAGAAGGGCATGTTCCTGTTTGTTGGCGGCCTCGTCGCTCGGTACAGGGACACGGCTGAGGTAGACGTGAAAGAGATCCCTTACATACTTCAGTCGCATTGTGAACCACAACCCAGGCAGTATTCTGTATGTTCCCCGCATAGTAAGTCTTCAACTCACGACGACCAGAGCGTCTTCGTGTCGCGCTCCAGCTCGCAAGGCTAAGGCGACTTCATCCCGGCGGAGCTCCTAGCCCACGTCCCCCAGCACGACAAGAATATCTCTGAGCCTTGCGTATGTATCCAAAGTATGAGCGTCCGGTGCCCAATCAGTCCGAGCAGCCGTCGCGACATAGGGATCGAAAGCAAGCAACTGCGCCAGACACGCAAGTGCGCGCCTACCTCCTCGCTGAAAACCTTCGACGAATAAAGAAGCCCGACGTGTATCTTAGGGTCGTAGTCCAGGCAGCAAATCGAGGTGAGCACTGAGCTCGCTCCATTCTTTGTGTTCTTTTGGCACAGGTAACACACCTTTTCCTGGCACAGGTAGTCGTGAACGATCAAACGGATATCTTGGGGAAGGTCGGAGAAGCGGAACTGCTCAGCGGCGCCCGCCATCTCTGTAGAGCGTGTTAAAGATAGCGACCCTAGAATGGAAATAAGTTGATGAATAAGTGGTGTCAATACGAGGTACCCACCACCCTGTCTGAACTTCCACTGTTTTGGTACCTTCGCCTTAGGCTTTTTTCTAGCAATCGGGCCAGCCCGAGTAATCTATTCAAATCGAGAACATGCACAGGTGCGACTGTGTTATGACGGATTCGTCGTAAACTTCAAGTTACTTCCGACGCGTCGCGTCAAGAGGTAATGATTGATTCCGTTTGTTGTCTGACCGTCGCTCCTGCCACTTCTGCGTCAACCTGGGGCAACCTCTCACTTCCCACTATGCTTATATGAACATCAGGATCCGTCCAGATCCCCTCTCCACCTCGCCCACATCCACTCTCTTTCTACCATGGATCTGAACATGTCAGACCCGTCCCTTGCGGATATCGCAGAGCTACAGCGTGACTGTCATCCGTTCCCGGCATACATAGATGCCATGTACGGTCGGCCCACAGAATATGAGCGACTTCATAGCAATGGCCAGGACAAAAAGCCTTCGTCGTCAGAGCAGGCCGCTACGAGTAACCGCACAACGACCGCGCCGTGTCAGCATCAGCAAACCAATAGCTTGCAGTACAGGTATTCTTGAGACACTTGCTATGAGCTGTCAAAGTCGCTAATGCCATAGGAAAAGCGCTTCCCCTGCGCCTGACCCAGTTGCGAGCTTGTACCCCAGCCCTCAATCGATGTACGCAGTGCCCCCGTCATCTTTTCTCGGAAACACAAAGGCAAGCCGCGCCCCTTCACAAACTCCGGGAGGCCCCGGGAAGAACCTGCAGCAGCAGCAGAACCCGAGTCTCTTTAGCAGCCCCATGAAGACTACTGGCGGTGACTTGATCGGAGGAGCACCAAAAAGCCAGGCACAGAGTGGCGGAGCATTAATCCAAAATAAGATTGGAAGCTCGCCTGCTTCACTCTATGTGGGCGATCCGCCGCCTACACAATTGTCTGCAAGTACCCTACTCGAGGGTTTAGCTTCGTCACTAGCACCGCCTCTCAATCCCGCATCGCCCACGTCTCCCGCATCACCTGCCCCTATACCACCTGTACGAATTCTTTTATACGACGACATGTGGAAGCCAGCCTTCGATTGGATGCCGCGACAGGTCCGGACTAGCATTAACGATAAGGTGGGCCGCCTACGCAATATCATAGCAGAGGAGGAAATCATGGTGTCCACGCGCAACCAAGCTAAGGTGGAGCTTGTTGCCCTCAGCACGCAGGTGATGGAAGCACATAAGAAAGAGTAATGGACCCCTCGTATCTTTAGTGTAGCACTGGTGCTGATGTATCTAAGGATTCTTCACAAAATGCACCAAGCGATGCCTTCACTCTATGACGCAGTATTGACCAGGCACCACTACCCCAGCCACCATCTTGAACATCTCAAAGCGAACGAGGCCATACATAAGATCCGCCAGCAATTCCCTGGACCCCCGCAAGAGTACATGACGGGACTGTTTCAGGAGATGGTCAGGAGGGGTAAACAAGGAAAGGTGCCTTACGAGGCAATCCCGGGATGGCTCGATCAATGGAACATAGAACACGCACCGAAAGCCACAAATGAGAACGCAGCGACTCAGAAGGCTGAGCTGGAGCAGTCGAACGGGGAGAACTCACCCTTGCCGCAATGGAGGGGTTCTTGAACGACGGCGAGGAACCATGGGTTCGAAGAATGATGCAACCAAATGTATACCGATGTATGTATGACTTGGAGCCTGTGGAAGGGTATTAATTTGATTCAGGTACGCGGTGCCTGGACACTACTCTTTGGTTTGTCTAGAGGTGAAGATCAGCCAACGTTTCTCCAATCGTGTCAGCATTGGCCGAGCATGAAAGGAGTAAAACATGTTTGTTTTGAGGGAAAGCTACTATATCAGCTCTAAAAGAACGCAGTGTAGCTTGGATGCTTGTTACCTCAATGGTTAGTGTATGTTTGTTAATTCAAAGTTGCTCATATTATCGATTTCCGATGCCATACCCACCTCCATAAAGACACGGATGTCCGAAACGTATCATCTGTGTCAAGCACCAACAAGCACGCTAGAACGAGTATGTACTCCATGATAGACCCCGGTTAACCTCACGACTGTCCTACTCTAATTTGGCGTACATCGCATATACAACACCTGCCCCGTCTATCAGCCACGTCGCGGAGAAACGGTATGACACTGTCCTCCAAACTGAAAATGGAACGATGTGTTCTTCGCGCCTAGAAATCCTACCAAAGAGCAACATAATATGTGCCGTTCTTGGAAGATAATTCTGGTGGGATTTTCCATGCTGGCAAGGTCGAAGAGGACCAGAATTCCTAGTGGTGGAAGCTGACACTCGGTTCTCTGTGCAACCATGACCACCAAACAACAACATTTCGTACACAAAGCCAAGCCACTAAGCCCTACACTGCACTCAATTAGCTACCAGTTCCATGTCTCGTCACATACAAGGCGAAGCTCAACGTTTGGGCAAGACCTTTGTATCTGCCAGGACGGTAAGTTTCCCCCAGATACCACCTTTGTAGAGTACACAGCCCCCGCAATGTGATATTGATTTCCCGAAACCGTCCTGGCTATGGGATGAGCAAGAGTTTCGAAATGATAGTGTTTAGTACTGTTCCGCCAATGAGGAGATCAAGCGTTCGGCATGTGAGCGGCACGTTCAATTGTGTTCTAGGGTTGCAAGCTCGGTAGAGACCGCACATAAGATTGATGGCAAGAAGATTGGGAAAAATGACGAGGTATAAAGGGTTGGGTCGATACTCAGAGGGTGGACACCCTCACTGGACTATCGTCGACAATAGATGCTAACAGCAATAATGAAGACCACAACGCTCGCCGGCCTTTTGGCTCTCGTGCCTGGAGCTCTGGCCTACAATGCCTACACTGGAGGTTTACCTGTGCCCACGTCCACGAAGACTAACAGCAAAGTAATCGAAGTCAAAGCAGGTCAGGTCTTTGACAGTGGATGGGCGAGGTACGATCGTGGCACTGGTGCCTGTAACAATCAGGTCGAGGGTGGGAAGGGCCCGCCTCGCCTTCCCTGCATCTTCACTTGTTACTGCGGTACACCTCTACGAGATTATGAATGAATACGCTCTCAGGCGATGCCGACGCAGTATTCCTTCTCCGCTCAGGCGCCACGCTTCGCAACGTCATCATCGGCAAAAAGCAAGCCGAAGGAGTCCATTGTGACGGTCCCTGGAACCTCGAGTTCGTGTGGTTCGAAGACGTCTGCGAGGATTGCCATCACCATTAAGAACGATGTCGCGGGCCAGCAGACCAACATCGTGGGCGGGGGCGCGTACCACGTGTCTGACAAGGTGGTCCAGCACAATGGCTGGGGTAAGTAACACTCTCTCCATTCCGTCGAAAAGAGAAAAGCTGAGTATTATCAGGCACCGTCAACATCTTCAATTCTATGTCGAGGACTACGGCAAGCTGTACTGGTCCTGCGGCAACTGCAGCAAGCAGTGCAAGCGCAACGTCTATATTGACGATGTGAATGCCCGCAACGGTGGCGAATTGGCGGGTATCAATAGCAACTACGGAGATACTGCGACGATCAAGAACGCGTGCTATACCACTGCGCACCAGTGGCAGATGTATACTGGTTGCGCTGGGGGATGTGAGCCCGCCAAGGCTGGGTACTGGAGCGGGTAGACGACCGGTGATATGGTATTTTTGTTATGGCTGGACGAAGACACTAGTGTCTGTAGCTTGTTGATCTCGGTGGGCAATCAAGTCTACAGCTCGGGCAGCCGTTGCTTATGGTGAGGTGCAGTGAGCATCAGCGTGAAAACTTACGAAGAGGATAGCTCAAATCCCCACACTGTAATGAGCGTTGCGTCTCGTTCCAGTGTGATTGACGGGCAATCTTGACGAACTAATCAAAGCGACTATCTGCGGGATATCGAGTTACTTCCTTGCAGATTACATTGACATGCATACCACTCTTCTTTGCTTTTTTTTTTTTACTTGTCATTTGTCATTATCGCGCAGCGATCTTTCCATTTATGCGTCTCGCAAAGAGATGCTTGTTTTCCTGTCGGGTAGACATAGAGGCGTGGAATCGACAAGCTGAAGCTCGCAAAAGATGGGCACAAGCATATTTCGATTCGCTGCTGTGCTGCTGTTCTCCCTACCTGGTCAGAATATTCCGGGGTTCGCTTCTGGGCGGATTTCTGCGCGAGCTGAGATGCGATTGCAAGCTGATTCGATGCAAGAGCTATCAACCGCACCCTGAAGGCCATGAGCCCTCCGCAAGACAATGCGCGCAATGCAACGCGTCATGTCTAATCGGCGGGTCGCACCTGAGTCGTGACGTGTACTGGAACGGTTGCGCAGAGCGAGGGAAGGCGTGTCTGGGTCGCACTACGTACCGCTAGCCCCACACTTCCGCACCGCCTCCTCAAGCATTTGCTTTTCTCTCACCCTCAAAAACTCGCCAGACCTCGTGCACTGTCTCTCCCTCCAGGGCACTCAGAGATACCTTCACATTGTACACGAATTCGACAAGTAGCTCTGTGTTATCAGCTTTTTCGGCGCTCTTGGCTTGTCTGGGCTTACAATCCTGGCGGCCAACAGGAGATTTCGCTTCCGGAGTCGTCTCCAAACAACGCTAAAAGAACCGTGATAGACGCGAGCACCACCGGATATGCCGCTAGACGTTGTCGAGACTATCCGTTCGCACTAGTACAGGGACTACTCGCAACGGCCCGCAACGCCGCCCGTGCCGCCAGTACACTCTGAACGTCACTTGCATCTTCACTGGAGCGCATCTGCACCTTTGGACTTTGTCGGTTTCAGGCCTGTCTCTGCCTAGACCGCAAGTATGGCCGAAGATAGCGTACACCCTTTACTGGTCGACGACGCAGAGGCGAGACTCATACATAGACTCAGAGACTTGGACGATGAAGATGAAGATACTCCGGAGCGCACCCAAAAGCTGTTCGCACAATCCTTACCCAATCGTTCTGGTGTGTGCTGACTGAAGAGCAGGAAAAGTGCAGGTACGGTGCATCTCAAAGTATCTGTGAGCGACCGTGAATTCGATGACACTTATCCTGTGCCGGCTACTGCTCTTATCTTCGGCTGTGCCGAGGTTGGCTTAAAGATACAGGAGAAGCTTTTGTCACAGCAATGGATCGACGGTGCAGGAGCACAACCACATGACCCCTTGGTGGACGCGCAAGGTCACGTCGATGAAGGCCTCTCGCAATTGGTCAATGGGGATATATCTGAAGAGACGGTAAGTGAGAAAGCATGATAAAAATCGAGACTATACGGCTCGCCGATGGGAAAGCTGTTGCCCTGAAGAATACACGCCTGAGGATACAATATGGGTTTTACTGCATCGGATCCATTACATTCGATTTAGCGCTGGGCATGCGGAGCGACACATGACTGAATCGTCGTCATGTATTGTAAAGCACGGCATTGATGTCTTGATGCTTATGTTCTGAGCATGTGCTGATTGTCCAATTTTAGATATCCTGGGGCAAAGTCCGATCCGAGGTTCTGCCTTCTTACATTCAGAACGTTACATTTACCATCGCAAAGACCGATCTAACGGACGATCGACAAAAGGAGCTACAAGAAAAGTTCCCCGGCGTTACGATCACGGTAAAAGAAGCCCCCACCTCCCAACCTCTCTCTGGGCCAAATCGTTCGGCCAAACGTCTAGCCGCTCCCGACTATCTCTTGGAAAAGCCGAACGGGGTTAAACGGGCAATCTTCGAGCTCGATAAAGATGCTACCACTGAAGACGATGCTCTGGAGGCCAACATCCGCAAGCAGTACCCCTGGGCAACTGTCGCAACGGCAACGGCGATCAATGTACCCATCGAACCGAGAGCGTTTCGCCAAACGGCGCCTGTGGTTGGTGATATAGAAAGTCAGCTGCAAGATTTTGCGACTTTCATGAATGACTACCCTCCAGACGGATTGTTTGATGTCAATGTGCGCCATGATCAGATTTGGGGCACTCTACCTTTTTCAAGGAAGATGAATATCGCACACGCTCGAGCGATCCAATCCGGCCATTACAGTGAAACCCGAGCACCTGCTACACGCTGCGGGACATGCCAAAGGAACAATTACGCCTGTAAAGTCTACAGGCAAGACTTTATTGAAAAGGTTGCATCAACCAACCACATAAATCTCGGAGAAGGATGCCAACATTGCCGGCTGCTGGGTAACAAGTGCGGACTGCCACCATACCGTGCATGTTTCGCTTCGCCACCGGCAAGAGATGATCTCGGGATGGCCGAGCCTCCTGGACTCGGGAGAGCATATTCTGGGGATCTGTTAAGCGAGGCGGCTGTGACGCCCCAAGCCTCCCGCCAGGTTCGTCTTGCAATCCGATCCGGCATAGAGCAGTTTCCACCTGTGACGAATGTTGGGAATGACGGCTTCACGAGTAAGACCGACATGATTGAGCTCGCCCAGCAATTGGGCCTGACACTTGCACAGCCTGACATTCTCTGGACAATGTACACATCATGGAGAGAGCGTAGTACCTTTCGTAACTACGATCCAGGCTTGATGAACTTGCAATATTACTACGTTAACCTGGTCAACTTGCACATTATGGCTCGGAACATTTGCTACTCAAAGCTGGAATTTGCCACGCTCCTCCAATTCCAATTCACAAACTTAGAGCAGGAAGACAACCTACCCGACATCAACAAGCCTGTGATCAAGGCATTCGAACATTTTCCTGCTGATGCCCCGCTATGCCGGTGGATCGCCATAGTTTACTCTTATGTATGGAATACTGTCGAAGACGGAGACTACGAAGCATTTCTCAGGAAGAACAGCGGTCTTGATCCTGTGGCTCTCTGTAAATTCCTGTACGCTGTCGCCTACGTACGCGACCCTCATACCAAAGGCGGCAACTCGGCTGTGCTTCAAGAGTGGTGTTCGGTGCACAATCATGTCGAAGGTTCTGCAGAAGATAAACAATGCATGACGGCAGAAAGAGCCTGCAAAAACAGATTGATGGCGACCCGGAGTTCGCCAAACAAGGCTGATGATGGACAAAATAAACCGAGCAAGCGTCCATTTGATGGTCGTCCTGGACGTAAACAGGACAAGAAGTTCAAGCACAATGACGGTTATCAGCATGGTAGGTGAACCAAATCTTTGGCTGCCATTTATCTTACACTGTCCATATCGCTCTCTTCGCGGCACGTAAGGCTCTTAGTCTGATTCGAGTTGTTCCCTTGCACCATCTTCACGGCGAATCTCAAGTAGAGCTGGATGTGTACCGCGCGTGCGAATCGTACCGAAGTACCCGAATACCACAACCTTCTCTCATCAATCCTTTCTGTATCAATTGGGTGGGATGCAAGAGATCCTCTTCTTCATTTGTTTCTATGCGGAGCCACATGCTAATTTTGCAGACCCTCGACCAAAGTCCAGATCCTCAGCGGTAGAGGAGGACATGAGGCGTGATGGAGACGACAGTACAGATGATGAAGATTGCATTGGCGAAGACTTTGCGTAAGTCCATTCCATGTCGAGGCTCCATATACACGAAGCTGAAAGAGTTAGTAGGGACAGTACGGGCATCGTTTCTCGATCGCTTGGGAACGCAGGATATGATAGGCAACAGCCCAATACTCCAGCTAGACAGACCGTCGGAACCAATGATCCCCCCAGCCGGAAGCGTGCGCGTCCTCGAAAGAACAACCTTGTAGACGACGTGAATGAAAGCAGTGCACAGGCTCTGAAAGGATCGCGTGTGCACAGTGGTCTAGCAGCAATGATCAGCAGCGAGCATCTCGACTCTCTTCCTTTCAACTCGGACTTCGACCTAGGCAAAGCCCTGGACGATGAGGATACTGAATCTACCCGAGCAAGCACGGCAGAAAGACTGCCGGAGACGCTGCAGAGGAGCATTGCGCGCAGCGAGGAGCCTACATCTGAGCGAAGGAGCGCGCGCGCAAAAGCTCACCCGCCAGGTTTCTTTCGGCAGAACCTACCCAAGAGCCAGTTTGCGAACACGATGTGGGGTGTCTTCAAGGATGATTAGGGTGACGTTGGGACGAGAATGGTGCGAGTGGTTGAGTACGGTTATGGTATTCGCACTCACAAGCAAGATACCCTGATAGCGCTTCGTTCGCCGGTGACTGGCTAGGTCTAGGAGTACATGTACACATGGTGTGGATGGGCTTTGGCCTGTTTGCAATGCACGTGGGTGCTTCGGTGTCGTCCTGGCATTGCATATAGGTCGAGTGTTGGATAAGCAGGCCAGGCGCCCCTGTCTCATTTTGTCGTGGTCCATCAATACGGAGGCCTAGAATACACAGCTATGAACATGCCATAAGCAAGTGGAAGAATTTGTCCAATGACCAGAGTCTCTCACTAAAGAAGCAGCGTACTGCAGTGTACACGGCAAAGTAACGATGATAGGACACTGCATATATATACCAATCGCTTGATACCAAAGGTACTATGACCAAGTCGCCCATGCCCGACGAATTACCATGACATGCCATGCCAGTCCCAATGCCCATGCAGATTACCTCAAAGGAAGGAAGCGCCGTATCCCGTACCTATTATCGCGTTTTTCCATAACCATCCTGTTTATCCCATGCCTTTCCGTCCCGTGCCAGGGAGGGCCGTATATGTTTTCGTGACTCGTCAGATGGATTTAGTATTACAAACATGAACGAAATCGAAGCACGAAGCCGGAGGCGAAATGCAGAAATGCAAACTGTGCGTCGTGTGCCTAGAATAGGAGAACACCCACACACAAGCACAGGCGAAGAATCGAGAGCGCGCCTCCGATGCCTCTTCGTGACGCACTCCCATGCGCCGACGCAGTAGGCGCCGCTTGTCCTATCCTTTGCGTTGCGCCCGCGCTTGCAGGCCAGCTCGCACCATCTCCACCAGTGCGACTCGCGCCTTGCGTCGTCGTGGCCGGGAATAGCGCTTCGGTCGTGCTCTTCCCATCGCTCCCGTACACCAGCTGCGTGGCGCCGGGACTTAGGCTGATGGTAGTGCCGTCGACGATGACAACACCACCGGGCGTGAGCGTCTGCCCGCCAATTACGAACTCCGTGCCACTGCCGGGACGCGCGGTGTACGTGTGCGTGCCGATGGTGAGGAGGGGCGGGTTTGTGATAACTGCTTCTGGGTTCGCGCGGCTGCCGGGGGAGAGGAGGGTGGTAACGCCGTTCACGACGAGGGCGCTGGCGCCGGGGGCGAGGGAGATGGTGATGCCGGCGACGGTGATTGTTCCACCGGGCGTGAGGGTTTGTCCGGCTATGACGAAGGCAGGACCTGCGGAGGGGAGCGCGGTGTAGGTGTTGCCGCCAATGGTGAGGAGGGTGGCGGAGGGGGCGAGGGTCGTGATGGCGCCATTAACGACAAAGGCGGTGCCGCCGGGCGCGAGAGAGATTGCGGTCCCAGAGACGGTGATTCTGCCGCCGGGGGTGAGAAGCTGACCGTCGATGGTGAAGGAGGGGCCTGCGCTTGGCAGGGGTGTTATGGCGGCTCCGGCGACGGTGAGCGGTAGGGCGCCATTTGCGAAGCTGGAAGTCGCGCCATTTATTACTGCAAAGGAGCCTGAGAGGGGAAGAGAGATGATGGTGCCTGCGACGTTGATGGCTTCGCCTGGAACGAGTGTCTGGTCTCCTACGACGAATGTGGGACCAAGAGCGGTGTTGCCCTGATTGTGTTCGGCATTATTGCCGGGGAGGGCCGTAATGGTAGTGCCATCGACGACTATTTCTGGGCGTGAGGTTGCAAACGAGGGAGGTGGGGTGGGCAACACCTGGGTCGAGCCTCCGACGACAACGAAGCCAGCGGCAGAGTCCAGGCTCACCAGCTGCCCGCCTACTGTTGCGGTTCCGCCAGGTGTGAGCGTCTGCCCCGGGGCGATGAAGAACTGCGTCGCAGCGTTTGCAGTCAAAGTTGATGAGCCGATGGTCAGCAGGGGCGGAGCTGCTCCCACCTGCGCTTGGGGTGACCCCGCAGGGAAAATGACATTCGGGAGAGAAGTTGTTTGAGTTCCGACTACTGCCCCATTCGCTGCGGTGCTTCCTACGACGAGAGCGTTTCCTGAAGGTACTAGCGACACTGGGCTGCCGTTGACGATGACAACACTTCCGCCAGGCTGGAGAGTCTGCGTGCCTACAACAACGATAGAAGATGGTCCAATGATGATCGGATTGCCACCGACTGTTCCAACAACGACCGAAGACGGCCCTACCACGACAGGGTTGCCACCAATTGTCCCAATAGTCTGAGTTGGCGAACCAGGATTGGCGACAATGGGGAGAGAAGATGGGTGGCCGTTTACGACGATAGCAGTTGCGGAAGGAGCGACTGAAATGGAACTGCCGTCAATGGTCACGGCGGGTGCGCCAGGCTGTACAGTTTGCGAACCGACAATGACCACGGATGAAGGTCCCACGATGACTGGATTTCTTCCAATGGTGCCAACGGTCACTCTAGGAGGCGTAGCAGGGCTTGAGTTGGAAGAGCCACCCCCAGACTGGCTGCCGCCTGATTGACTTCCTCCCGACTGGCTTCCACCCGGTGACGAGCTCTCAGATGGACGGCTCCCGGCTGCAGGCGTGGATCCAGGCGACGCTGAAGTTGGGATGGGCGCAACCTTGCCGCCCATTGTGAACGGCTGACCTGTCGACGTAGCCGCAGCCAAAATTGAAACGTCGTCGCCCCATCCTAGAACGGTCGATTCGATGTGGACGATGAATGGGTTTACATGAGGGAGGTAGATGTACAGCATATCGACGACAACCAGGACTGTTACAGAGCCTTGGATGGTTCCGGGGACGCAGGTCGATTGAGGAATTTGTTGCAGGAAATCCGCAGGTAAGGTGCCGGATGCCGATGCGGAGTTTTCGATGCCTTCGATAGCATATGTGAACGCAGTGGGTTCGGCTAGATTGATTGTCTGGGTGCTGGTGGTACCATTGGCCTTTGTCTCGACTTCGTAGGCCGTGAAGTACATGAAGGGAGTGTCCGAGGTCATGGTAGATGTAGCATCGATTGTCACTGTCGCAGCCGTGCTATTGACTGTCAAGTAAGTGTATATGTCCGATACCGGGAACACATTACCAGAGGGCAATGCAGGTAGATAACCACGCTCCACTACGGACGTTGTTGCAGCTGCGGGCGTAACAGTGTAGGGAATGTAGTCAGTCCAAGTGAAGCCGTAGACCGAGTCGAAAGTCACGTGTTCGGACCATGGGAAGTCGCTCTGGATCGCGCTCAGGACGTCGAAGGGGCCAGTTTGGGTGTTCGGGATCATGGTCAAGTACGGCACTGAGTGTGTGAAGTTGGGTGCAAATGCTGTATACGTTCCGACGGCAGACTGGAAGGTGGCCCCATACCACCATTCCATATTCGCGCTTGGGACGTTGACAGTGCACAGTGTATTCTGTGTCTGGTTACTACTCCTAGTATGGTTTGATAACCCAGAAGGTTGAATAACCCCAGTAGGCGCAAGATAACCAGATGCCATGGTTATGGTGACAGAATTGGATCCATTAACGGGGTAAGGCGCCTGGTACCCGGACAGCCTGGGAAACCCGTAGCCACTGGAAGCGATCGTTGGGCCATTGGTAGGGTACGGTGGTGATTGTGAGGTGCGGTGCGTGCCCGTCTGAGGTGTGGAAATGGCATTGGATTGTCGAGAAGGCGATTGCTGTGTGCTGTTGAGCTCGCTTGATGAAGGCTTGGTCACCAAGTACGAGGAAGTGAGAGGTGTTCCAGAAAGCAATGGCCGAGTGGAGTTGTTTGCGGCTGGCGATGGTTTTGGTGCAGTCGACAGCGACTGAGAAGGAGATTCCGATATCAACGAGGGTGTCGAGGCGGAGGAAACCCCAGTGGGAAGGTCCGCCGCATGGGAAGGATTCAAGGAAAGCGTATTGAGCCCAGACAATGTCGACGAAGTGGGAGGATGCAGGGGTGACGTGCAGGCCCGGGCTGTGGTGTTTGCATACGGTGCCCGGTCTGTGGTGGGTGAATACGGTGCTTAGCTGAGTTAGCAGGGCGGAATACGAGGCTGCGTGGAATCCTACCAGCTCCAGTACCGCGCGGGCGGTAAGCTGTCGCGAGCGGCGCGATCCACAGCAGGATCAGCCATTTGACACCGAACATGACGCCTCCACGCGCACCTTTACAGCGCAACAGCGAGCGTGATGAGAGCGAGAGGCATCTGCAACCAGATGCGACCAGATGGGATGAAAGGGAGGCCTTAGAAGGCCGGAGCGTGATTGCTGGCGACTAGCGACGTTTCGCGAAGCTTTGACCGCAGCTAACAGCGACGGTCAGCTCTGCTTCGCACTGCTGTTTACAGGGACACATGACGTTGTACAGGCCGACTGTTGAAGGACTGGCCGCTCGGCAAGGGCAGCGCCGTCACGGGTAGCATGCGACGGGCCCGTGGCTGGTTGGCTCTCTTGCGTAGACTTCGCGATACTAACCCGACGCCTCCATGGCCCGCGGCGCACTCAGCATGGCATGCGCGAAGTAGGGCAGAAGCGTGCTCCGACGCGGCCGCACGCCACAGCAGCCCCCGGGTGTCGGTGCCACAACGTGCAGTTCCCCTGGATGTGGACCATGCGTTGTGGAGGGTCAAGATTGCGATTCATGCGCTGAGCGAGACCACTTCATGGTCAGGACCAGCGCACAGGGGACAGCAAGGACACCGACTGCACGATCCGCCGCACAGTCAGCAAGCTCACGACTCCGGCAATGTGGACTTGCGGCCGAGTCCTCAAGGCCCTGCAGCAGCACGGAGCGCATTCCAGCCGTGAGGGGCGGTTCGCCCGCCATGGATGCGCTGGAGCTCGGCACCCCCAGCGCAAAGACGCGCCCGTCGCTGCCTTCTCCGGGCGGCGCCTCGAGCAAGCTATTGTCTGTCCATCCTTCACGGCCATGTGAACAAAGACACGCCCTGGACAAGCCAACGGGTGGAGCGGATGGCCAGCGAGCAGACGCCGCAGCCGGATACTCAGTCTCATCTATGCGGGAGAAGTGCCGGATGAAAGTCGACATGGCCATGGCAAGAGGGCGGCGAGGGACCTGGTCGGCGAGGCCTCGTATGCTCCGGACTCGCCGGGCGCGCAACACAACAGGGCACCCGTGACGGTCTTCAATACAGAGCCACATGCCTCGTGAAACACTGGGACCGCAGCTACCCCAGAGCGGCAGCAAGATGCATCTATCGTCGTCTTCGCGTCTGGTCGGCGCGAGCTAGAGCATTGAGAGCAATATCCGCCTGGCCCTTGGCCAGACGCTCGGCTACGCAGCGAACATCCTGGTCGCAATCTGGCTCAACACCACCCGCGGGCTGCTCTCGGCGCCGCGCGGGCTGGCTGGCCGGCGGGCGAGCAAGGGCCCTCTCCATCCCTCTCTCCTCCCTCTTCTTCCCCACTGAAGCTCTGTCTGAGCGCAATGTGGAGTGGTGATGCCCGCCATTGCGACCGTGGCTGAGTGGCTTCCGTACCTGAGTCGCCAGCACGCGGCGCCCAGTCGACAACATGCTCGTTCCCCAGCGATACCAACGATGCGCCACCCTTCTCTGGCTGTTCGTCGCGGCACTCCTCACACCAGCCCTCGCCGGTGACGACGGCCTGCCTCTCCCCATTTCTGTCGCGCCCGACCAGAACTGGGAGGGCATCGATGGCAGCTGGAACACCTTCAGCCTGCGCGTGGGCACGCCCTACCAGCCCGTGCGCGTCTTTGTCTCCACAGCCAGCCAGCAGACATGGACCGTGGCCAAATACGCCTGCATGCGCTCTGAGTTTGACTCCGCGACAAACACCACTACCGAGAAGGAGGACTCCGATTGCCGCAACTCTCGCGGATGGACCTTTGACTCAAACGCTTCCTCGTCGTGGGACTACAACGGCTTCTACCAGCTATGGATTGAAAAGAATCTGGATTATGCAGGCAATGGCCAGTACGGATGGGACACCGTGGGCCTAGGGTTGCCAGGGGAGGAAGGCCCGACACTGGTCAACACGACTGTGGGCACCCACATCTCGAGCGACTTCTGGCTCGGTCACTTTGGCGTCAATCCGAAGTCGACCAACTTCACCAACTTCACTGATCCCTCACCGAGCTACATGACGCTCCTCTTTGAGCAACATCATATACCGAGCGTGTCGTTTGGGTACACTGCGGGCGCTCAATACCGTGTGTGCTCCCGCTTCCAAAGCTTGTAACGCGCTAACGCTGTCAGACGGAACCTCTGTTCTCGCAAGCCTCACGCTTGGTGGCTACGACGCTTCGCGGTTCATCGAAAACGACCTGACTTGGAATTTCGCGCCCGACAACGAGAGGGACCTTGTGGTAGGCATAGTCGACATATCCGCAACCAGCTCCACCAAGTCAAGCATCGACCTATTGAACCGCGATCCTTTCTCCGCGTACATTGATTCTACTGTTGCCGAGCTCTGGCTGCCCGTTGAAGTATGCGAAGCTTTCGAAGACGCATTTGGGCTGGTCTACGACAACACCACAGGCCTTTACCTCGTCGACGATCAACTGCACGACAGACTCAAGGCGGAGAACCCTTCTGTTACCTTCCTGCTTGGCCAGAAGTTTGTGACCAACGCAACCATCAACATCACGCTCCCATACGGTGCTTTTGATCTGCAGGCCAGTCCACCTTACAAAGGGCTGACGAACGTGACCAACTACTTTCCCCTTAGGCGTGCAACTAGGGATAATCAGTTCACGCTCGGACGCACCTTCCTGCAGGAATCGTATCTAACCGTGGATTGGGAACGCCAGAACTTCTCCATCTCTCAGTGCAACTGGGCGCTTGACGAGCATAAAAACATTGTTTCCATCATTTCACCCAAGTATACCGGCGAAAATGATGCTTCATCAAGTGGGCTGTCGACGGGGGCCATCATTGGTATCGCGGTTGGCATAGGTTTGGTCGTCATATTCGCTGCGGGTGCATTCTTCTTATGGTTCCGGCGTCGACGGCAAAGGCAGATGGACGAGAAGGCCAAGTTGAACTATGCGGGCCAGGCTGCTGCTACTAAAAAAGAGTCGTCAAGCGAAAAGGAGGAGCCTCTCCATTCCCCTGGGCAGGATAGCGGAGTAGGGCACGTTTTTCCGAAGGCAGAGCTACCGGCAGATTCGAAATTCGCGGATGCGGATGAGGAACGAAAAGACGTGGACTCACCTACTTCATTTGGCAGGCTAGTGGAAGCGGACAACACTGAGCGGCCCATCTACGAAATGGAAGGTGATGTGCCAGCGCCGAACGAAAGCGGCGGACGGCAGCTTTCAGAAAAGGAGACGATGATGGTTCGCGAAGCAAGGTATAACGGGGTGGATCCGAGTGGAACCGCGGACGCTTCGCCCAGGTCAGAAGAAGAGCCGCCGCAGCGTCACCGACCTGCGCCGTTGACGGGACTGGACATTGCCATGGTGAACAGAAGACTGCCTGTGTCTCCGGTGACGCCCTTGACTCCGCGCACCAGAGACGGGGCGAGTTTGGAAGCGGGCGACACGTTCTTCCAGCCGTTGCAGCGGCGCACGCCGCGAGATGGCAGCTTGCTAGAGGCCGAAGACACGCTTCTTTCGCCTGTATCTCCTCTGGACCCGCCAACGGACATGTCGCGGCGGCGATTCTCTTACGAATCATGACCAAAAGTAACTGCATTGGGTCGGCGTTTGGGCGGGTGCTCTGGACGATGGAGGGGTTTTCCTATTGTCGTCTATTTTGGTTGTGTGGCGTTGACGGAAGATACCTGCGCGCTGCGCCGTCGCACTTTTGATTTTGGACAATGGGCAGGAAGCATGGCATGTGGGTGCACACGGGTGCATGGCGTTGGGGAGACGCTCGCCTCTGTACATAGTCTTGTTGGGTCCGAGTTGCAGTCACATGCGTGGCAGAGGAGGCGGATCCAAGTCCAAATGCCAGATGCAAGTTCGGCAGGTTGCGCCTACGGTGCCCAGGCACGCTGACTGTGCGACAAAGAGGAGCGTCGGGAGAGACGTCAGCCTGGGCTTGCTCAGGGCGCGGGCTAACGCGGTAGGGCTGACGGGGCAGCTGGCCGCCACGGACGGCGTGTGGTCTCGGGGAGGGCGCTACGGTAGCATGTACAGTACCTTCGGGGGTGCCGCACACTGGGCCTGCCCCGCCGTGCGCGGCGGCGGTCTGGATAGAGGGCTAGCGGCGCGACGAAGCAGGCTGAGTGGCTTCGTCGTTGCGAACCCCACCATCGTCCCTCCAAAGCGCGTGCATAGGCAGCACCACGACCGCCTTTTGTTCTTGCTGCCCCTTCGTCAATCGCTGGTGCCGCCGCTGCAGTCTGCCTGTCTCTGCCATTTGCTGCGACCCCCCGGCCTGCTCTTCCGCTTGCAACAGGCGCCGTGCCCTGTCATTGTCCCGCCTGGTGCGCCAGTCAATTGCAGTCGTCACCTTCGCCCGCGCGCCTACAGCTCCGCGCCTTATATCGCCTCCAGCAGGCCCCTCCTCCCGTCCGCCCCATCGCAGCCTCTCTTGCCCGCCCAGCGCACCCTCACCCTGCCGCCGACCCTCTGCACGACCCCGCCCGTTCCGCAGCCTAGTCTCCAGCCGCCATGTCTGACCTCGCCGGCCGCAAGGTCTTCAAGGTCTTCAACCAGGAGTTCGTGGTCGACGAGCGGTACAATGTCACCAAGGAGCTGGGCCAGGGAGCCTACGGCATAGTCTGGTACGCAACCAGCGCTCCCCCGCGTGTGCATGCTAATCCCCCGGCAGCGCGGCTACCAACAACCAGACCGGCGAAGGCGTCGCCATCAAGAAGGTCACCAATGTCTTCAGCAAGAAGATCCTGGCCAAGCGCGCCCTGCGTGAGATCAAGCTGTTGCAGCACTTTAGAGGCAAGTCTTGCCCGTCCGGCACTGGCACCCAGTCTCCGCTAACACGTCCCAGGGCACCGCAACGTACGACGCCCGCCATGCCCACTTGAACACCCACGCTGAACGTTGCTGCAGATCACATGTCTCTACGACATGGACATTCCGCGCCCGGACAACTTCAACGAGTGCTACCTCTACGAGGGTATGCTCTGCCGTGCCGCGCGCATCGGGACGCTGCTGATGGAATACAGAGCTCATGGAGTGCGATTTGGCTGCCATCATCCGGTCCGGCCAGCCGCTCACCGACGCCCACTTTCAATCCTTCATCTACCAAATCCTCTGCGGTCTGAAGTACATTCACTCGGCCAACGTGCTCCATCGGGATCTCAAGCCCGGTAATCTGCTGGTCAATGCCGACTGCGAGCTCAAGATCTGCGATTTTGGTCTTGCTAGAGGTTTCTCCATGGACCCTGAGGAGAATGCAGGGTACATGACTGAATACGTCGCCACTCGCTGGTACAGAGCGCCCGAGATCATGTTGAGCTTCCAGAGCTACACCAAAGCTAGTATGTTGACACTTCCGCTTCTTTTCCCAGCCAGGGTCTGCGGGCCGCAACTGTGCATACAATCATTTGCCACACTTCACGCTTAGTAACTCTTGATCATCCGCTTACTGACCAACCACGCGCAGTCGATGTCTGGTCGGTAGGATGCATCCTCGCCGAACTGCTCGGTGGCAAGCCATTCTTCAAGGGACGAGACTACGTGGATCAACTGAACCAGATCCTGCACTATCTCGGCACACCCAACGAAGAGACCCTCTCCCGCATCGGCTCGCCTCGCGCCCAAGACTACGTCCGCAACCTGCCCTTCATGCAAAAAGTCTCGTTCCAATCGCTCTTCCGCCAAGCCAATCCGGACGCACTCGACCTGCTCGACCGCATGCTCGCCTTCGACCCCTCGTCCCGCATCTCGGTCGAGGAAGCCCTCGAGCACCGCTACCTGCACATTTGGCACGACGCCTCTGACGAGCCAAACTGCCCGACGACCTTTGACTTCCAGTTCGAGGTCGTCGAGGACATTGCTGAGATGAAGAAGATGATCCTGCAGGAGGTCAACCGCTTCCGCCAGCAGGTGCGTGTACAGCCCGGAGGCCAGGGCGTGCCCGGCCAGCAGCAGCCCACGGTCCCGATACCGAACAACTACGACCGCAGCGGGTATGAGGACCCCAGGCCGCACGAGGCGATGGCACAGGGCGGATGGCAGGGGAATGAGCTCGAGAGAGATCTGCAGGGATTGGACGCGCGGATGCGGTAGGATGTGTCGCGCGGGCGGGCCTGTAGGGAAAGAGGTTTTGGCGGAAACGGCAGTCAGGGTAATTCTATGCGATTGGTATGAAATATGACGCCTTAGTCAGGAATGGGGACGAAACCTCCCCTGTCGATTGTCTAGCTTTTCGTTACGAAGAACAATACGCGCTCGTGTGATTGGCTGGGTTCGCAGTGCGAGGGGATGTGATGCGGTGGCTGTGAGTGATACTTCGCTTTGTCGCTCTACTTTTGATTCTTCCCACCACAACAGCCATCACGTCTGTTCATACACATATACAACGGCCTCAACAGCGCCCCTTGCCGGGACTCCCCTCCAGGTTAATGCAATCTCGCACGCGCTCCAAATTCTCCAGCGCCCGTCTCTCCGCTTCCATCCTTCTCAATAAAAACAGTCTCTCGGTAGGAGCAGTGGTAGAAGCGATACCACGTGATCACCCACTAGTGATAATCCGGATTAGTCTTAACATGCTGTTATCTGCTTACCGAGTGTACCCAGACGGCCCGGATGCTCCTCCGAATTCTATACTATGCTTCTAGTTCTGGCAAGAGCTTACCAATGCCATAAGGTCCACTCTGTGGGGCAGATTACCAACCATCACCCTGCACTTACACTACACACCACTTCACCTTCTCCAACTGAGCGCTTCCAGCATACGCATATAGTTTCCCATCACTCGCTAAATCACCACATTGAATTCCATTGTCTCACTTGGAGCTCAAAACACTCTAACCCCAGCCATGGCCCCAAAGATCTTCCTGTAGAGCCTCCTCTACCACGTCTTCTACATCAGATACTGACTTCCCACAGCACCGGCGGAACAGGCTATATTGGTGGCTCCATTCTGCATGCTCTCGTGACTGCCCACCCAGAATACGACATCACTGTACTCCTGCGCAAGACTCCCGAAGCCTTCACGTCTACCTACCCCAACGTGAAGATTGTGCAGGGTGATTATGATAGTGCAGAAACGCTCGCAGAGCGGGCGAAGCAGGCCGATGTTGTTGTGCGTATGTGTTCCTGCTGTTGTCCTATCAAGTGTCATCTCCACAGGAAGAGGATGATGTTGGTCTCCTATGTCCATGTCCTCTGCACCCCTTTCCTCTCTTCAACCCATACACATCGGCCTCCTGACCTCCCACAGACAACGGCGATTCCGACCACGAGCCCTCTCTCAACGCTCTCATCTCAGGTCTCCTCGCCAAGCCCAAAAAGTCCCACCTCCTGCACCTCTCCGGCACAGGCATCGTCTCGGACTGGGCCTCCCCCCAGCACCTCGGCACACTCAACCCCAAAGTGTACTCCGACGTAGACGACATCGCCGCCATTGCGGCGCTGCCGGACCACGCGCTCCACCGTAACACAGAGAAGATTTTATTCAAGACTGCAGCTGAGCATGGTGATAAACTGGAGATTGCGGTCATGTGTCCGCCGGATAGTACGTCTCTGCATGGTCCCCCTTCCAACCATACAGCTCCCCGTCATCCCTTGAATACTACCTATAATATGGCATGGTAACAACGTACGCGCAGTCTACGGTCCTGGCACTGGCCCTGGCAACACCCAATCCGTCTTCACGCGCCTCTTCATCGCCGACGCTACAACCGTCGCGGGCAACCGCGTCTTCTACCACGGTGCTGGCACGAACACGCGCTCCTGGGTGCATATCTCAGACCTGACGTCGCTCTATCTCCGCGTTGTTGAGGCAGCTGTAGCTGACTCGCCTACGTTCTCTGGCCCAGGAAAGTATCCTGGGTACTACTTCGCGGGCACGCAGGAGCACGCGCACATTGATGTTGCGCGGACCATTGGCGCGACTCTGGTGAAGCATGGGGTTATTCAGGATGCAGAGCCCGTCGAAGTTGGGCTCGAGGAGGTGGATAGGATGGCGAAGCACCCGCTGTTTCCGAAACTGGGGAGGTATTTGTATGCAAGTAATTCAAGGACGAGGGCGGTGAGGGCAGAGAAGATGTTTGGGTATGTGGGGCGGGCGGAGGGGTTGTTAGAGAGTATAGAAGGCGACGTGTTAGCTGCGTTGGGGAAATAGCTGGGTCCGAGGTCGCGACAAAGCACTACATTCCTTGGAACTTCAGCGCATACGCTCATGACCGGTGAAGATAGCAGCATCCATGTCTTCTGGCGTAGGATTTCCCACGGTGGGACGACTCAAAACGTTGGAATGGAACCCCGCAGGACATGGTCCCCATGAACCGTAGGCAAAACCTCAACCTCATGCTCGAGGATTGAGTGCAATTCGCGACGTTAGTTTGAGCCATCGGATCGAATCGCAAATTCGGGACGGCGCGATGAGGACTTCCTGTACCTCACGTCCACCATCCTCGGCCTCAGCACCGCTCAGATCCAAAAACCTCTCAAGACAGACAACAACGTGTCGAGCCCAACACACCGCATCGCTACTATTGGAGGCGGCGCAGCAGGCTGTTCAGCTGCATACCGCGTCTCTCAATTCACAACCCATCCACTGTCCATCACCGTCTTCGAGCGTGAATCCCGCGTAGGTGGCCGGGTCATAAACGTCCACGCCTTCTCCAACACCTCTGAGCCCGTGGAACTCGCGGGCGCAATCTTCGTCTCCACCAACGTGACCCTAGTCAACGCAACGCGGGACTTTGACCTCTCGACCGAAAGGCGTGCGAGTGGTGAGGCTAGCGACATCAACTACGACCTCGGCGTGTGGGACGCAGGCAATTCGTGTTTCCGAACGAGGCGCAGACCGAGTGCAGCGATGACGTGGGCAGTGCAAACTTGGCAAGTAAGTGGACTGGTGTGTTTGGGATGTCGAAGTTGTTCTGGGCGGTATGGTTGAGTCCGTTGCGATTGCAGTGGGCGAAGAAGAAGGCGATGGGGCGGTGCAGTTGCTAGTACGATGAGTTGTTTCCGTTTGAGTCATTGACGTGGGCTACGAGGGAGGCTGGGCTAGTGGAGACTGCGGCTTCGTCGGGACAGGAGTCGATGAGGAGCACAGGAATTAGTGAGCGGGTCATGCGCGAGATGGTGCAGGCGAGCACGAGGATGGACTATGGCAATAATCTAGGCTCGATACATGGGTTGGGGACCATGGTCATTATTGTTGGATGGTAAATCGATCAGTTCAAAAAGGATTGCGACGGATGGCGCGAGGCATGTAAGAAGCGGCAACTGGCAGAACTTTGATAACACGGCCGCCAGGGCTGGCACAGATCTCAAAGTCGACACGACGGTGACGGGTATCGAGCTGCTTATGACTGAGGAGAAGCATATGCGTTACAAAAGCTCTCCCTCAGACTTGGGCTCGGACGCTACTCTCTCTGCACAGTTCGACACGGTCATCTTTACCACTCCCTACAACCAGTCATCAATCGCATTCACCCCTCGGCTCCACGTCCAACCGAAGAGAATCGACTACGTGATCCAGCACATCACGCTTTTGGCAAGCCCACACCGCCCATGTCCCAACTTCTTCAACCTAAGCGACCCCACCAACGTCCCCGACAGCATCCTCACCACCACGCCCGCCGGCTACGACCTCACTAGCGGGGCTCCGAAGCGCTGGACCCTAACACCAAGTTTTAGCCCCTCTCAACACTTAGAAAATTGAGCGTACGCAATGGAACCACAGGCACTGACGAGCGCATGTTCCTGTACAAGACATTCAGCCCCGAGCCGCTCACGCCGTCTTTCTTTAGCAAGCTGTTCGATTTATCCGCCCCAGCGGAATGTACGACCGTGGAAGACATGTTTTCGTGGCTGCACAGGCAGAAGTTCCTTGCCTATCCTTATCGCACACCATGCAGCGCTTTCGACTCGTTCCAAGCTCTGGATCGAGACGAAGGAGTCGGTCCTGCAGAGCGTGCGGCCTGAGGATACGATGGTCTGGTATACACCGCCGTTTGAAAGCTTCTTCAGCACGATGGAGACAAGTGCGTTGTCTGGGCGGAAGGGTGCCAAGCTGATTGCTCAAGGCCTTGAGTGTGGGACGACAGGGGACACGGGTGCTCATGATGTGCCGAATGCTGAGGCTGACGGGAAGCAGGAGCTGTAGCGGAGCGTTGTTCTGAATAATGCTAGGCCAGTAGAACAAGGCGTCTGGATGATTCTTCTGTCGCATTCGGTCGCCCTAATGCAGGATGCAATTGGTGTAGCTCCATTCCCACGACCTTGCAGAACAACCCATTTCGTCCTGTAATAACTCCTTTTGTCGCTGAGGAATGGCCCAGGCGTAAGAAGGGACATACTCTCTCGTGTGAACGTAAAGACCGGATGTGAGTTGTTCAGTCAGAAGGTTTCTCAACAGTTGATTTCGGGGTGATTTGAAGTACTATGGGCATATAGAATTAGAGGCGATAGTTCGTCACCGGTTTTCATTCTCCTGAGAGAGGGCGCGTAGAGACCAACGCTCTCGTGAACATGTAAAGACAGGATATGGGCTATTAGATCGGAATGCATCACGATAAATGAGCCTGGGGTTATTTGAACTACCATGACTATTTAGAATCTGATCGTGACAATGTATCTCTGCCCATGGTGGTTCTCTTATCCACGCGAGAGGAACAGTGGCCAAGCCGCTAGGCCAAGGGTGGCTACCGCGTGATCGGTGGAGTTCTCCACACCTGCCGATAACTTTCCAAAAACTTTTTGGCAAGCGCGACCAGACCTTTCGCACGTCGCAACAAGCAGCGATACCGCCACCATGTCCTCTGCCCAGGAAATCGAGACGAAGAAGCGCAAGCGCAAGCACAAGAGCAAGACCCGCGAGGAACCTGTCATCGCAGAGCCTGTCAGCAACGGCGTCGCAGAACAGAAGCAGAAGCCCCGCAAGAAGGCCAAGAAGGAGCATACGCCCGAGCCTGACATAGCTGAGGATGTGGCTAGCGATGCCAGTCAAGAGGAAAACGAGGAGGAGCTCAATGCAGAGCTGAAGAAGATTGCCGCTGAGGCGAAGGGCGCCGAAGCAGAGAAAGACGAAGACGAGCAATCCGACGACGATGCTGACGACGTGGAGAAGGCAACCGGCGCGAACGCAGACCTTGTTGCGAGCACCTCGATGCCGACCGTCGACGACCCCATCAAGTTCTCCGACCTCAAGATGAGCGAACGCACGATGAAGGCGATTGAGGGCATGGGCTTCGAGACCATGACCGAGATCCAGAGGCGCGCTATACCGCCTCTACTGGCTGGAAAGGATGTGCTCGGTGCTGCGAAGACTGGATCGGGAAAGACCCTGGCTTTCCTGATCCCCGTCATTGAGATGCTCTCCGCCATGAAGTTCAAGCCTCGCAACGGTACCGGTGCCATCGTTGTGGCGCCGACCCGCGAGCTCGCACTGCAGATTTTCGGCGTTGCGCGAGAACTCATGGAGTCTCACTCGCAAACCTATGGCATATTTATGGGCGGCGCAAACCGTTCTGCAGAGGCTGCCAAGTTGGTCAAGGGTGTGAATCTTATGATCGCAACTCCTGGAAGGCTACTCGATCACTTGCGCGGGACAGACGGCTTCGTTTTCAAGAACTTGAAGAGTTTGATCATCGATGAGGCGGACAGAATCTTGGAGGTTGGTTTCGAAGACGAGATGAGGAGTATCATCAAATGTCTCCCGAAAGACAGACAGACGATGCTTTTCTCTGCCACGCAGACAACAAAGGTCGAAGATCTCGCACGTATCTCGCTCAAGCCAGGTCCCCTTTACATTAACGTCGATTATCATAAAGAGCACAGCACGGTTGACTCTTTGGAGCAAGGCTACGTGATTTGTGACAGTGACACCCGCTTCAGGTTACTGTTCAGCTTTCTAAAGAAGCACCAGAAGAAGAAGATCATTGTGTTTTTCTCTTCATGCAACGCAGTGAAATACTATGCAGAGCGTAAGTCGAATATGCCATGTCAAACAAGCAGATGGCTAATATGGACAGTACTCAATTACATAGACCTCCCAGTCTTGGATCTCCATGGCAAGCTCAAACAGCAAGCTCGTACAAACCGTTTCTTTGAGTTCTGCAACGCATCGTCTGGTACGCTCATCTGTACCGACGTAGCTGCACGTGGACTCGACATCCCCGAGGTTGACTGGGTTATCCAGTTCGACCCGCCGGATGACCCGAGAGATTACATTCACCGCGTGGGACGTACTGCGCGTGGAAGCAACGGCAAGGGCCGATCCTTGATGTTCCTGCTACCCAGCGAGGTCGGCTTTCTCAAGCTACTCAAGGAAGCGCGTGTGCCATTGGTGGAGTTTGAGCTGCCAGCAAACAAGATGTGAGTTGTCTACTTCTGGAGCACAATAGGATGTCTAGGTCTCATAGCGCAACTGCTACCCACTGCGGTCCAGCTCGCTTCACTTCACCAGATCCTGTGCCCGTTAACACGGATATCGCTGACGACATTCCAGATTGAACATCCAGTCCCAGCTCGAAGCGCTGATTGGGAAGAACTACTACCTGAACAAATCAGCAAAGGAAGGGTACAAGGCCTATCTCCATTCGTACGCGTCACATTCGCTGCGGTCTGTGTTTGACGTGCACAAGCTCGATTTGGTCAAGGTCGCCAAGTCGTTTGGGTTCTCAACGCCGCCGCGCATCGATATCACACTTGGCGCTAGTCTGGCCAGAGACAAGAAGGTGGAAGGAAGGAGAGCGTACGGGAGCCAGCCTCAGCAGGGCAGGCGGCCAATGAAGCCGAACAAGCGATTCTGATGTATGGGCACGATGTCTGCATTTCTGGCGTATGGTGTTGGTTGATGGGTCGAATCCCGGCATCATCTGCGAACGTTGGGGGACGGGGATGCCATGTTCGTAACTTGTACACTTTGCAATACCAAGCTTCTGGGTGGATAGATGGATCACTGTACCCGTCACTGTTGCACAAGACCGGTGAAGAAATCTAGCTTCCAACCGGGAACCAGTCAATGCACTGCAGTTGCTTCCTCGCCCCAGCTGCCACTTCATCGCCTCCCGGCCCCAAGCGCCTCACGGAAAGTCGGTGCGCAAGGCGGTAGAAGCAAAGTCATTCGACAGGGCAGACATGCGGGTCACGACAAGATGCGCTGCTGCGAACGCTCAGGGAGCAATCGAGGTGGTTGACTGGATGATGCGTTGGCAAAGTCTCCAAGCGTGCGGCCAATCATGGTGGCGGAGGCGGGAACGACGAGGGTGCTCAAGCGGGTTTCTGGGGCGACGCTCCCGCGAGCACGGTGCCGCAAGCTAAAACAAGTCAAGGCAAGTCAGGTAGACATGACGCTGGGTGGGGATCGGGCGCAATAGCGGTGTAAGAGAGACAGTGACTGCTGTTGAGTGATGGGATACCGTGGGAGGTGATGATGGGATGGGAGGCGACGGCCTGGCGAATGGCTGGCGCGCTGAAGCAGCGGTACCAGCCACCTCTTTTGCGCGCTGCGGCAGACGGCGCAGCGCGGGCGGCTGACTGGCGGAGACGGAGACTTGGCTCGGGAGCGTCTAGTCCATGTACCTGTGGAATGTACAGCAGAGACATGCAGGCGGTGCATGGTGAGGGCCACGCGGTGGAGCAGCCGTGCAAAAGTGGCACAACGTCGCGACAGGTGGCTGGAATGGGAGAGGGAACGTGGCCTGCAGCGCCTTTCTGCACTTGTTCAAGATTCCAACCGCGTGCTCGCAGCCTTCTTTTGCATCGAGCGAACTCTGGTAGTCTAGCGCTCCGACAATTGGCTGCCGGCGCTACGCGTACAGTAGTGATCGAAGCGACAGGGGTGCTTTTCGACCTTGACCCGGCTTGCCTGCTTGCTCTCCACACCCAGCCCACCTCTGCCACGGCGCCTCCTCCAGCTATCCTCCCTCACCACCGAGGGCGCCGCCATACCGCGGACTGCCCTAGTCGCGCGCAGCAGAATCCAGTTTGCCCGTCCGTGGCACAGGTACGTTTGCTGCCCATCGCTGCTGCCTCGCCGCAATTGCAGCGCCTTCCTCGTTCGTCGGCTCACCTCGCGCAGCCAGCTCGACGCTGGACTTGTCGGCGCGCTCCCAGCTCGTCGCCCTTCTGTCAAACGCCCACGTCGCAGCACGCCCGGGCACTCCTCCACCTCTCCGGCGGCCATGTACTAATTGCCCTCGTCACATTCGCTATCCTCGAGTGTGCGTCCGGCCCGTATAGCGCATTCTGGGGTAACACTGTTCGCGGACCAGTGACCCGACTTTGCGCCGCCCAAGGCCACCGCGCACCTATCTCACCCTGACATCGCTCGCTACCATCAATCCCCCATGTCGCCCGACCACGACTTCAGTTTCTAGGACCCGCTTGGACTCATGATGGGCTTGGACACCCAACGACCACCTCTTCCGGCACCTACTGAACCTTCGACTCTCAGCTCCGTAGACAACGACACTAGTCTCCGCGACGACGTGGACACCAACGTCTCGTCGCGTACCGACAAAACATCTTATTCCATCCCCGAGGACGGCACCCCTGTAACCATCAACACCACCAAGCAGCAAGGCGGCTTCCACAAGAAGTATCCCTCGCAAACCTCGCTGCTCATCGAATATTTTGAGGGCGGTAAGTCGGAAGGCAAGGTCCACTCGCGCCCTAGCGTCCGCGTGCGAGTCACACCGTCCTCCCGCAAAAACAAGTCTGCGACTGCGAACGACCACGTGCAGATCACCCAGACGACCCGCAACACACGAAAGCCGCTGTATACCCGGCGTGTATCCTTAGGCAGCAAGCCCCGCGACGAACTTGTACACCACACCAACACCGACGTTTCTTACTCGGACGGCTCCAACGTTTCCTCAATTCCGCCTGTCGAGATCGAGGTCCTTCAGAACGCTAGCGACCTATCTTTTAACGGCGGACGGTTCGTTCCAATGGCATCAGACATATCCTCTATGCCCCCGGACAGTATGTTGGAAGGCGAGCCTATTATCAAAACCCCAGGCCGTCGGCGCAGCCGCAGTCTGGAGCGCGACGAAGTTCTAGCATCAAAGGACATTTCCGACACGCTGAAGGCTCCCACGCGGCAACGCAGCAGGAGCTTGAGCAAGGAAAGGATAACTGCTCGCGTAATGGAGAAATTGCAGCAAAAACCCACAGAAAGCGTCTCGCCCAAATCTAAGCACAGAACAGGTAGCAGAGAGGAGCTCACTGCAAGTCGCAAGTCGCATCGAAAGACGAGTAGATCCCGCCGCGAAGAAGAGACGAGTGGCATCAGCGGGACCGAGTCTAGCCTACTGTCTTCCAATGTTCACCGTCGCTCCGGCGACACACAGTCTATACGCTCGGGGGTTTCTGGAACCTCGTCGATCAACAATCCCAAGCTGCTTGCGACGGTTGAAGATGCCATCAAGCGTCTCATTCTTCCTGAACTGACTGCCTTGAAAGAGGAACAGCGCACACAGAAGAACGCCGCAAAATTCGAGACCATGTCCCGCGATAGCACTTATGAGGCAGCAGAATCGACAAAGTCCCGCGATAGCTCTCGTCGGCGAGTGTCCAAGTCCTCAAGCGCGCCGCATATCCACGGTAGCAAACCAAAGGTGGTCCTAAACCGGGACGAAAACGACCCCGGTACCGTCCTCTCTGGAGGCTCGAGTCGCCATCGACGCTCAAGCCGTGGCTCAGTGTCAGAGCGCAGCTATGCTGAGTCCACCGAAGAGAAGATTCGCCACAAGAAGAGCAAGGACAGCAGCCGCCACTCGACTCGTGACGCCGCTTTGGCAGGGCTTGCCGCATCCGGACTGACTGCTGCGGCTTTGAAAGGCCACACTGCCCGCGAAGAGGAGAAGGCAGAACGCAAAGAAAGGAGAAAGCGACATTCGAAGAGCCGAAGCAGGACAGCAAGTATCTCAGAAAGTATAGAAGACGAGGTTTTTGAAACACCGTTCACAGAACCATCCGTACCTCCGCTTCCAATCCTGCAGAGCGAATTGCAGGGCTCTGAGTTGACGCGCGACTCAATACTATCAGCGGAAACAGAGACGCGGGAGCGTCCAGAGTCGAGTTCTTCAAGACACACCGGGGCGGAAACTCCACTCCGAGAAGTAGCGCGCGGATTCGCTTCGCCATCTCCACGCACCCCTACGCTTACACCTAATACGACTACCCAGAGGAGCCTTGGAACTGCTCACAGTAATCACTCGCAGGGTGCTCTCAGTGCTAAGAGTGACCGGAGTTACTTTTCCAGGACTAGAGAAACTTCAACGGCAGCCCAGGAAGCGGCAGCGGCCGCTAAAGCTCGCGCCATTGAGCGCGCTGCACCGCATAGCCCTCAATATGAAATCGCTGAAGCGACACCCACAAGGGGTCTCAGCCCCATCCAAAGCGAAGCCAGTTATCGAGAGGAGGTGTTGGAGACTGGCTCTCCGCGTCAGCTGCGCTCAGTCCATAGCGGTGCCTCTGTGTCCACAGCTGGGCGAAAGGGCGCACGGCCGCAGTCCACCCTTTCCATCCAGTCTTTTGAATCTTCACCAAGTACAAAGGCTGCGCGAACGCGGAAGCGCCCGCAAGGTGTGAGCCTGGAGCGAACGAAGGAAGTATTGGGCGAGCCTGATACTCCACGCGATGTCGATGAATTCTTTGAGAAGAACCACGAGCAGAACGAGCAGTATAGAAGGGAGTATGAGGCCAGCTTGCGTGACTCACCCGGCGCCGACTCTCGACGAATGACCGGTTACAGCGAGGAGGGCGAAGGACCTTACCCGGAGCGAGACGAACAACGACTTTCTCTGAGCCAGGACATTCGCAAGGTCGGCTTGAACCCAGAATACGTCCATACACCTCTTGCTGTCGAGTCGGCAGTGGCATCTTTGCTTGAACCTTCAAGCATTAGTATTCAATCATCAACCACAAGTCCTGTGAAAGGAAAGAGCAGGTTGTCACGCGTCAGCCCAAGTCCAGACTATCAGCACATCGCAGAAGGTTCCGAGCTGTCCGAGCTGCACGAACATCCTAGCCAAGAAAGGTGGAATGCGATCCGCGGTCAAGCTCAAACCCTGGCTGGGAAGTCAGGAGCTGGCAGCTCGCCACGACAAAGTCTCTCTGTATCACTTCAAGACGAGCCGCAGATGAATCATAGCGCAATACCAACCGGTTATGTGGAGCCTGAATATGGATACGGAGTAGACGATGAATCCGAAGTCATCACAAACCCATCCATCATCAACGGCCCTGGTGGCGCCCAGTACGATGATCGTACAGAGGAGCTTCTGAGCAGACAGGAAGAACGTGAGCAGCGAACACCATCACGATCTTATGGAAAGGCTGCAGCTGCTGGTGCTGCGGCTGGACTCGCCGCAGCCGCAGCAGCTCGCTCACGGAATGAAAGTCCCATGTATGATCAACAGCGTGATAGCATGGCGAGTGACAATTACGAACTGCACTACGATCAGCACGAGCCATTACATTCAAAGAACTCGTACTCACGTGAGCGGACGCCCTCGCGGAGTCCAGCGCTTTGGAAAGACGAAGGCTACCAATCAGCCCACCAACCTGGAGCTCACACACCAGATATGCGCCACCAGAGGCTTTACGATGGGGAGATGGACGAATACGATGAGTCACCCCTGGACGGCGGGGATCCTTTCAGCACTCCCGATGCTAAGCATGCCCGTCACTTGAGTGGCAATTCTCATGGAATGGCCTCGCCTCTCTACGATTCAGCAACTGGAAAAGGCCTCGATCGGATTGAATCGAAGGATATAGTGGCACTGATGGACCACTTGACCGTGCGCGATGCGCAAAGGAACGCTCGCGATACTGAAATTCTGGTGACTCTGGTGCGGAGTGCAGCCGAGATGCGCAACACTTTCGAAGAGCTGAAACAGTTCATCCGCGTCCAAGACTCTATGGTCATGAATCACACCGACAAGCGTGTGGACTTGGCAGAGCAGCGCATCATTGGCGGTCCCCGCCCGCAGCCCGCAGGCTCTCCACGAGCTCCTCGATCTTCCGCTGACGACCTTGACTACGAGACCAAAAAGAAGAATGTGTTCAAACGCGCACTCAAGGGCTTGGGCTCCAAGGGAGACAAGGACATCAAAAACATCGAGGCCATGCTCATGCAACTTCTTGGAGATGTAGAAGGTCTGAAGCAGGTGCACCAACTGACACTGGATCAACAGCGCACAAATAGCATGACATCTTACGAACACATGCGCGCGAACGATCCCGGTGCTCCCGAGTCTGGCTATGAGCCGGAAGGCCGGGCAAACACCGCCTCATCGCCAAACCAGTCTGGTTACTTGTCCAACCCTTCTACTTCGCGACGCATACAAGATCTGCACTCCGGATACGACGTCCCTCAAACTCAACGGATAAGCACCGTACACGAAGAGGATGACGAGGAGTACCTGGAAGACGAACCTCAGTATGAGAACACCGAACGTATGACCACTCCGACACAGGAAGCTCGTCGTAACAACAGCCTCTCGCACGACACTCCTCCGCAAGCAGCAAAGCCGTTCCGAGAATCTCAAAGCCAAGAGAACACGCCCAAGCGTAAGCACAAATCAAACTCATCCTCCATCTTTGGCATTCCGAAGATCTCAAGGTGGTCAAAGACAACGGCTTCCACGAACCGCGACTCGGAAAGCCTGCCACGCAACAGTGGTTCAGGGGAGGAAAGGCGTCCGTACTCCAGCGGCTCGCGATCCGGTTCCCGAGTTAACATCCCCTTTGGCGATGGGCAGTACGAGATGAACGAGGATGACCGAATGCGATCTACAGCCTCCCTCCCTAGGGATGGACGTGATTCAGTTCGGTCTCCTTCACCGCTTATTCCCGAAGATACGGAGCAGTACGCTATGGAAGATCCCAAATACCAGGCTCATCGCAATTCTCTCAATCTACAGCATCCTCAGCCTAAGCATGGTCCTACCGGCCGCCACACCAACCAGTTGGACCAGCAAGCCCGGATATTCGACCCAGTCCGGTCACCAGACTACTCGGATCAGTGGGGCAGTAACCCTTCATTGGCACGCAACCGCATGTCTGGCGGCGGTGCTAGTTACAATGCCGGTAACTTATCGCCCATCTCTTCAGAGGGGGGATACAGCCAGCACTCAGCATCCGAGCAACAAGCTCCTCCCAGGCCGCCCAAGATCTTGGATGACGGTCCTTTGATTCCACCCCAGCAGCCGCTTGCCGGACACGGACAAGCGAGGCAGATGTACAGCTCGCCTAATGAGTATGGCGGTCAGGGCACCCTGACGCCGTTGGCGCCCATTCAAGAGGTGCGCTATTCGCTCGAGACAGACAGGGGAGTCCGCGTAAGTCACTGATGTTACTGCACTACCTTAAACCGCAGACTTACGGTAATTAGTATACCCCGACTCCATCGCCCCGCCCGAGCTCTCAGAACCTGAGTATCACAAGCCCGCAGCGCAAGATCACGGGACCTCGTCCCATGGGCAGCAGGAGCCCTCAACCTCAGCACGGTCAGACCGAGCTGCAACATTCCGACACGGTTATAAGAAGGAAGCCTGTCGCTGGTACGTTTCAAACATCATCTCTAGTAGGATGACTTGATGCTGACTTAAAGTAGCAGACACCGAGAGCTTGGAGAGTTATCGAAGCAGTCTTGACTCGGAGATCTTCTAGACAAAGGACGAAGGATTTAATGATGGCGTTCATGGGAAGTGTAGGGTTCAGCGACAATGCTGCATGAATTAGCGTGACGGGTCGAATGACATGCATGCATTGGAGCGAATGGGTTTTTCTTAAATATATACCAAATGTGGTCATACTGCAGTGCATCTCGTTTAATAGTGTTGTGCATTCTCTGTGGTTTTGAGATTTGGTTTCAAGATATGTCTTATCATTTGGATCCTTTCTACGGACCAAAGCATTTCAAACACAGGCGCTCCGAGGTTCAAGCACTCGCAGACAGCCACAGTGAACAATATCGGAGTTGAAGAATCGCTCGAGCCTCGCGGCCTCGCAGTATGTACCCGCGATTTGGACTGCGACCCCGCGAGGATCTCGAAGATTTGTCGTCACGGCCTTGTATACCCTCCCAAAATACGAAACAGGCACATGCTCGCTCAGCTCTATCGACTCCAGCGTCGTAAGCCTCTACGCCGGGGTAACAGAACCGAAAATCCTTGTCTTGAGCCCGTGGATAGGATGAGTGGACTCACATTCGTCCTCAAGTGTTGACTAACGTCAGAGCCTCCTATCTTGAGCACTCATATTCCGGACATTGGGATGACACCGGACACCCTATACCGGGTTGCTTTACAGCGTCGTGCGAAGGCGTCCAATTCACATTGAACTGCACGAACATACAAAAGAACGGAAGTCTCGCAGTGATTCCATCATCAATTTTCCAGACACCGCCCTAGTGTCATCTTTACCCCCATCATTTTCTTCACGAAAGATTATCCCACAGGCCCACGTCTCACGTTCCAAAATGTTTCGCAGCATCGCAGACTATCTCTTCTTGAGGCTAGCCACTCTAGGCGGCCGTCAAGCCGTGGGTTGTACCTCAAGTAATAACCCCATTCATGCCCATATTTCCATCTTACAGTCTCTCACAGGAACCCACTTCATCAGCTCGATCCAACGCAACTGCCTGACCCATGTGGAAATCACCCGCTCACAAGCTATCCCCACCAGGATCGAAGTCGGGGTCTTCGTCGTTTCGCCCGATAGCGCAGGCCTCGCAGCATGCGTTCCAGCAGTGCGGCAGTACTAACCTGGTTGCCCTGTAGCTTTTGTACAGGAACTTCACGCTTCGTAGTCGAGAAGGCATCCTCGTCCAACATCTGGACACAAAGGAATTCCCGCCACATACCCGGGCTGACATCAACAAGTTCCGCAGAGCTCACGGCAGGCGTCGGTTTCGGCGCTGCCACCATTCTGACCGCTGCGTCCTCGACAACTACTCAAATTGAGAGCATCTTGGACACGATGCTTTACAAGAGTAAGGCGGTGTACATTGGGATTACGTCTTCGATGGTAGGCATGGTGATTGCTGTGCCTGTAGCTGGCTCTGCGGGCTCGGGATCTTCGACGGGGTACTCTGTAGGTGCGGAAGAGGTAAATGCTGCGACTACAGGTAAGTTAATCTCGAGCTGGTTTTGCGGGCTGATTGATTGAACCGATTGCAGTAGCGGTCGCGATGGCGTTAATTCGTTGATTCGCCGTATATCTGCGGTCCGAGAGAACGTCGTTTGGATTCTTGAGGCTGTTGAGGAGTTGATAGGTAAGTGGAAGTTGCAATGCACGCGGTGCCGGGGCTCTTTCCTGACGCTCACATGGCTTCTGGTCTTTCCCGTTTTTCTTCTGACTGCAAGTTTCGGTTTTCTATACTTGCGAACCTCAGTTGCCAGTCATTGATTTGTTATGGTTCTGCGCCCCTGTTACCCTTGCGTTCTACGCCGCAAACATCGTCTCAGCTAGTTTTATTTCCGGTATCAATTTCCTTCATCGCTCTCCCACTCTTGACCTCACAATACATACTACACTTCGTCAGTTACAATTCCTCCTTAACATCGCATTGAACCCGAAACACTGCTGTCATTTTTTTTTCTTTGGCGCTGATTATCTGGTATACAAGAAGTCAATCGAGAGAGATCTGCATGCAGTGCACCTAGGCCAATTTGAACTGCAGCTGGAGTCCGGTCTGATTGGCGCGACGCGTATCAGCACCCACACCACGGCGAATGATAACGCTATGTATGCACAACGTCGGTAGCATTGCAGAAGTGCAAAGGGTCTGGTTCATTCCGTAGCCCTATCAAGGTGCCCGATTCAGTGCTGCGTGCAGAAAAAAAGTAATCATATCGATCGCCGTACACCACTGTCGCACACGTTTACGTTCGCCTTGTCGTTTTTTAATTTTCCCCCCTCGACTGCACCGCCTTCACATATTTTATACTTTGGTAGGCGTTGTCGCGATGGCAGACAAGAACACAGAGAAGCAGGTCGGGCATGCGGGAGATACGCATGAGGAGCGAGTCAGCATTGACGATCCGGATGAGCGCGAGTTGGCTAGGGTAGGGAAGAAAAGTGTGCTCAGAGTATGCCTTCAGCAATGCCCTTGCCAGCCCTTCTGACAGCCCGACAGCGTAACTTCGCATTTCTCAGTATTCTTGGCCTGTCGTGCTCTCTCATGATCACTTGGGAAGGTTTATGCTCGTACGCATCTCCACATGCGCTCCGCACAGTGCCGGCTGACATTTCAGCGTTTTCGTATTTGGGCTCATGGACGGCGGGCCAGCGGGCCTGATCTACGGATTTCTCTTCTGCTGGCTGGGTTATGGAACTGTGGTCGCGACTATGGGCGAGCTGGTGTCGATATGGCCCACGGCTGGCGGCCAGTACCACTGGACGCACATGTTGGCACCAGACGGGCTCAAAGACGTATTGAGCTATGTGACTGGATGGTCTGTCGAATCTTGTGACTGACTAAGACCATGGCTAACAGATCCGCAGGCAATCTGTCATAGCATGGCAGGCTCTATCGGCCTCGGGGGGGTATCTGACAGCCTCGTCGCTGCAAGGCCTTGTGATAAACTCACAGTCCAGATACAATCCTACCAGGTGGCAAGGGACGCTTCTCGTCTTTGCTATCATTACATTCTGTCTTGTCGTCAACACTTGGCTTGCCAGGCTGCTACCGAGGGCGGAACAGGCCATCCTCGTGCTGCACATCGTTCTCTTCTTCGTTGTCTTAATCACCTTGACGACGTTGGCTCCCCATAAAAGCACCAGCCACGACGTGTGGGCGCTCTTTCTGAATCATGGCGGCTATGAAAGCAAAGGCCTGTCATTCTTCGTCGGCCTCATTACCCCTGTCTTTGCCTTCACCGGAGCCGACGGCGCAGTTCACATGTGCGAAGAAATCCGGCATGCATCTACCGCCCTACCAAACGCCCTTCTAGGTCCAAGACATGACCTTCCCGCTGTATGCTTGCCCCGCTAATCCATTCAGGCTCCATTGTCATCAACGGCGTCACCGGCTTCGCAATGCTCATTGCAATCCTCTATTGCATCGGTGACATCGAAGCTGCGCTCAGCACACCCACAGGCTACCCCTTCATCGAGATCCTGACCCAAGGCACCTCCTCCGTGGCCGGCGGCACCGCTCTCTCCGCGCTCCTCGTCACAATGTTCATGCTCTGCACCATGGGCACGGTAGCCTCCGCATCGCGCCAACTCTGGGCGTTTGCGCGAGACAACGCGGTGCCGAATGCGCGAATCATCAGCTACGTGCATCCGACTCTGAAGATCCCGCTCGTCAGCATCCTGGCCACCTGTTCCATCAGCTGTCTCCTTTCGCTTATAAACATCGGCAGCGCGACTGTGTTCAATGCCATCGTTTCGCTCACTGTCGCGGGCTTCTTTGGCAGCTATCTCCTGCCGTTTAGCCTGCTCTTGCACACGCGCTTGAAACACCCAGGAAAGCTTGAATTTGGGCCGTGGAGGCTGGGGACGCTGGGACCGTGGATCAATGCGTTTGCTATCATGTGGAGCGCGCTGGTCATGTTTTTCAGCTTTTGGCCGACAAGTGTGCCCGTTGATAAGGTGAATATGAATTGGAGCTGTGTGCTTTGGACGGCGGTTGTTGCTTTTGCGGGCGTATTTTGGGTAGTGCATGGTAAGGGGGTGTACAAAGGGCCAATTGTTGAAACTGGGGAGGTGGATTTGGCGGTAGATGCTTGAAGGACATCTAGCATCAGTGATAAACACAGCCCCCGAGAATGAACATCAAAACAGAAACATGATCTCGCAACCATCAAAGAGTTCTCAATATTGATACATGGTCATACCTTACCTTCATTAAGTCACGTCTACGATAGCTATGCAATACGTTTTAGTTCCTAATGCCTAACCTTCTCCAGATCTAGTTCCTCACGTTCTCCCTGACCGCATCGTCGCCACCTTGTGTCCTCGCGAGCGTCTCCTGCTTGGTCTCGCCAACACCGCCTTGCTCAAAGTCACCCGCCTTGAACAGCCTAAGCGTGTTCCAGTCAGCCATCTCTCTCTCAAACTTATAGCATCAAGAGCAACAACATACTGGCCGGTCCTAGGGTTAATGTCTCCGCCTTCGGACAGCGGGATCTCGCGGTTGTTGCCCGTGCCTGAAGCAGCAGAGCCATAGGTAACTTCTGCGCCGGCGAACCTATTCTCAACGGAGGAATTGACGCCGGACTCGGTTGCTGCGCGCTGTTAGCTGCAAAAGTCGCAAGGCAAGTGCGAGGAGGTGGTACCGGAGAGAGAGGCGCCGTGGCCTTTCTTTGCGCCGTCTGAGTTAAGATCGCGCTCGGCTTGTGCGGAGAGCGCGTTAAGATCGGCGTTCTTGTATTCGGCGGACATGTTGTGCAGTGCGTATGTATGTGATGGGGTGAAGATGTTAATAGGTATGGGATTGATTGGAGTGGAATGAAATGTTATTTGAGGCAAGAAATAAGAGTGAGGACAACTTGTAGCGGGGGTTCGAGCTTTTTGTATGCTTGCGTGCTGATGGGTAGTCTCAACGATGGAAGAGTGGACCCTTGAGTTTTGACGTCACGACGACCTCATCTTCGAGCACGACTACTTGGGTGATCGGTGTTCCATGGAGAAAGTGTATGTAGCTTTCCATTTGATAGGGCATTCGTCAACCTATTTAAGGTTATGGTGGGTTGTTTCTGTTACCTGGCCAGGTGGTCCCTGTACGATAGCCGTCGCTGCTAGCGGCCAGAGTTTTATAGGTGGAGAAGCGCTCCGAGATATGAGCAGTGCCGCACTAATTATAAGTTTTTACAAAGAGACGAAGCAAATACTTTTAGTGGAACTTTCGAGTGCATGAAGCAGAATCATCAGATTTTCGGTCTGGAGGATGACGATGAGGACGTACTAGAGGTGCCCACTGAGTAGGCAGAGAGATGCGACTACACAGATTCCATGGATAGACAGGTATGTAAGAAACTGATCATGATCATTGAAAGTTCGTTGAAACGAATTAATGTGCTAATGCTGATAGACAATGTAGTTGATATTTTCAAGTGAATGTACCCTCACGTGGTAGTCGTCAATAACGTGGCAACGATTGGCCTTACAGTGGCGCTAGTCAGCTCTCGGGCTACTACTGAGCAACTTATGCCACGTGCGGAACCCAAGGTCAGTGCATAGTAAGTGCACTCAGCGATGACTGCCTCCTCTATCTCCAGTCATAAAAGATCACCTGGCCCACCTCATATGACAGTGCACGACAGAGACGCCATAACCACGAAGAACGCAGCCACCAGTGATTGCGAGCAATACAATTTACCATCTCAACCAGGCAACCCAGCGGTGGACGATCACCAGACGATGGCCATCAACCGAACCATCACTTTACAGGCCACGGAGCACATAGGTGATCCGCTCCCTATGAAACCTGATGACACCTACTCGATACGAGCTGACAATGAGAACGTCACCATCCAGTCAGGAGGAACCTTCCACTTTCTCGACCTCCCTGCAAAGCTGCGAAACCGCATCTAGGAGTATTGCGTCGCGGGAGACGAGCTCCACCTGCGTAACCGGCGCCGTCACAAACAGCACAGCCGGATCCGCAAGGAACTGGGATATGACAAGCATTGTTCATCGAAATCCTTATCCCTGACACAAGCCAACCGCCCGATCCGAAGCTAATTTCTGCCAATATGGCGATCGTCCGTCACCGTCATGGTCTCGTCTATTGACTAGAAAGCCTACTGCAATGCTTCTGCCCTCTCACTCCAAACGCAACCCTGGAACGAGTGCATTCGGCTTGTCTTGGAGCTCCTTGGTCCATGGAACCAACTCAGGTTTCTTGAGCTTATGCGCCTTTGCGACAAGCATCCTGATTTGATGTCAATTCAAGTCCGACACAACCCAAAAATATATGTCTTCTTTTCAGTGAAGAACCGAAATTTGATGATTTCATATTCAGCGCTGAACTCAAATCACTCAATTCACTGCTACGTCAGTCAAGCGTCGTTTCTGTAACATCAAACCATGACTACTGGACTGCGATTAGTCACCTGCTCTGGTGGACACAAATTATGGCTCTTGAGGACGCAACAGTTTATTTCGAGCGCGCCCGGGAGATGTAGGACCTATACTGCAGTATTTTGCGTCAAGGTGGAGCATCTGTGGGCAGCATGTGAAGCTGGGCTTTGCCTGAGCGGAGACTACCGGACAGGACCGGAAGATGGAGTTATTACGAAGTGTCAAGCTCACCCCGGATGAGTTGAAGCAATGTTGCGAGTTCGAATGGGCTTTCGCCAACCAAAAGGTGCAGTGCTGAAAAGGGCATGGAACACTGTTACGGCAACTGACTTTTTGGTCAACCTGTACCACGACCTTCATTAAGGCATGAAATTTCTACAAAAAAAAAAAAAAAAAAAGTGTTGTAGCAATAAATGGCAAACGTCGACTGTTGTAGCAAGTGAGGACTTGTACGTGATGTAGGCAGATTTCCTGGAACATCAATGCCTGGCATCAGCTATATCCCACCTACGCGCCTCTCGAATCCAGCCTATCCTCCATCCGATATCAAGGCCTTTCAACCCGAGGAATCATCAACGCCATCCTTTTACACAGCCGTCATTCGTTTATCTAGCATCAACCCCAGCTTCTGCCTGGGCGTCAAGTGCGCGTCCCACTCCGCCTCAAACGGCGGGCTGCAAATCGCAAACTCCGCAGACGTCAGCCCTGGAAAATTCTCCAGTAACCGTAGCAATACGCCTTCCTCCTCTATAGCTTTTGAGTCATAGAACCCCTGGTAGTTCTCCTCGATCTTCAGACGCCGCAGAGAGTGTTGTTGTGCTTCGAAGATGGGCAGGGGGTGCAGGCGGATGTCGTGGCAGCTGAAGGAGAGGTCTTGGAGGGCGGAGATGGAGTCCAGGAAGGGCTTGATGAGGGAGAGGCTCTCGCATTCCGGGACGGCACGGTAGGCCCACTTGGGCCAGTAACCGAAGCGGAGTTTTTGGAGTTGGGACACGCGGCCCGTGAGGGCGACGAAGAGGCGCTGCGGCGTGAACCGCCCGACGTCCAGGTGCACGAGGTGCGACCAGTCCATGCAGCGGACCCACATGTCGCAATGGTCTTTTGAGAGGTATAAGCCGCGAAGAGGGAGTGTGAACTCCTTTAAGGCTGGAAAGCGGTCGCTCTCTTGCCAGTCAAAGTTCATTGGGCCTTCAGTGATGCGGTTCCAACGGATTAGGGCGCTGCCGTCTGCAAGGCGGGTTGGCCAGCCCCAATTGTATGTCCCATCGCATTTTAATGTCAGTCGCTTGATACTATTTCCTCGAGCGAGGCAGTTCTTCACCAGGCGATATTCGCTGTAGCTTTTCTGAAAGTCATCGCGCGTGTGCGGGGTACCGTACACATAAATGTCCGCTGAGTGGAGCTGAGGAGAGGACAATAGAGTGCAGTCCATATGGAACGCGTTTGACAACGCTGGCATTGGTTGATGCACGTTGATATGTACAGATGGGTGATTCTGCTGCAAGATCCGTAGGACGTCGCGAGGGAAGAGGAAATTTGTATTCCAGGTGACTGAGCATAAGTTGGTCATGTTCCTAATCGCACGCCCAAGAACCGGGGACACGTAGCCTTCATTGTCCCACAACACTGCCCCGAAATCGCTCCCCTGTGCAATACTGTCGGGGTCACGGAGAAGCTGTTGGATAGAACTGAGTAGACTAGGCGCCAGACCAAGCCAAGCCGTCTCTGTGGTTACCTCGTGCTGAGAACTCGGGGCCGAGGCTCCAGGGTTGCTATTGTTTTCTGCTCTCTTGCGGGAAGCCATCTTTTTGAGAGCCTCGCACAAGACGTTCTTGCCATCGACGAAACCCTCTTGAGGCTCGCTGATCACCGGCGAACGTATTGCCTCGCCCGAAGCCCTATCCATCGTCTTGAACCATATTGAATATGGTATTGACATCCCGTCGGCCTCGTATCGCAGAACTTCATTCGCGAAGTAATCATTATTATCGAATGGGCCGAGCCACAATTCACGGACGTGTTCTGCCAGCTCATCGTTGGGATCCTGGAGTCGCTTGAGAAGCCCTCTCGATCTCAGCGACGTTTTTTTCCAGAAGCTTTCGGTATCGCTCAGGTTGAGGCTCCGGACCATCAATCTTTCGCACTCGCGGCGACATACTCGTGAGGTCAAACGTAACTCGGAGAGAGCAATGCCTGGGGAGCCATTGTTGTACACCTGGGCTATAGGTGAGTCGTGTTTAGCTAGAGACGTCTAGTATCTCACCAATTCGAAAATCTCGCGGACGAGCACCAGGGGTAGACCAAGCAGTCCGCGTGAAGCGGCCGCTGCGGAATCTTCGTTTGAGGACATGAACAAGATCCAGCGAACGTTATGAGTATAGGGCCCCGTTTTGACGACTGATCAGCGAGTTAATGAAGACGGATGGTCTGTGGCGCAGCCCCAGCACCCTCCGTTCTGCCTCGCGAGGCTCAGCATCTGTGTGGCACTGTGTCGTACAGTAAGAATCGCTTAACAGCAATATATTCCAGGCTCAATATATGTGTCTTATCAGGCAGCTACCGTTTCATATGCAGGGAGTGCCAAAAGAAAATTGCTTGAGTGGTGTTGCATGGTGCGGAGCCCAGCTCAACCAGGTGACATGTGCAACAGTGAGCTTGGTGTGAAATTCCATCTCAGCATCAGCACACAGACCGAGACTTATAGAAATCGGATAATCCATTCGATGGTCAAAATAATCTAGGGTAAGCTTTCTTTCATACCAGGCATCAGCGGGCGGCGGGCGCACCGATACTCAACACTACCTCTCGTCAAACAAATGCATTTCCACGCAGGTTACCTAACAGCACTTTTGAAGCCGATACGGGGAAGAACTTTCGGCAGCCTGATGTTCCCCCACAAGAAGCCAATGACCCCATCAACTCCCTTCCCTCGGCACTTTGTCCTTCGCATCTGCATGCAAAATGACAAACCCCGACGGAGATGACTACGCGCGTCTCGCCTGCGATGCATCGCTCACTAGTCGCCGCACATATGGTACGCGCAGCATCCCGCGAGTCGACAGAGAGCGGGGCGAGAGCGCACATCCGACGCGGGGTCCAAAATCGTTGCACAATACCTAGGTACCTGGAGGTGGCGCCTAAAGTCCGAAAGCAATGCTCTTGGTAGCTTACTTTGTAAATTTGCAGATCTGTTCGGAGTTGCACTAGGAGGTCGGGCCGAACCAGGGGTCTATACATGTGTAAGCCCGAGGCGTAGCCGCGCGACATACAGTTTACGGATACTTGTAACCGGAATGAGAGAATGATAGACCACTGTGTAGATATGACGTTGACGTGTGCGAAGATAGGCAGAAGGCCCGAAGTGGTTCGGAAATCTTTGCTGTGCGATTCCAAGCTTAGAGCGACCGAGCTTGGCGCCGATTTTGGCCGCCCGTTGCTGGTTGCGTTCGATGTATGTACGTGCGAAGGAGGGAGCCATCCTGCCCCAGCAGTAGCAATTGCATCATACCATTGCTGCATTTCAGTGGTCTTGATTGTGTATATTCTCTGCATGTGCTTAGTTGAAAGGCCCGCAGCTGGCATGCTGCATGTAGAAACGTTTAATTGCCCGTTGCGGAATGCGCGAAGCAGCCACTCACCACGCGCGCCCGCGCAAGCCTCATCGTGATACGCCTACGACGTTCCGCACCCAGGTCTGCGGTATGGACCCTCGCAGGACGTCCGATGTACACAGCGACGCTAGCGGCGGCCGATGCAGCGGAGATTGATCGAGACAGAGATCTGAGTGGTGGGTGGAGATTACTAACGTGCGACGTCATAGCTAGATACGCATTTGTGGAAACGCCCAAGGGAAGGATCTAGCAGGGCAAGCGTGACGGCGCAGACGCAAAAAACAGCTTCGGGAGGCGATGGCCATAGCAATGGAGTTGTGGGTACGCAGGCGGCAGAGGGGTATAAGAGTCTGCCTTTCTCGCAGCTGTCAGTCAAGCAGTTCTTCATCATCAGCATTCAGAGATACCCCAGCATAGCTTTTACAACACCCCTTCGAGTTCACAGCCTCTATCCCATACGAATTGACAACTACACCGATACTCCAAAATGCCCTCCTTCACCGTCTACAAGGGCTCCGACTCAGGCAAGATCGTAAAAGCACAAACCACCCGGCCCGACTTGAAGAACGATGACGTCCTCGTCAAGGTCACCGCCTCGGGAGTCTGCGGAACAGACGAGCACTACAAGCACGCAGACATGGCCCTGGGCCACGAAGGTGCGGGTGTCGTCGAGGACGTCGGCCCTGGCGTTACCTCTCTCAAGAAGGGAGACCGCGTAGGCTGGGGATACGAGCATGACTCGTGCGGCCACTGCGAGTACTGCCTCTCCGGGCGCGAGCAGTACTGCCCCGAACGCAAGATGTACGGCATGGCGGACACTGACCAGGGATCTTTTGCTTCCCACGGCGTGTGGCGCGAGGCCTTCCTCTTCAAGATCCCGGATGCGTTGACCGATATTGAGGCTGCGCCACTCATGTGCGGTGGTGCAACTGTTTTCAATGCTCTCCAAGCAACTGGCGTCAAGCCTACGGACCGCGTCGGCATCATGGGCGTCGGAGGTCTCGGCCATCTGGCGATCCAGTTTGCAAGCAAGATGGGTTGCGATGTTGTGGTTCTGAGCGGAACCGACAGCAAGAAGGAGGAGGCGACAAAGTTGGGAGCCAACGACTTCATCGCGACCAAGGACAAGAAGGAGATTGATGTCGGCAGAAAGATTGATGTCTTGGTTGTAACGACAAGTGTCATGCCAGACTGGAACGTCGTACTTCCTGCTCTTGCGCCGACCGCGACCATCATTCCCCTGACTGTGTCAGAGGGCGACTTCGTTATCCCGCAGAACCCGCTCATTCTTGGTGGACACACTATTCAGGGTGTTGCTGTTTCCGCACGAGCTGTACATCGCCAGATGCTGGCTTTCGCTGCGCTACACAACATCAAGCCCATCGTTATGAAGTTCCCAATGACTGAGGGTGGTATTGAGGAGGCTATGGGAACGCTGCGCGACGGCAAGATGAGGTACAGGGGTGTACTGATCCCGCAGTAGGGGGATGTAAGGTGCTTTCTTTATGAGTACGGAAAAGCGGATGCGGGATAGACTAATGATAACTTAACGATAAATATGATAATACTACAATCCTGTTCAGCTCCCAGAGTGACATGCCATGCATTCAATGTGATTGAGAGATGGTGATGTCAAGACAATACGTTTACCAGAAATTGTAGAGCAGGTAGGTCCTGGTGCTACCTAGAAGACAATGTCCCGTTATAACGCGATCGAGTACAGCATGTCAGTATTATAAAGCATCAGCAAGTGAACTCACTGAGCACCCAATTGTCCGCAGCACACGTCAACCACGACGAACCAGCAACCTTGCGAATGAGGTGAACAGCAACACTAGTGCGAACTATTCCTACACGCAAATCCACAACTAGTGTTTCAGACGCGCAATCTGATCTCCGCAGTGAAGATGGAGTACGCGGATGTTGAAAACTACCCGAAGTAGCTAGAGCACGCGCGAGCAGTCATACGGACGCGCAGGCTGGCGCGGGCTTCGGGCGTGGCGTCGATCGGGACTCGCAGGTCCCTGACTATCATCTACGCCTTGGGACATGCAGCTGTGCGATGCCCTTCCCCACCAGGAGCGAGATGGAGCTATGCTGTGGGGAGCCCGGAAGATTGCAATGTGCAGCGAAATGGGGATCGTCAGCGTAACATCTGGGCAACGAAGAGTCGAGCCTTGGAGCACGTTGGCAGATCTGGAGCTATCGTCTATGAAAATTGGAGTTGGAGGCTGTGCAGTACTGCGGGCCGGGATGAGCGCGGCACGCACACTCCACCACTAGATGAGTGCCGTGAGACACGCGATTGATGACACGGCCATAGTATTGAACGATAGCCTTGCGCGTTCATATGGGATGATGGCGGGAGCAGATTGAGTGGGAATATCCCGTTGGCATGCCGTAGATTCTGCTCTGCTATTTCCGACCTGGACCAACATGGAGGAGGCGCACAGGCAATGCGAATGTGGGGTTGACTGCCTTTCCCGTATTGTTTCGTATCGCTCAGGATGCGTTGAGCCGTGCTGCCGAGGCCAAGCTTACCGTTCGCATTGTAATGCTCCCCAACCAAACAGTCCCTCAACTCGGCCCATCGAAGTGATCAGAGCACACGACTACACGTGGTGAGGAAGCCGCCGTACCTTGTTTGGAAGTTGGTGAGGCGGCGCATAACAATGGCCAGGCTAGCGGGCTCTTCAATGTCGATGAGACGTAGATGTCGCCAGCCAAGTTACAGAAGTCGGCCCTGATTGGCCGTCGCAGGCTCGTATTATTGAGTGGCAGCGTCGCAAACCCAGAGCGCCGCAGCGTGTTGCCTGTGGCGGAAATTCGAGGACGAGGCCACGACAGTCGTAATTCGCGCCGTCCTGGGAATGAGGTCGGGCGACAGAAAGCGCTCGGAGGAGCGGCGTACGGCGTGGCTCGCAGCTTGAGCGCTGGCAGGGCTGCGATAGGCTGGCGGGCAGGGCAGCGGTGGGCGGGCATCCGTTTCGAGACGCTGGACAATAGGCTGGGCGCTGAATGAGCAAATTGGCTGCTGCTGGCGGCTGGGCCTGGCTGCGCGCTGCTCTGTGCCTGGCAGCGGATGTGGTGCATTGTGGCGGAGCAGCTGCGCGCTCCACTCGAGCGCGCCTCCGAATGCAGCCATCGGAGAGGGAAGAGCAGCTGCAAGAGGCCATGGACACGGCGCGACAGTCAGCTGGTGGGCTGTTTTTGGACTGTCGCGACGCAGAACGGCGGCGACAGCAGCAGCAATTGCATTCTGCTACTGTGCGTCGCCGACAGCCGTGTCCGCACGCGCACCCGTTGCTGGCAGCGCAGGCCAGAGCCGCGTGTACGCTTTTAGCACGACACATGTGACTTTGACACTCTGCCCGTCTCGCCCCCTATTGTGAGACGGTCTCCAACGGCGTCCGCGCTGATTCCGCCAGGATCCTCTCGCGAAAGAGCTCCGCTGTTCTTATTCTCCAGGCTCCCAACAACAAGGCCAGGCTCGATCTTTGCATCTTCTTTGTTTCTCCTGGGCGCGCAAAGCACAGCGCACAGAAACGGCCGCTCGCAGCCCGCCACACCGTCGTTTGCGCCTTGCCGTGCCTTGCCCCTTCGTTAGCGCCACCTGCCCCGGGCCCGCCTTCGCCCGCTTGCGCACCTGCCCGGTTTCCAGCACTTGACACCCTCTCGTCTCCACGCTCCCTACCTCATAACGTCACGACCCTGCCACTCGTTCACACCAGCCCAGCCCGCCCGCCTCGCCCACAACGCACTGCCATCCCCCCGACACTCGCTCCTGCAACTCGCCGCTGGTCTGGCTTCTGCTCCCCTCCGCACTCACCCAGCGCGCGCTCCCACGACGGCCCGCCCGGCCCATCCACCGCGCACCTAACCACAGCACTAGACCGCCAGGCTGAGTGCTCCAAACCACGCACGACGCCCGCCATGGTCCCGTCGCTCTCCAAGGCGCTGCTGCTGCTGGCAGCAGCCCTGCCTTTCGCCCACGCCGACAACCGCAAGATCGAATCGCGGTCCCTGAACCCGTGCACATCCAACTCGAGCATCTCCGCTACGCTCTTCAATGTCGCATTTACGCCCGGCAACCGCAGTCTCGACTTCGACATCGAGTTCGTGTCGACCATCTCGGGCAAGGTCAACGCCGAGCTCGAGCTGCTCGTCTACGGCTACTCGGCCATGAAGCAGGACCTGAATCCCTGCGACCCCAAGAACAACATCGAGGGCATGTGCCCCATGGCCGCCGGCAACATCAAGGTCAAGTCGAACCTCGACATCTCGGCCGATATCATGAGCAAGATCCCCGGCGTCGCCTACACCATTCCCGACCTCGACGCCGTCGTCCGCATCAAGGTCACCAACCAGACCAACGGCGACGAGGTGGGCTGCGTCGAGGCTGAGCTGTCAAACGGCCATTCCGTAGACCAGAAGGCTGTTGCCTGGGTCACCGCTGTCATTGCCGGTCTCGGTCTGGCAGCCTCCGCCATCACCTCTGGATTGGGACACTCCAACACCGCCGCCCACGTCGCCGCCAACGCCATGTCGCTCTTTGGTTACTTCCAGGCCCAGGCCTTCCTCGGCATGTGCTCCGTGCCGCTGCCTCCCATCGTCGCCGCTTGGACGCAGAACTTCCAGTGGAGCATGGGCATCATCCGCGTCGGCTTTCTGCAGAGAATGGCCACCTGGTACCAGCGTGCCACTGGTGGTGTGCCTACCACCTATCTCAAGCAGCTCGCCTACATCTCTGTCGAAGTGCAGAAGAAGATGAAGCGTGGTCTTGAAAATCTACCCATGACCAAGCGTGCCGTCTACGGCATCAATCACGCCGTGGGAAGCATCGTAGCTCGCAGCAACAGCGACTCCACCAACGCTCAGCATTCGAGCAATGTCGTTCTCCACGGTATTGAACGAGTTGGTTTCAAAGCTAAGATCGAACCCACCAACATCTTCTTCACCGGCTACACCTTCTTCGTCATCTTTGTCATCTTCGTGGTGATTGGTGTCGTTGCCTTCAAGTACATCTGCGAGGGACTCGTCAAGGCTGGCAAGATGAAGCACGACCAGTTCACCGACTTCCGCAACGGTTGGCGCACGGTTCTCAAGGGAATCTTGTTCCGTGTCATCCTCATCGGCTTCCCCCAGATGATGGTGCTCGGTTTCTGGGAATTGACCAAGCGCGACTCGGCCGGCGAGGTCGTCCTGGCCATTTTCACCATTGTCACCATGATCGCGATTCTTGGTTGGGCATCGTCCAAGGTCGTTCGCATTGCGCAGCGGTCCATTGTCATGCACAAGAACCCCGCCTACATCCTGTACTCGGACCCTGTTGCCCTCAACAAGTGGGGCTTCCTTTACGTACAGTTCAAGGCGACCATGTACTACTTCATCATCCCCGTTCTCGCATACACGCTTGTAAAGGCCATGTTCGTTGGCTTCGCACAGGGCAGCGGCACTGCCCAAGCCATTGGCCTGGTCATCGTCGAGGCCGCACTCCTCGTTGGTGTGTCCGTCATGCGCCCTTACATGGACAAGAAGACCAACGGCTTCAACATCGCCATCGCAGCTGTAAACTTCCTCAGCGCCATCTTCTTCTTGGTTTTCACTGAGGTGTTCCACCAGCCGGTATGCAACTCAACAAACCCCTTTATTGATTGTCAAAGCTAACATGTGTAGCCCATCGTCACTGGTGTCATGGGTGTCATCTTCTTCATCTACAACGCCGTCTTCGCCCTTGTCTTGCTTCTCATGGTCCTGGTCTCGTCTGGTTTCGCCATCTTCACGAAGAACCCCGACACACGCTACCAGCCAATGCGTGACGACCGTGGATCCTTCATCAAGTCCCAGACCCAGCTTACTACTGAGCTGGATGCATTAGGTGCGACCGCCCGCGGCGAGGGCAAAGGCACGCACGCGCGCCTCGATGATGATGACGCCATGTCCATCAGCTCTGCTGATCAGCAACGGCAACTGGCGAACAAGGAGGGCGGTTTCACCGAACACTACCAGCCAGCCCCGCCGCGCAGTCCGATCGCCCCGACTGGGCCTTCGCCGTACGGCTCGAACCCATCCACTCCAGCGCAAGCCCCGCCGTCCTACTACAACAACCCTAGCCCGCCTAGTTCCAACGGCTACGGCCGAACAGCCAGTCTGAGAAATGAAGCGCAGTATAGGTCTGCGAACAACTCCAGCCCATGGCAGCGAGGAGCCGGCTATGACCATTGACGCCAGGATGGGGAGCGGCAATCTCTTTCGAATGAGCGGATCATCGAAATGTATGACCGTTCCTCAGGGAAGTTCTAGCCGGAACATGTAATGGAATCCGCGTGTGCATATCATTGATACAGTATACTTAATTCCACGAACGGTCGACTTGCATAGGTACCACGAACCGGGGCGTTTTCACTTGACGTGTTTTGAAAAACATCCTCGGCGAAGCGGAGCTGAAGACTTTGCACATAATTTCTTTCCCTCTATCCTTTGACTGGACCTTTCTTTTTTTATCTGGGCTATTGTGTCTTATTGAGACTAGGCGTTACGACTGTCGGATCATCGGGAAGGGATTTCTCTTGTACTTACCAGCCAGGAAGGCTGCGGTGCGCAGCGGCGCCATAGCCGTGTCGAGCGAGGGGATGCGTGGCGTCGAGGCTGAAGCCAGGAAGCTTGATGTAGGGGAAGCAATACGATACGGTTGCTGTACTGTAGATGAATCGAGCGGTGTTTGAAAGCCCTCTGCGGTCCTTGAGTGATACTAACATGGTCAAGCAGGCATTCAAAGGTGTTTTGAAGCAATCAAACTAGGTACTGCTGAGGGTTGAACCTCAATGTCCCGCTGCTTCTGGGAGCTACGATGAAGCTACTGCAGCTAGTCTGGGTCTGTGTTGGACTTCCCCAGATTGTGCGCCTAGCGCTCGATAAGAGACGGAAAGCTATCAGCAGCCTCGTGGGAAGGCGTTTCTTAAGGGTCAGCCTTGCTGATAACGGAACATGCAGTAAACGTCACTTTCTGGCCTGCAAGCAAAGGTGCGGCCGGGTGCGATGCTGGCGTGTGTTGAGCTCGCTGGCGCTCGCACTCGTCTCTGCTGAACAGTCTTGGGCACCAGCTAGGCGCCAACAGACCAGATCGGCGCGCGTACCGCGGAATGGCAGAGCGCCGATAAGACAGAGGGCGTTGCTTTTGTGCGAGTTCTGGGGGCGCGCAAAGTCCCCGAACACCGAACGTCCCATGGAATGCGTATGGGACCGTTTTGGACAGTAGGGCTGCGGCTGGGTGGTGGTCCTGGGGATCAGCGCGCGCGCGGTGCGGTGGCCAATCATGCGAGCCACGTTCCGCATTCAAGGGATACGGCTTTCTAGAACGATGCCTTCCTGAGACACACCAATGCCAGGGCGGTGGCTGTCCTATTGGCTGCTGCGGTGTCGTCGGCGGGAAAGGGTGAGGCCGCACGCGGCTCGCTGCGAGGCTGTCGACGCCAGGATCAGAGCCAGACAAAGAAGAGCAGAGGACAGGGTCACGCTGCGACGATGCTGGCGTCGTGACGAGGCGGACGCGCTTTGCGCTATCGCAAGGGGTTGGATTGGTGCCATGCTATCGTGATGGGAGCGGCTCTCCCGCCGTTCCCGGCCCATAAGATGGTCGCATACTGCTCCATTACCAGCTGACGTCGTTGCGACAAAAACACTGCCTTCGACGCCAACGTTCTGCCACCTCTTCTGCATCACTTTCCGCGGTGCTGCCTGCGCCCTCGCGCCGCTCCAAACGCGCGCTGCGCGCTTTATCTCCACCATGCATCTCCGCTATTGAGGCATATTCGGCTGCCCGTGTGCGACCACCTTTGTACCATATCCATCTGGCGTCCGTTGCGCACCCAATCGTTTTCCCGTTCAACTTTGCGTCTTTCGGGCTTGTTGGTTCGGTTATCGGGGTGACTTTCCTTGGGCCGCCTTCCGTCGAATCTGGCGCTGGTCTGGGCATCATAGCACTGTCAGTTTCTGACCAGCGTTCCGTTGCTGTCATCCGGTTCTAGGCTCTTCCGACGTTATTCCACGTGGGCTGCACATCTTTCTGGAGCATTGTCCTATAGCGTTGTGGGTCACAAAGGACCCTTTGTCTGGTATTGTACCATTGTTTGGTTGCCAAAAGAGCAATACCAACGGTTACTGTTGGGGCGCACGTTGCCACTTACCTAGGGCTCGCACAGCGTGCGTGTCACATGGAGCAACACAAAGGAGAGGGAGTCCGCATTGTGAAGACAGAAAGGAACATTGTTACTGCTGCGACACCACGCTTCGTATTGGCCATGCAGTCTTTCACCCCCGCCACGGACACCGCGGTGACCGACCATACTGCTGCCCTGGGCTCGACCATGCAGCGCCCTTATATCTCACTACCCTCGCATTCTATGCGGGAGAAGGCTTCGTCATCACCAGCGCTACTTGCCGTACCTGAGCTGGGTTCACGCCCCACTGACCACGGGCCTCCATTCACCTGTACAACACCACCCCCCTCTCCTACCTCGACGTGGAGAACAATTGCCAACATGGACTTCGACGCTAGGTCTCGCAACCAGCCGAGGACATACACGCCACCTTCAACGCCAACCAAGAGGAGCCATTCGAAGTCGAGTTCAGTGTCGTCGTCGAGTATCAGAGAAGAGCTAGAAAACTTGCGACGAGGCATGTCGTCGGGGTACTCGGTAGAGGGTATCGAGAAGCCAGGCAGCCACGAGCCACGCCAATTCCCTGCGTGGTCATCCGACTACGAGTTCGAGATGGACGCTGCCGGCACGCAGAAGGTTATCGGTACCGGTGCCTGGAGCACCGTCTACCTTGCCAGCCCTGCACCATCCATGCCCGAGGAGCTGGTCATCTCTTCCTCCCTGGCCTCTCCCGAAATAACACCTCCTCTCACGCCCGTCCGCTCTCGCGGCTCCAGCATGTCCAAATTCTACCCACTCATGCCCTCAGCCTACGCCGTCAAGGTTCCTTATGAGAAGACTGCCCACCGCGTCCTCACAGAAGAGGGCCGTATCCTGTCCTACCTCTCGCGCTTCCCCTCAGCAGAGAAATACCTTGTCCCCTACTACGGCCAAGACATGCGGACCGACGCTCTCATCATGGGCTACATGCCGTCCACCCTCGACAGCCTCATCACCGCCGACCTCAACACGCGCGACGAATCCGACCGCGCCGCTATGCTTACCGACATCTTCCCCCACATCGCGTGCAACCTGCTCGACGGCCTCGCCTGGCTGCAAGACAAAGCCTGCATCCACGGCGACATCAAGCCCTCCAACATCCTCATCGCGGTCAACCCCTCGACGCGCACCCCACACGCCGTCTTCGCCGACTTCTCCGCCGCCAGCTTGCCCTCGTCGCCCGCAGAGACCGGCAAAAAGCAGGCCAAGCCCATGGGCGGCGCAACGTGGGACTTCATGGCGCCCTCACAGCTCACGTCAACTGCAGCCCCGACGCCTGAAGCAGACGTATGGTCCCTCGCCATCTCGCTGCTGCTCCTTGTCACGGGGGCTTCGCCGTACGACCGCGTCGCCCCCAACGCCATCCTCAAGCGTGAGATCCTCAAGCAGGGCACGCCGCTGGATTACGTGTCCGCCGGCGAGAACGGCGTGCGCAGCGTGATTCGGATGGGCGCGCTGAGTCGGGGGCTTGGGTTCAACGTCAAGAAATGGATGGGGAAGGTGCTGGTAAGAGAAGAAGCGGCGCGGATGGACGTCGGCGAGTGGCGCGAGGAGCTGGGAGATGCGTTGATGTAAGCGGCCCTGCTTCTGCGCGTATACAACAATAAGGGTTAATGGTGGATGATAGAGACGTGGATGGATGGTTGGTGCAGAAGCGACTGAGGCTTTTTGTGAGGACGATGGGGTTCTCCGGGTGTGTGAGGAAGTACTGGCGCATGGAGGCGGTGTGACCTCGATAGGAACGTGTGTTTGAGATGTGTCACGATTTAGCGATATCTGGCTGGCTGGCGTACAGGCTAGGGCTTTTTTTTTTTTACTGTAGAGATATGGAATGGCGATACTCTGGGATATACAAATGCGATAACTCTAAACTTCATGCTGGTCCATGGGGTCTAGTGTTGAGACTGTTGGGGTTCACTCAAATTTTGCTGTAGATTCGGTTAATGTCCTATAGCCTTTGATGTGGTTGCTATAGGCACGCTGAAGCTTCTGGGTCTCAGCCTCCCATGCTCAATACCGCTTCACCTCTATAAACCCTCCTCTGCGCCTTTTACAGACACGGAGGTTGCTGTAGCTTTGACTGCGAGCTTAACTATCGCTTCTCTATGGAAAAAGTCAACTTGCGTAGATCAAGTTACGCCGCTATTTAGTACAAGCACTGTGATGAGGGGCAGCATTTATAACAACCCTCGTTAGTGCTGGGGCTTTAGCGTAGTGAAATGAAGGAAAGAGCGTTAAAGTGTACCTCCTGCATCTGGCCCTTCTGCACCTGCGCTTGCCCTATGCAGCACAGGTGATAAGGGAAGCTGCGCGCTTTTTGGTGACATCTACGAACCAACTGACTGCTATGCGACTTCAGCACTAAGATCGTTCCTTACTACATGGCTGGCCCTCTATCTTCCTCACCAGTAGGACTCTGCCATCCTCAATATCTCTACTTCGCCGATCCTACTGTTCCCCGAAGACCAGACTCGTCCACCCTACAGTCCTCCCAGTATCTCCCCCACCTCACGTACCTCCCCTCAACTCTCCTGCGCCGCCCCACCGCCTCCACACCCACCTCCTCCTCCCGCTCACGCTCATCCTGCTCCTCCCATACCCGGAAGTACTCTCTGATCTCCGCGGGGAAGTTTGCGACTAAAGTGTTCCACTCGGAGACGTCCCAGATGCCTTCTTTGGAGGTCCATTGCCTTCGACGGGCACGGGTTGGGAAGGGGCTTGGACGTATGGTCTCCTGTTGAGTTTGTGCCACGTGCTGGGTCGGCGGCGCGTGTGGAAGTGCACTTGGGATCTGGCGACTGGGAGGGAGTTCTGGACCGCGCACCCGTGCCTGGGATGGAAGCGTATTAGCCATCGTGGGCCGGGAAGATCTGGTTTACGATTAGTCTGTTACGGTGTGGGAGTGTCATGTCTAGGATGAGTGTGATTGTGGACTGGGTTTTATTGGAGATGGAGAGGGTGCGACGGATGCGTGCTTATGTCTGGTACTATTTGTGGATGGTGTCTTTGTGGCGTAGATGGGTCTCTTTGTGCTGATGACGGATGAGACAAAGACATTGTTGTTTGTGGAAGTAATTACTGTATCTGTCTAATTCTGAGATAGTGACTACCAGCAACGCTCGTCATCACACACGCCGGCATATAGACTACCAGAGCACGTGCACGAAGAGGTTACCTTCCGTGCGAGTCATGTTGGGCGTTGCGCCAAAGCGACATGATTCGCTCATCGAGCTACTACGTCCTATAAGTCGAGTTTGATCATAGACGTACCAAGCGCACCTCATCAGTGGAGGTTTCGGTGAGTCGAGGAAGGTGATGCGAGCGGTGGAGCGCTCACGTTTGCCGTCGGCAGGTCCACGGATGTCGGCGGCCTGTTAACTATCCGCTTGCAACCGACCTAGTCTTCTTTGGGCTTGACATGCCCCATGTGGGACCAAACTAGCTGTATTCTGGCAAGCCCACTGAAGCCCCAGGACCCTTTTTCCACCCGCGCGGTACGTACCGGGTTTCACGATTATTTGAGATCAACATGCTGATCGCTGTGCATTTATTTGGTCTGCTCCTACTCGGTCGGTGTGCTCAGTCAATTGGATGCTCTCAAACTTTGCAATTAATACCTGTGGTGCCTCTTGTGCCTCGGGTGGCAAGGACCGGAGTTGCCGTCTTGCCTTATTTCTACAGAGCTAATTTTAAAGCATAGAATTACGACCTAATCAGGAGCTAGTTTTTTCCCAATTAATCGGAGAATTTATCAGAGTCTGACCGTTCATAAATGAGACGCATGGGGTGCAGCATGTTCGCAGATTGCGTTCTAACTTTCTGGGATAAAGATTTTCACACTTCGAAACACCTGCGATGAAGGTCTTGGACTACGCTCTCAGCGCATTGGCAGCGACCACTGATGTAGCTCAACATCCGCGTCACCGTGCGGCTGTCAGTTACCCTACGCCCGGGTTCAACTCTCCGCGGATACCACATGCACCTCGCGAGCCTATACAGACACCTTCTGCAACTACACTTCCCTCCAGATTGCCAGCAGAGACGCACCATGCGATACGCGTGATTAAACCACGATCTGTGGTCTCTAACGACCAGACTCCCGACGCGTCAAAGGTATTGCACCCTACACTATGCCAGCCCACGTCTCCGAACCGTAGGAACTTACCGTCGCTAACAACATCCAGCCCATGCTAGGCCTTTATGCCGAAGACCAAGTCACGACCGAAACCACCACCTTCGAAAACGGAATCGATTCCAGCAAATGGGTCGTCGATACTAGAGGATATGGCGGCTCCGTCGATAACCCGTACATGCGGCAGATGGATCCGAAAAATGTCGAAGTTGCAGACGGCTTATTAAAACTCAAAGTCCCTGGCGGCCAAACCTACGACCCTAAAGGCACCGTGGGTCTGAGTTCCGCCCAGATAAAGAGCGTCAAGATATTCTCTGTGGGCTCGCTTGAAATGACGGTCAAGATGACTTCAGAGAAGGGCACGTGCCAATGTAAGTTGTGTGGGCGCGACCACGCGATAGGATCGAGAGCTGACTTTACAAGGCGGATTCCTCTACGGTGCCGATAACAACGAAGTCGACTTGGAGTACTTGACCCGCACCAACGTCAGCTGGGGAGTAGTCCAGGGAATGTCAAAGGACCAACCCATTCAGCAGGTCAATTTGAACGTCACTACCGACCAGACAGACGACTTCCACACGTACAAACTGGTCCGGACGGAGTCCAAGGCGTATTTCTTGATTGATGGCCAGCTCGTGAATACGTTTGATAAGAACATCCCCACGGAGCCTGTGCAGGCGATGCTTGCGCATTGGTAAGTCATTGCCGCATTCTTGTGCATACTCAGTATCTAATCATTTTCAGGACTGATGCCAATCCCGGCTGGACTGGAGGCCCGCCCGCGAAAGACGCAGTCATGTCTATCAAAAAGGTTGTTGTCGAGTACGTCGGCGAGACCTCAATCTTCTCGACATCGACTGGCGTGCCGAGTGCAACTCAGTCTCCAGGGTCTTCGCCTTCTGCTTCTGGAAAGAGCGCTGCCTCCCGGGGATTTACGTTAAATGCAGGTTCATTGCTGGCAGTAGCAGCTTTGTGTTCTTACTTCGTTTTGTAATCAACAAAGGATGCCTCATCGCCGCCTTCGCCGCCCATAGCGAGAAGCTACCACCCGGGGAGCCTAGGTCATACACTCGACTACCTCTCCACGCGATCACTGCGACGCATCGACATCTTCGTGACGAAGACAACTTCGTGCGATGTACGCACTATCGTGCAACCAGCCATGAGTAATTAATACCTAATCATTAATTACTAACTCCTAGTCCCGTTCCTGCCCCCGAGCTCGTCCCTTTGCGACGATATTGCAGTATCGGGACTTATCATGATCTTCCCATTCTTGTATATATTACCTTGTACCCAGGTACATCGCTCTACATAGAGTTAGAATGCACGACCTTCGGTCGCATCATTAACCAATACCCATCACAAACGAATGTATGCTCTCTCTCTCTTCGAGTAGAGATCAGGGCACAGAGGGTTAGTATAGTGTGACAGCGTGGTTTACGAAGGGCAACGAGTGCCATATTCTATCTGAGTCATGCCAAGCTATACGTCATAGCTGTATGACTCGCCCATCGAAATCCTATGTTGCCACCACCGTGTACACTAGAACGCGAGAACTCAATATCTAATGAGAGCATCCGAAGAATCTATGTATAGGCTCTACCCAAGATCCGCGCAGCCTTTGACTTCTCGCCCGACCGCGACGCACATCGTCTTTTGAATTACCCCGCCAGCCATAGTACTTATTCCACCCAATGCTCCAGCATCTCCCCCCAATTCGAGCCTGCATTTTTGACGTCGACGGCACGCTCATAAACTCCGAAGACATCTACACCGACATCTACAACAAGATCCTCGCCTCACACAACAAACCCCCATACCCCTGGCGCATTAAAGCCACGCAGCAAAGCCGCGGCACGCCTGTGCGTCGTCCCCTTCAAGACCCTAACCTCACATGACTAACAGTCTCAAGGGCACACAGCGTCTCCTGGACTGGGCCGAACTCCCTCTTACAGTCCAAGAATGGCAGCAGAAAGAGAAGGCCTACACCCACCTCTTCACCGCGAGCAAAGTCCTGCCAGGCGTCGAGAAGCTGCTCGAGGACCTTGCAACCAGAACTGCGCACCAGCTACACCTCTCGCTCGCAAGCTCGGCTGGTGCATCAAAGTTTGCGCTTAAGACTTCTCATATTCCCAGCATCGCCAAAGCGTTCGCGGATAAGAGATTCCACGTCTTTGGCGATGATCCGGAGATGAGCGATGCGAAGAAGAAGCCTGAGCCTGATATATTTCTCCTTGCGCTGAAGCGGATTAACGAGGCAGCGAGACAGGCGGGAGGAAAGGAAGTTGATGCCATGGAGTGCCTTGTATTTGAGGATTCAATTGCCGGGGTGGAAGCGGCGCGGAGGGCGGGGATGAGGGTCGTGTGGGTGCCACATCGGGGTCTTGCTGAAGTGTGTGAAGGCAGGGAGGAGGAGGTGCTTATGGGCAGAACGGAGGCGGACGGGAAGGTGCCGAGGTATGGAGAAAAGATTGGAGCTGAGGCGAAGAAACTCGAACCTGCGGAAGATGGGCGGTTGATCTCGGAGGATGGACTGGCAGAGATGAGGGCGAGTTTGGAGGGCTTTCCATATGAGACTTATGGGATTCGAATTGCTGGGCAATGAAGGCGAAAAGAAGAGGGCGAGGCAGCATGTGGTATAGGAGCAATAGAAGAAAAGTAGAGCTGGTGAGCGGCGGAGTTTCACAGATGCTGCATTTGCAATTATTGGCTCTTCTGTAGGTCTTGTACGTTACCGTCCTACGAAATGTGGGGAAGAGCATGGGCATACGTGTTTGAACCGACTCAATCAACCCATACTCCCTCGCCCAGGCTATCAAACGCCAGAGCAATCCTACCGTAGCTTTTCAGCTTCGGCGCCGCGACAGCCCCGCTCTTGACATTCAGCATCCAGGCGTCCTCAAGGAAGTCCTCGCCGGCAATCTTGACATCGCCCGCCTCGCCCAACGCAGTGGTTCCCTTATCCAATCCAATGAATGCGGTGTATCCAACAGGAGAATTCGTGACAGCAACGATATCGTTTCCGGCAAACGGCGCAGGTGATATTTGCGCTGGGAAAAAGGCTCCGTCCCCGGTCCAGCCAGCGCGCGCTACGGTGTTGATGACTACACCGGTAGTAGGATCCAGACTAAACACAGTCACAACGACTTGCGCCGGGGACTGAGACAGCGTCCAGAGACTGGTTTTCGAAGAAGAGATAGTCAGCGACAACGTAGTGTACTGCGACGGATCCATGGAGCTAGGCAGGATCTTGAATCGCGAAGGGGAAGCTGGCGTCTCAGAACCCTGCAGAGGAATAGTCACAAGCTCGTTACTATCCTTGGTCACCACGTACACTAGGTTGCCCGTCGGATGAGTCACCATCTGCTCGGCGTTGGTAACGTTAGCGAGAATGTCAGTCTGGTTTTGGGCATTCAAAGTGTCGTCGGCGGATATGTAGAAGTTGAAGATCGAAGTGGCGGCGGACTGGGACGAGTGGGAGTCGAGGGCATGCAGGTGACGGCCATTGGGGCTCCAGGCGAGGGAGCGGATGTCCCCTGCGAACTCCTTCGAGCGCAGGGACTTAAAACCAGATACAGATGTAGAGAAGAGGACACTGCAGTTGCCAGTCGAGGCAGACCCGTAGATGGAATAAGGTGCTTGGCTGCTGGGCGTCAGATGCAGCGTACTGAAAGCAGTTGCGTTGCCTGCTCCAATGTCAGCGTTGGGTTGCGAATTGCTGAGCGAACAGCTCACAAGACGCGGGAATCGTGGTGTTGGCTTCGGTCACTAACGAGTAGTCGGATTGAATAGCATATCTCGTTAAGGTGCCATCTTGTGGGCTGCTTGAAAAGAGGAACTTCCTTGAGTGCTGAATGTCCCAATCAGTGAACACTTCGTTTCTGGGGCCTCTTGCAGACTGACGTCGATGACCAAAGAAGGGGATGCTGTCGTAGTGGGAATAATGCCCATTTCGTACAATGTATGTAGCTCATCGTCGAGCTCGAGCGCATGTAGGGCAGTCGAGGAGATCTGCCCGACATAGAAATGGTGCAGTTTCGCAGAGGTAACAGACAGGAAGAGGAGTAACCCGAGCATGTTGGAAGCCGTTGATTTAGCAAGTTTGGCGCCCGAATGCTCGATTTTCAATTTACGTGAGCAGACTCGGCCTCATGTATAGCAGACCGACTTCAAACCTTATTCCATCGATCTGGAACGCGGGGTGCAGGTGATCTACCAGGGGTCCACATCTACCGGACCTCAATATGGGTAGAGAAATATTGGCGAATAACGCAAGACCCCTGCAGATTGGACCCTCACTGTTAACTCAAATATCTCTATGCCAGCGCCGGCACTTCCATTAACTCCTTTGTGGAATTTCCCCAGCGATGCGGGGACTCTTGATGTGGTGTGAGAGTAAGTGGCTGTGCCACCTCGAAGTCTTCTGGCCGCCTCCGCAGGTTGCAACTCCGGCATGCGAACGGCAAGTGAGGATCATTCGCAATTTGACGTGCCGTTGGTCTCGTGTTTGCTTCGTTACTCAGCAGAGCGGTTGTCCACTCTCGCACCGCCAGCATTTCGGGTTCACTTTCGATTGGCAGTTGGTAAAGCCATGATTGTATATCTGTAGTCGCGCGGTGGTACGGGCGTACGCCATTTTCAGAAGTATGACGGGCAGCTCGGAGAGCGGCCCAGTGAACCTCGATCACCTTATCATAAGGCTCGAAAGAAGCGATAGACGCATCAAGAATTGTCGCAAGCATTTCCGAGTAAACGCAGCCCAAAGAGAACATATCTGCAGACAACCCTCTGCTCTCCTGGATGACGACTTCTTGCGCTGCGTATGTTCGGGTGAACGATGTAGGAGACTCAGTGTCACACTCATCTGTAGACTCGTATGCTTTCGAAATACCAAAATCAGTGAAGTATAGTTTATATTGGGTGGTTTCTGGGGTGCCGGAGCCCGAAATGTCCCGCACAAGCAGATTTTGTGGCTTGATGTCCATATGTTTGATTGGAAAAGAATGCAAGAAATCTAACACCTTAACCGTGCAGGTGAAGAACTGTCGAAGCGCAGAAGCACATCTATTAGTGGATTCGTGAGCTGTTCGCGCGAAGCTCATGAACTGTTCCAAGTTCCACTCAGCGCATGGATACGTCAGAATTGCAAGATCCGGTCCAATCACGTAGGATCCGACTAGGCGCACTATATGTGCGTGTTGCGCTCTGTAAAGGAGCTGAACTTCTCTGAGAGCATCTTCGCGTTTGACTCCGGTCCACCTGGTACACTTGATGGTTTTTCTCACCAATCGGACTCGCTTGCATAGGACACTTTCCACTATAGCAGTCCTAGTACTTCCTATAAGCTTTTCTGCCTGCAGTGGAATAAGGTTTCTCTCTGCGAGGGAGAACTCTGCATGTTGTCCACGACCGGACCAGTCGGTTTCAGCTGCGGGTTCTGGGAGAAGGTTCTGATCTTCCAACAATCGCTGATATTCTGAGACAGGTAATTTGGGAGGATCGTAAAACGTGGACTCAAACGATAAGAAACTGTCCAGGCTGGATCTTTTGGTCATTCGGCTACCTGTTCTGGAAGCTATCCCATCGGAGGGGACTGTCTTAGCGGTAATGAAAGACTGATGTCCTGACATGGGAGAAATTGGTCTCTCACTGTTTATATCCGCATCTAGGGAGGTATCCAGAGCGCTCAAAAGAGGAACGTTGGGCGCCGAAGTTGGTGCTAGGGTCGGGGAGTCGGCAATGGGCGATTCTTTGGCGGAACCGTCAGGTATACCGAGCCCCTCGTTCCGAAATTTCGGATACTGCAAGCCTTGGGCATAGAAGTCCAGTAGAGAGTCCATGGTATTAGTGCTCTTGATACTTTCAGCATCAGAAAAGTGCTCTTCTTCGACGGTGTCATTCACGATCCGGCGCCCGAATATAGCAGGGGTGAGCGTTGCACTTGAACTTGGTGAGCCAGTAGACTCCGCCTGGGATAAATTCGCCACATAATCCACTTGCGGTTGATTTGGGCGTATTGTGGCATTGCTCAACTGCGTGGAAGTTCCGCTTCTTCTCCGGGGAAAGAGACGGCGATATTTCTCGGTAAGAGGCCATGAAAATCGCGTGCGAGGTTGGAAATCGCTATCGACTGTCCCTGTAGATTGCGCCTTGTTCCTGTTTGACAAATTCCGTACGCTCAACGCTCGCCTGAGGAAGTTCTTGCTGCGGGTCGGAAGTGGCTGTAGAGCAGCTTGTCTTTCAAGCTGAATGTAACTTAGTGAAGCCGCATCGTTCGGGGACAGCTGCACTTCGAAATACCGAAAGATGCCGTACTCAGATCCAAATGTAGGTCGCCAGTCTGGGGTCAGACTCAGGATGTTTGCATTTGCATGCGATGATGTGGTCCGAACTCGAAGAATGTTCGCGACATCCACGATGAGAACTTGCAAATCATCTTGGGACAGCAATAAGAGGTACTGCCAGGCCGGAGTTTGGAAGGGGCGATGATCTCCCAAGTTCAGTTCGTAGTCCTCGCCAAAGCCAGTGCGTCGAAAGAGTACCCAAAGTGCATCTTTCGTAAGGTACCCAAAGGTTTCGACATTGAGATCAGCCAGGTATTGGATACGTCCTGGGTCGGGCCGAGTATGAAACAGTTGGCCGTCGGCATCTTGTTTGAAATATTCGCTCAGGTATGTTGCGAGGGTATATGCCAAGTTCTTCCAGGTGAGGTGATGCCAACCATACTCGCAGAATGTGCGGTACGCATCATGAAGCTCCGACAGGTTCCGCGAGTTCTGTGCTGAAAGCGGCCTAAGTTCTGAGGCTTCCTCCATCAGTGCTGAAGGTGAGAGTTGAAGGAGCAATATGTTAATGGACGCCTGAGGGTACTAATACTAAGTATCTCATAGGGTGTCGCCGATACGGTGGAGTCCGATGGCGGGGATGAGGCTGTGTACAGGCGCGCTAATGCAAGGCTCCCAATCAGCCACGTTTGCTCTTACACCAAACACAAGTTCACAGCTCCAGTATGCTCAACTGTAGTAAGCAAGGGGGCAGAGGAAACCAGCTCGTGGATCCGCGATGACTTAATTTTCGCATGGCGATGGCAGTTTGTGGCATGGGTACCTGAAGTAATTTGATCGCCCTATGCCGACTTCGTAAGTATCAAGCCTCTAGTGCCTGAGGAGGTAAACTACGGGAGGAACTGAGGGTATTCAGACGTCTGCGAGCATGTTGTGAGTATAAGAAGTTAATCGAGCGAATTGAGGAATGCCTCTCCATGCGCCGATAGAGCAAGAGCAGTGCAATAGGATTATCGCACCATGTCCTGGCTTGCGTGGCCAGAGTTGTGGCTGAGCTTGGTGGGGGCGGCCTATGGTATCTGCGCCGGTTGGAAACTCGCTCTTTTACTATGACAGAAGTTTGATCATTGTCGCCCGGAAAGTTTCCCCCAGCTGCTGTGCGATGCCATGTACTACCTTCTTAAAGGCTCATAAGTCGGTAAACTTAGATTGACAGAATAAAAAGACGCTACTTGACTTGTAATAACTCACACCATGATGCATCGATAAGACTATGATCTGACAACGCATCGTGCAAACTCTCATTCAGGAGCATGGTAAATGTTCTCTAGTTCTATCGTCAGCCACTATGGTACTACCAAGAATAAAGCTACCACTGTCATCAAGAGTGTATGTACAGCAATAGTACCTTATCTTTAGTGACATGCATGTGACCCGCAACGAGGTAGGTACTTTTGTTGGTTTTCTTTTGCACTAAAAAACAATACATTTGATACTCATCCTGGAGTTCCGTAAAAGATGTTACCATTTCGAATGATTCAGTCTGTACGATTTGCTCAACATATCGCTGCAGCGCACCCTTGGTTTCATGCACAGAGTATCGACGATGCCCTAACGTGATCACGCTTGTTGATGGATTACCTTCGAACCGATTGTCGAAATGAAAACCGCCATTATCTTATCACATGATTGTCAAAGGCTAGTTCAAAAGCGCCCATGCTAGGACAGCCAATTACAGGGCAGAGTGATGCCTACCAAATGCTCGATACCAGAGCTACCTCCGCCTCAGGTGACCTGGCTACTCCCAGTTTCCACAATTTAGCACCCCATCGCACTGCCGGTGTTCACTTCTCCACCTGGGTGTTGGGGAAGTACCCACTAAATGAAGTAGAAGGCGCTCTGAGATGTTTGTGGGGTAGGCGCTCGCGCAGTCCCACACGATGAAATGGATTTACACCCAACAAATGCACTCCTTCGTACGCAGGTTCTGAATTTGATGCTCCGACGTAAGATTGAGATGCACAAACCTCTGAACTCACCGATAGATAAATTGACTACAATGTATCGTCTTATCCCACATTCCATCCCCGCCTCCACATTCGCTCCCGCTAGACGATCCCCACCGATCAGCGCGCCTCCTACCCTTTTCGGCCCGCGGCAGCGGTTAATATACGCCCTACCCACATTATCGCATACGAGACATGCCCCCCATGTTGTTCTAGAGCGCGCGCATTGGACAAGCAGCTATACTCATACCCGTTAATGCGCAGTTAAGCTATCGGCAATTTGTCGTGCAGCAAGTGCCGGGGTACGATAGCTGGGAGGAGAGGTAAAAGGTGGGCTTGTCCCTGGAGCTTTCGAGGGTACATTGTGCCAGACTTTGCGAATTCGAGTAGTAATCATGGCGCCAGGGCATTTGGTCCATAGGTGAGCGATGTGGGCAGGAAGTGACGATATAACAGCACGCTGAGCAGCTCTAGTCATGCACACGAGGAGGCTCTGCCAGGGACGGTCAACCTTCGCGCAGCAGGTCAGTATCAATTGATCGCCGTACGATTGCGCAAGTTCTGAGAGCATCGCAGAGGGGGACGACACTGCCTTTGGCCAAGCGTTATATCCGGTTCCTGCGGAGGATCCTAACGACCCGTTACAAGTGTGTTGGTTCTAAACACTAGAGATGTTCCAAGCTGACTCCGTCAGTGGCCCGCCTGGAAAAAGTCGATGATACTGCTCGTTTGCGCCCTATACAGTTTCCTCGGCAATTGTGCGCTCCTAGGGCCGTCTGTATACATCGGCCTGTACGCAAAAGAATTCAACATTACGCCAACCAAGGCTTCTGATCTAATCTCTTATCCAAATCTTGCATTTGGCTTTGGTATGTTCAGTACACAGGCTATGTTTGCGAACAATTAATTGATTGTTGTAGGATCGTTGATCCTGGTGCCGCTATATCTCAAGATCGGACGTCGCCCAGTCATGCTGCTGTCCATGGTATTTGTACGTTGTGCTAGGAGGGAAATCTCAACTTGCAAGCTAATCATAGACTGCAGTTCTGCGCCGGCTTAATTGGCGCATCCCAAGCGACTACCTTCGGAGGACTAATGGCGTGTCGCATCATCCATGGGTTCGGCTCCGGTGTTTGCGAAGCCCTGCCGGTGCAGCTGGTTAACGATGTGTTCTTTCTGCACGAACGTGGCTTGCGTATTGGCTATTATACAATCGCGCTGTGCTTTGGCTCCACCGGCCCTCTCTATGCTGGCTACATGCTTGCGGGAGGATACTCCTGGAAGCTATACTTCTACGTCGTTTTCGCCTTTGCCGTCGCCCTACTCATATTCGCATTCTTCGTAGTAGAAGAAACAGCATACAAGCGTGTAACACCGACGACTCCTCCACCGTCAATTCTGACCACAGATAAGGTCGCCGACGCCTCGCACACGGAAACACTCGCCGCCTCCATCCCAGCCCGTAAAACATTCGCGCAGCAACTGAAAATCTGGAATGGGATCGACCACGAGCAGGAGTTCTGGATCATGATTCCCCGCTCCTTCACGTACTTCCTTGTTCCGCAGGTCTTATGGGTGGCTACCTCATTCGGAATCTACATCGGCCTCGGAGCGCTGGCCTTCAACTACACGTTCCCGCTGAAGATCACAGCACCTCCGTATAGCTGGAGCGAGACAAATTCTGGTCTCATCACTATCGCGACGTTCCTAGGCTTCATGTTCGCACTGCCCTTCCTCTCGTCTTCCGACCGCCTAGCCGCGCACTACACCCGCAAGAACGGTGGCATCCGCGAGGCAGAGATGCGCCTCGGTGTCATGCTTCCAGCCATGATTATAGCTCCCGCTGGAGTCATCCTCTACGGCCTAGCCGCGCAAAACAATCTACACTGGACCGCCTACTTCTTCGGCGTAGCCATGGACCAGTGGGGCGCGCTCTTCTACTTTAGCTTCACCCTCGCGTACGCCGTCGATTCGTACAACGCGAACACGTCCGAGATGCTCATCGCCATGAACCTCGGCAAGCAGGCCATTAGCTTCGGCATGGGGATCTATTTGCTGGACTGGATTTTAGAAAATGGGTTTGCGGTCACGATATCTGGGATCTTTGCGGCGGTGTTGCTGGTGAACAATCTGATTCTGGTAGTGTTCATGGTGTGGGGGAAGAGGATTAGGGTGTTTATGAGTAAGACTTGGCTGGCGAGGTTGCATAAGGGGACGATCAAGAATGTGGAGGTTGCTTGAGGCAGACCGATATCTGTGGACAGATGAAAGGCAGGTTTCAACTCTAGTGATCCTGTTATTGTAGGCCTACGGTACTTGTTGTAGAGAAGTTGGCTTAAGAACCTAGTGCGAGACGTATTGAGACGATATCAAACGCGAATGCCTGTTCTTCACGAGCGTGTAATATCCCAACAAGCTTCCCTTACCAGTGAGTTTGAACGAGCTGGCAAACGTCATGAGTGTTCATTTCTGGACCATATCATTCACGTGGTGTACACATGATACCTCGCACTGACCTAGGCCTTCTCTCGCCTTTCGATTCTCAACCACATATCCTCCCAGAATCCCACCCCACCTTTGACCACGAAACGTCCTGGCTTTTGTTTATTCACTACAGGTCGGTACATCCGGAAAAACTGAAGCGGTGCTTTGTACAACTCCATTAGCGCAATATCTTTCCCAAGACACACGCGCGCTCCGTAACCGAAAGCCATGTTGTACTTGTTGTACAGCTTCACGTCTTCTTCATCACCCAGCCACCGTTCCGGGCGGAACTCGCAGGAATCAGGCCCGTAGACGTTGCTGTCGCGATGGACAAGCCAAGGATTGCAAGTGATCTCAGTATTAGGTGGAACAAACTGGCCATTAAGTCGGAGTCCAGATGGGCCGGCGACGCGGGGAAAGATATTCGGTGCCGAGGGACAGAGTCTGGTAGCGATATCAGCATCTCGAATGTTACAGGATGGAACATGTTCACTTACCGCATACTCTCCTTTACGCAAGCCACATAATATGGACAATGCTCCAAAACCTCGTCGTACTGCGGCATCTTGCTTAATAGGCCCTTTTCAGTACACTCATCGATCTCTTTCATCATCTTCTCGTACACGCCCTCATTGCCCATGATATACGCCATCATCGCCTGGAACGCCGTACCCGTGGTATCCGCGCCCGCCAACAGCACCAGCAAGATCTCCGCCTTGATGTAATCAATCTCCAGCGGCTTCCCCTCGTCATCCCGCGCATCAATAAATGTCTGCAGCAGATCTACCCTCTCGATCTTACCCTCCTCCACATCTTTCAAGCGCTGCATGAGCAGCTTGTCCCGAAAGCGCATGAGCATGCCAATGCCGGAGTTGTCCTCTGGCTTCGCGACGAGGTGTTTGCCGAGCGGCGTCTTCTTGATGAAGTTCGTGAACGGCCAGAGCCGCGCCATGAGGCCGAAGGGGAGGAGTCCGTCGTGGAAGCCTTGAATCAGGCCGCCGACGTCGGTCCCGCTTTCGATGAAGCCGAAGGGCGCGCCGAACCCGATTTCGCTGATGATGTCGTAGGCCATGAAGACGGCCCAGGGGGCGAAGTCGAATTCCTGGTCTGCACGAAAGCTTGTCAGTTATACCCACTCGACCGCACAGTGGGATGTACGACTTACTCTTCTCCGAAAAAAGGCCAGATAGTCTCTCAAGCCACTGCCCAATCCTTAGATCAACCAGCGGCTCCATCTTCTTGATATTGCTAAACGCATACGGCCCTGCCGCGATCTTGCGGAAATGAGCATGCACCTTGTGCTCTCTCATGTTAAACAGGCTCTCCTGCTCGCCGAAGCTGCCAGTGATGTAGTGGTTCGACTTATTTGCCTGGCGGTTGTACACCTCGGGAAGTTTGGTCGCGTCCGAGACGAGCAGCAGCGTGGGCGTGATGCGCAGAACCGGGCCATATTTCTTGTGCAGCGCGAGCTCGGTTTCGCATTCATCGCCGAGTATGTTGTGGTATGCGATCCAGAGGCGCGTTACGGAGGCCCAGAAGGGGCCGGGGAAGTGCCGGAGGGGATGGAAGAAGCGGTAGTATATTATTTGGTAGGTCAATGATATGATGGGGAGGGAGATGGCGGCGAGGATGAGGTTGAAGGGTGTCAGGAGAGCTAATAGGTGCGGTGTATCTGGCATGGACTCCATCGTGATCGATTAGGGAAGGTCGACGGAAGGCATACTGAGGTGAGTGACGTTCCTCCATATATCAACACGGAAGGGTCCAGCCGCTGCAGGCGGGCTTGCGACAGCCGGCAAAGCATACGAGGGAGCACTCCGCAGAGGCCAAACGTACCTATTCGTGTGATCGACCTCATTTGCTCCGCGGATATCGCCTTTGCGCACGATTCGTCACAGCTAGTCCATACTAAAATCCGGGGTAGCTGCCGGTCTATTCCTTTCCTGTCGTGGTGTTGTAGGTGTACCCATGGTGCTAGTGTCAACGGCAATGCTTTTCCCTTCCTACCCCGCGTATACCCTCGGCCGATGCTGTGGTGGTCTTCACACAACAACATGTTTCGTTTGAAAAGTTGCCGAAGAGATAAAAAGTTACCGAAGAGATAGCAAGATGCTGTGGGTGGGCGTTTGTGGACAGTGATAGGTGCAAGCTGCGGGGAACGTGCTGCATTTGGACTCGTGAAGAAGTGCATACGAACCCCACCTCGTCAAATGAACGAGAGACTTTCAAAGTCCAGAAATGAGCCTCTGAACATCAACTCAGCTTCGATAGTGGCGACTCATCCTCACGCTTCTCGGTCATGGCCAAGACACTCTCGTCATTCAGGTGGAAGTCGGCCATAACGCCATAATGGTCGGTTACCCACTCTTCTTCCCCGGCCGCCCTCATCTCTTGCCTCTTTTCCTCCGCCACCTTGACGCCCATACCTATGCGCTCGAACTTCTGCGGCCTCAATGCTCCCGAGAAAAGTATCTTATCCATGCGGCTACATCCAAACTTTTCGCGCAGCGCTTGTGGCACCTGGTAGCCCCACGTGTATCCGTCGTCGCTGTCCTCCTGGCCCCCAAGCTCAAGATAAGCGTCTTTGAGATCGTTGTCGGAATGTAATGCACGATCAAAAGGTTGAATAGCGTTTAGGTCACCAGCTAGTAGCCCCGCGGCAACAGAAGAGTCATGAAGATATGGCGCAGCGGCCTGAAGCTGCAGCGGTCTGACCGGAGGGTCCGCTACGAGCGATTCGAGATGGGTATTGCATAGTCTTAGCACCCTTCCTTTGCCTTGATCGGAAAGCGTGAGGTCCACGAACAGCCCGTCGCGGCCAAACTTGCTAATCCAAGGGACGCGGAAAACGTTTTTGATTGTTAAACGCCGGTCTATGAGCGTATTTGTGCCGTACAATGGGCTTAGCCAGTTCCGTTCGTCGAGGTCTGTTATGTAAAAGTAGTTTTGTATGAACGGTGCGTTGCGGATCTGTTGCATGTCTGACTGGCTCATCTCTTGCAAGAATATGACTACAGGTACCTCTTTATTCGTGCTTGCGACTAAATTGGACAAGTGTGCGAGAGCGGCGCTCATGCGTTCTTCCGCGAATCCGATAAGCATGTCGATGTTCCATGACATTATGCGCAGGTTCTTCGTGGGGAGTTCTGCACCATTCGGGTAGTTCTGTGGCGAGTATGAGACCCACGTTGAGCCATTATAGTGGTGAAATAGCTGTGGTCGTGGCTTGTAGTATCCTGCATCCCCGATCTGTTGGGCGGGTCCGGAAGTCAGTGCTTCCTGAAGAGCTTTTAGAATGGCTTTCGGAGCAGTCTTCGAGACACTCATTTTGTTGCTAGATCTATGTAGGAGGTGGAGAAGGGCGGAGGAGCGTGGACCTGGGGTTGTGGTTTCCGCGGGGTAAAGAGTCAGCCGGGAGGACGCAGCCTTGCGAGAAAGGGTGCAACAGTCTTTGAGAACCGTAAAGATATCAGAGCCTAGACCCGAGCGTATACAAGCACGTCTAGAAAGGTGCTCCTGCGAGTAGATCATCATTGCACCCGAATGCGGAAGGAACGCGCGGCACGTGACAGAAACAAGGGACCCCTGCCCAGTGCGTTCGCGTCGTGAATTGTTGCGCGACGGACAGCTTGACGTCTCGAGCTCCTGGAGATGCGCCCCTGGCAACAGCTGCACCCCGCCGGCAACAATCGCTTCCATTACTTCGAGTAACTATACGGAAAACACCGTCTAATTCATAATCGCCCCGCACCGAGCCTCGCAATGGGCTCCCGACTCCACAACGCGCCCATCGTCCTCGACAACGGCAGCGGAACCATTCGCGCGGGCTTCGCCGGCCAGGATCTGCCAAAATGCTTCTTTCCCTCGTTCGTGGGCCGGCCGAAGCACATACGGACAATGGCAGGCGCGCTGGAGGGCGACGTGTTCATTGGGCCGCAGGCACAGCAGTATAGGGGGCTTTTCAAGATCAACTACCCGCTCGAGCACGGCATAGTCACCGACTGGGACGACATGGAGCGGATATGGCAATATGTGTACACGGAAGAGTTGAAGACGGTCAGCGAAGATGTAAGTGGATGCGATAGCTGTGCGTTGTCATGTTTTGGCCGACTCCATTGGCAGCTAACGCATGCGTACCCCTCTAGCACCCTGTCCTCCTCACGGAACCGCCGCTGAACCCCCGGGAAAACCGCGATACGGCCGCACAGATACTGTTCGAGACGTTTAATGTGCCTGCTCTGTACACATCGGTGCAAGCCGTGCTCTCGCTGTATGCATCGGGGAAGACAACCGGTATCGTGCTGGACTCTGGTGATGGTGTGTCGCACGCGGTGCCTGTGTTCCAGGGCTTCGCCATACCCAATAGCATCAGGCGAATCGATGTAGCAGGAAGAGACGTCACCGAGCACATGCAGCAGCTGCTACGGAAAAGCGGACGGGTGTTTCACACAAGCGCGGAGAAGGAAACGGTCAAGGACATCAAGGAGAAGGCTGGTTACGTCGCTCTGGACCCAGCAAAGGAGGAGAAGGAGTGGTCAGGCGCCGCGCGATCGGACAACAAGAGCATTGAGTACACGCTTCCAGACGGACAGAAGCTCAAGGTGAGCATCAATGGCGCAGAATCACGTTGATGTTGGCTGACAGTGCGTAGGTTGGCGCCGAACGGTTCCGGGCGCCGGAGATTTTATTCAATCCCGAGATCATCGGTCTCGAGTACCCCGGCGTGCACCAGATTGTGGTCGAGGCCATCCACCGGACGGACATGGACCTCCGCAAAGCGCTCTACGGCAACATTGTGCTCTCGGGAGGGTCTACGCTGACGAAAGGTTTTGGTAACAGGCTGCTCCACGAGGTGCAGCGGTTGGCGGTTAAGGACATGCGCATCAAGATTCTTGCGCCCCCTGAGCGGATATACACCACGTGGACGGGCGGCAGCATTCTTGCGGGTCTGAGCACATTCAAGAAGGTGAGCGATTTCATTGTGCGCGATTCATACGATGTGGAGCTGACACAAACTGCAGATGTGGGTCGAAAAGGATGAATGGCAGGAGAACCCGGACATCATCCACACCAAATTCGCATAGGCGACGCGTTGTGGTCTCGCAGGCTGCCATTTGCTCGCCTGCTTCTCCGCACCGCCGGTCTCCCGCCTCCACACCCACTTAGACGTTCTTCGGGACGCTTGCATGACGCTCGGACGGCCGTGTTAGTCATGGAATCGGACTCGCACTCCCGGCAACCACACCAGCCCTGTATTTTGGGAACGCCGAGGGTCATCAGGATCGACCTGGCGGGAGTGCTAAGAGGCGGTTTGTTTCCCCGCATTTGGTCAATCTTGGACAAGCACGCTTGCGGTCTGGTCCCTGTTTCTGTTACTTAACTTTTCTCACCATGGCAACGTGGAGCAGCGTCGATTGCGTATAGAGTGGAGGCTGCGGAGGGTACAGACGTGAGCGTTGCAGTGCATGACTGGCGTTTTGTGCTCATCGGATACCCTGTGATTTTGTAGCATCGCCACGGCACCTGAGCACAGTGTCGGTTGGCAATAGAAGCGTATGCATACACTAGTATGCCACATGTACAAACGAGTGCGGACCACATAGTCGGTGAGGACAGCAGGTCCAGAGTGCAGATCCAAGTCTGTGCGCCAAGGATCGTGAGTCTTGGACGCCAGGGGAAAGGCCCGGTGACTCTGGGGTTGAATGATTTAGTGATGCGCTGGAACAATGGCGCCATGTCACACAGTCACGCAGACACGCGGCGCTTCGGCCAACGGAGAAGGTGCTGGCGCCTCGCGGGGGAAATGAGAAAGGGGCTGGTATTGATCCGCTGTCGAATCGACCGGGTGCCTGGCCGCCTGGCCTGGTGCACGTGGTGGGTGAGGAAGCGAATCGCCTCCGCCAGTGCCAGCCTTCACGATGCTCGACGTCATGCGGTGGGCTCAATCGAGATCGGACGCCGAGGGATCTGGCGAGAGAATGTTCTCAGCGCGCGTGGCCGCAGCCAGCGGCGCGGCGGAGATGGTGTTTCCGCAGCAATATCCGGGGCTGCACAGGCGGTGGTGTGCTCGTAATGAGTGTGAATTGCATCAGCGCAAACAAAGCAGCTCGCACTGCACGTCGACACGGCAGCGGCACCAGCAGAACCTGGGGGCGGGCGCCAGGCACGGCGACGAAACAGGCGATTCGGGCGCTGAAAACTCTGCGTCGGTGGAGCCGGTTTGAGCGCGAGCCTGACTGACGCTGCAGACGACGACGATGGCGCCGCATTGCGAATTTTCAGACCGTAGTTTTCATTACCCCCAGAGAATGCGCGCGGGCCAATCGCGTGGCCGCCCTTCGATCAGGTGGTCCCGGGCGGGCCAAATGATTACGCGACCAAATGAGCACCGCAGCGAGCCTTTGTTCGTGCTTTCAGCACGCATGATCACAGCCCTGCCGTTAACTGCAAAGTGCATGGAGCGTGCGGCGCGGATGCTGAGTCTGCGGCTGCCAGAGACTTCTGGGCGTGTTGGCATGCCCGGCTTTGCTTTGGGGATCCTGACGACGCTATTGTCATATAAAGCCCACCCGCCCAAACACATCGTGAACGGCCAAGTCACACCACTGCATCGTATAAGAGTCCAGCACCGCCTTCACCACTTGGCCTTCACCAAACGAAATACCTGGCCACTCGACTTTTAGTCTTCCCACGCCCAACCAAGAACACCCCTTGCCACCAACCTTGAACCTCTACACCACCGTAAACAACAACACAATCAAAATGGTTTCCTACCACATCGCCGAGCCACATCCCTCCGCATCCTCCTCAGCCTACTACGGCCGTGGAGGTGCCGGCAACGTCACCCGCATCCCCAAGAACGTGACCCCCGGCCCCGACGCCAGCGGCCCAGCATCTCGCATCAAGCTCAGCCCGCCCTCCAACGCCCTCTTCACCAGCGGTCGCGGCGGCGCCGGCAACATCCACCGCGAGAAGGAGCGGGCCATGTTCTCTTTCGACGAGGAGCTCGCCGCGCAGGAGCGCCTCCGCGAGCACGCCGCCCCCGTGTACCACATCGGCCGCGGCGGCGCCGGCAACTTGGTCGAAGAGCGTGTCAAGACCAGCCGCCAAAACTCCTCCGCTTCCACCGCTTCCACCGACTCTGAGCGCGGCGTGCGGGGCAGCATCGAAGGCGCCTGGCGCAAGATGTCGAGGCAGTTCTCCAACAACTAGAGACCGTCTGCCTCGTTTCATTCTTGTACATTTTTGACTTCCGTTTGCATTTTCACTCAGGACTGGAAGGGCTGGGATGCCTTCCGTCCGGGACCGACACGCGTCGTAGAGAGCTGGTTCTGATTCTCTCGCACCAGCATCATCCATGGGCTTGCATTTCACAGCAAGGCGTTCGGGGCGTTGCACAAACACCACTTTATCTCCCCTCCCATCACCATTACCATCACGTTTACGACCAACCAAAAAGTTCTTGTTTTCTTGTCTTTCTGCCGGCATACCACACAACCAGCGAGGAGTTCATACTGGGCACCAAACCAAATCAAACCAAAACGCTCTGATTTTGGTCTACAAAACGTTACATGATACCCAGCTATCCTCGCGAGAGGGCTTGGCTTGCCTACACGGCTTGCTGCATTTCTTGTTTTTATTTTGACATGTTTTCACAACCAGCGGCGAAGGATATACCCAGGTGCCGGTGAGGGCTTTCGGACTACAGGTCCACTTTGTCTATGTAGTTTTTATTACAGGAGGGGTTCTCCGGGATGGAGGCCTTTTGAATCGATACGTTTGAGACGTCTCATCAGTGTGCTTTGCTCTGCCTGTGCATGTGTGAAGCGGTTCAGAGTGGAGGATAGTGACGACTCGATGATGCTGGAGTCGCATCATGGCTCTTGGTATGACCCCGGTATGTCGTCCTTCCATAGCTTTTGCCTTTCCTTGCCTTGCCCTACCCCGCAGCCACACCGCGCCTCATCCCGTCTCGAATCAAACCGTGCCCTTGGCTCCTTCTCAACCCCTCTCCTCAACTGCACCTCGGACGTTGGCGTCCCCTCCGTAGTCTCGTCGGCCACCTCCGCCCATACCGCGCTAGCCCCAAGCTGGAAATCCCTCTCCCATCACGCGCGCGTTCCTGGTTTCAGCGCCAAGCTCAGCGCGTCATTGGCGCAGCCCGCCGATCGTTGTGCCACACACGCCTCGATCTGTGGCGGTCATCCAGACGTCGGTGCGCCGGGCTTGGGCTCGGATGTCGGGGGGAAAAGAAGAAAAATTTCGAAGTGGGAAGTGGGAAAGTGGAGTGTGAAGAATTCTTTAGTGTAGCGGAGGAGGGCGCTGGCGGGCTGCGGCGGGAGAGCAGCGCGCGGTGGGTTCTGGAATCCTGCCGTGGGGTGGGCTAAGAATAGAGTGGAGTTGTTTTACTTGAATTTTAAACTTGCAGGTGGGCGTGCTGGGTGAGAAGTTTTCAGGGGTCTGGATCGTGGTAGAAGAGCCAGGATTCGCGTTCATTCTGGGATGGAGGGGGAGGAGCTGTGTGATGGATTTCTCAGCTTGCCACTGTGCTATGCGCGATGCCCGTTTTCGCAGTGGATGCCGACAGGATCTGTTGCGTCCGTCTGCGAAGGGACAGCTTTGAAGGTGACTGGCTTTCTAATGTGCTGCCACTTGGTGGATTTGCTTCATGCCGTTCCATTTGGAGTCGATGGGAAATCAGATACGACGATTCAGGACGGGCGTTTAGGAAGCGTAGTGGGATGGGAGCAATGAAGTGCTTATATAAATCTGGATGGTACCGGCGAGCTCGTCCTCAGGGGCCTCTCCGTTGGCTGCTTGCATGAACATCGTTCTATAAACTAGTCTAATGTAATATGGTCAAAACAGTGAGGGAAATTGTGTGAGTCGCGGGAGAGATATACAAGACAACGTTGCCGCAAAAGTTCAGGCTACGCGGCCCCCGGGCTCAACTCCTTCCCCTTGACGTTTACCCATTGGATGCCCAGCGAGCAGAACGTCGCCAGCGCGGAGATACCCGCACCCAGGTAAAAAGGATCCAAGAGCGCCCTGTTGTAGCTAAGCAGCACACCATGCAGCTGCTCTGGCGTCACCGCAAGATGCAGTCTCGCTGTGCCGGCCGCTAGTAGAGCACCAACATTCGCGTCTGGTGCATTCTTGGCCAGTTGCTTCAGCAGCTGCTCATTGAAGACGGTTTGTGAGAGGGCGACAAAAAAGGCACTGCCGAACATTTGGAAGAAGGTGACGATGGCGATGCCGACGGGGGTGTCTTTGGCGCTTAGCACAGCTTGGATGGCGACAAGAGGGCTGGTGACGAAGAAACCTGAGCCGAGCCCGAAGATTACCTGGTACCCGATCCATTTCGAGCTTCCTGTGTCGATGGTGAAGGTGGTGAAGAGCCCAGAGCCGATAGCGAGTAGGATCGTTCCGATGATGATGAACGGGTTATAGTACCCGAGGATGGTGATCAACGCGCCGGCTCTGGAGGGATGATCAGCTTTTGTGGGCTGTTTGGTTTCGTTGAGGACTTACGAGACGGATGCAATGACCTGAGCGATCATAGAGGGTAGAAGATTCACACCCGACTGAACAGGAGAGACTCCCTTGATAGCCTGGAACCACTCAGGCATCCAAGTGCCTAGCATGACCATGGTGCCCATACTACACATAGCAGTGATGCACGCCCAGAATACTGAGCGCTGAAGGAATATCGGAGGCGGAATCATCGCTTCCTTGCCCTTGTGCCATTGCCACACGCCAAAGATTATCACCAAGACAACCCCGCCAACGAGCAGCCCAATAATGCGTCCGGAGTTCCACGGGTAGGTCAAGCCACCCCATTGAAGGGCCATAAGGAGCATGATGACTGCAGGGATGAAGAGGGCTGCTCCAACGAGATCGAGCCGGGCAATTCGGTCTTTCAGAGGATCGAGCTCTGCTTTTCGAGTAGGAGGGCGGACTGGATTAGGATTCAGTTAGTCACCATCTCGAGACAGTCTCCATTCAATCGCACTTACAGAATACAAATAAGACAGATGCCGTTGCTGCCCCGATGGGCAAATTGACGTAGAACACCCATCGCCACGACACATGCTGTGTGAAAGCACCACCAACCAATGGCCCCACAACGACCGCAAGCCCAAACATGCTCATGATAACTCCAGTATACGCGGCTCGAAGACGAACGCTAACAGCAACGGCAAGGATGGATAGTGTTCCACTCATCAGTCCGGCGGCACCCATGCCGGCTACCGCGCGGCCAACAATGAGCATGGTCGATGAGGTAGCAGCACCAGAAATGGCCGATCCGATCTCGAAGAGAAGAAGGAAAGCCATAAATGTCCACTAGGATCTGTCAAATCTCTGCTTGCAACATAGCAGCGTTTTTGATGCTTACCTTGAGAGAAAAGTTCGAGTACAGCTTCCCCGACAGGGGTTGGAGGGAGCACAGAGTGAGTAGGTAGGCACTCACGTACCATCCAATATCTGCAGTAGAGTGGAACTTCTCCGTGATCTCAGGAATGGCGACCGTAATGATTGCCATATCCAAGGCCATCAGAAAACATGCCAGGCTGAGTCCTAGGACGAGCAGATGTAGTTTTGCACCCGACATGAAGTGGTCTTCATCGTCTTCGGTAGTCTCAGCAGGGCTGCTTTTGGGCGTATCGGTCGAGGTGTCATCGCGAACTTCGAGGTCTTTCTCTTGCGCGGGGAATTGTTCTTCAGTTGATGGATCCATGGCGCTGACCCAGCAAAGCAACGAGTTGAAGAGTCGCTCCAAGAGTTGGAATTCTCCTTACGAGTCTTCCTGGGCATTAACTGGGGTATATGTATAAACAACGGAACACTGGCCCTCCCGCGACTCTTCGTCCGGTGAGAGCAATAGCAGCCATCCTTCGCGTTCATTTACCTACGACCACCACTATTCGCCGTCGTGAGATAGGAGTAACAAGCTCGCAAATCTCGCATGACGGAAAGACTCGCTGACATATTGTTGACTCCACGGAGCGTTTTGCGGCAGGCTAGACCTCATATCGTATGCTGCATGGAGGAAGAACATGTCAGACAACCGAATTGGGGTAGACTTGGGCCGTCCGCCGTATGCAACAACGCCCTGGAGCGGGAGCGGAGGTAAAATTAGCCTTGTTCCGTCGGCAAATATGCAAAAGATGGCTCCGTCCCCGTTCGAAGGTCCGTGCTTCCTCCCTCCACGACGTCTCATCATACGCGACCATCCCATCTCATCAGCAATTTATCTCGCCTGTCCCGTCGGCAGAAATGCAGTTTGTCCATTTCGGTATTGTCTGTTCCCTTTTGCACGATACCTAGGTTTCCCGTCTTGTGCTGCGACCGAACAGCATTTCTCCAGTATTACGTTGAAGCAGGGCACGTGCAAGCTCGAAGGGAGCAGTACTGCTACAGCTTGCTCGCCTAGTGCTCAGATAGATAGGCTGGATTTCGAGCGCCGATATGACTCTGGAAGATGCAAAGAAGCGGAAGGCTTGCCAATCCTGCACAAAAGCCAAGGCTAAGTGCTCGCCGTTCGAGGACAGGCTTGACATTTGCTACCGGTGCCAAAGATTGAAGAAAGAATGTGTATTTGATGAGACCGTGAGAAAGAGGGGCCCAAAGAACCGCTCGTGAGTGCTCATACTACGCCCCATGTGTGCGCCTCTTGAGGTTTTGGCTGACTTCCTGTCGAGACGCGTGAAGCAACTTGAACAGCGGGTGGATACGCTGATAGACCTATTAGCGAACGGTCAGACTGCAGCGTTACCAGTTAGCTCTAGCGCTTCTCCTATCCCTCGAGAAATTGATTTACCGCTTACGACTCCTCCGGAGAGTTCCGCTGATCCAGATGGACATTCTGAGAACGCCCATCCGCAGTATGGCACGCCAGCACGATCACCGGTAAGACCAGCCCTGATAGCTTTGCGAAAGATCATTTTCTTCTCGCGAATCCTTCGATATCTTCCTGTACCATGATAATGAGCGTTCTGACGCTCGAAAGGAAAATATACCATACGTTCAAACAGAACCATCTTGCATAGCATATGATCCGGTAGAAGCAGGTCTTTTGGACGACTGTATGGCGGAATCTCTACTACAGGAGTTCAGGCATTCATATACGTCTGCCTTCCCGTTCGTCATCGTTCCGCCTTCCATCGATGGCAAAGCTCTGCGTCAAAGCCACCCTTTTCTATTCCACGCGATCCTTACAGTGACCGCCCACAGACAGGTTGATTTGCAACTCATCCTTGCAGCTAAGCTCAAAGAACAGATATCGCTTCGCGTCATCAATCACTCTCATAAGAGCTTAGAGCTTCTGCAAGGTGTACTTTTGTATACCGCGTGGTATGGATCTCCTCCAACATTATCTTCATCTATCTCGCTAACGCAATGATATTTGAAGGTACCACTTCTACTATGATCCGATCAAGCAACAGTTGGCAGTTATGCTACAGTTATGTGTTGCGATGCTCCAAGATCTTGGCTTCTCCAAAAATCCTCGAAATGCGAAGAAAAAGATTACCATGGGCGATACTGGTGCCAATTTGTATTCCGTGCGGTCGCTTGCAGAGAAGCGCGCTTTTCTTGGGACCTACTACCTGGCTGCAAAGTAAGTTCGGCGTTCCCATTACTTTTGTCAACACGATGTGACCAGATCCCTGGTTTGTCTTCGTATGGCAGTTTGTTTGTAATTATTAATGATGGCTTAGTTTCGCACAATCGTGGAGAAGACCAACCACGTTAACGCACACGCGGTACATGGATCAGTGCTGTCAACATCTGATGGACTGTCAGGAGTATGCGACTGATACAATCATCACACCACTGGTCCAACTCAGCACGTTGATCTGTAGGGTCCAGGACTATTTCTCCTATTACGATATTGAGAACGCAGATGTGAAGGGGGAGGCATTGGTACAATTGTCTGTAGCCAATTTCGATCGAGAACTGGCTCGTATCACCGATTCCTTCCCGCAAACACTCATACAAAATAATCGTAAGTCACATCCTTCATGTCTAAGGCGATCATGCGGCACTCATACGCCCAGCAACACTTTCTCTTACCATTCGGTTGGTCAACCTATGGATATACGAGTCCGCTGTTCATGATTCGCTTTGGGTTGGCCCGAATGGGGTGCCAACTACTAGGCTGTCATCGAATCGTCTCAAGACATTGTATCGGTGTCTGAACGCTGTGCAATCGTACACCAAGACACTTATCACCGTCAAGAATACCTCGCTTCATCACCTTAGCTTTCCTTCCTGGTCATCGTGGTGCTATGCCTGCATCATTGGTTGCAAGCTCGTCTTCTTGACAGATGAACGTGAACAACAGACTGATATCAACGAAACCTTCATCGAAGTACTCAACCTCGTGATGGACAAGTCTTTGTTTCATGAACCCAGAACTTGCTCACTGCCTGCAGAGGTCACGTCGTCCACATGGAACCCGATTTCTGTGGCAAAAGAGGGCGAGATGCTATCTCTGTTCCATCAAATGTACAACAAGATGAGATTCACGCTTCCACAGGATTTGAACTCAACATCGATCGACCACTGCGAAACCGACCCGCTTTCCAGAATCGCGTACTTCCAGAGGAACCTTCTCTGTAGCTTTACAAATCGGCTGAACGAGCACATCGCCAAGCTGTACGTTCCAGCTAATACCGATAGCTCTGCAAAAAGCACGAATTCAGTTGTTCTGCGAGAGAACTGGGCCGCCCCACAAACCGACTATGCGAGGCAGAGGCACGAGAGAAACGGCATCCCACTTATGCAGAACATGAACTTCAATTCGATGAACTTCGACAGCATAGCTCCACCGGATAACTTAATGCCTCCGAACGGAACGTTCGAAGACTGGCTCTGGAATACAGCCATGGACGATTTCACGATCCCACCATTATGAGCAGCGGCTTACGCCATTTGACATCTACGCTTCCGGCAATCTGCAGCCAGCCGCTACCCCTCAGGCCACGTCTCGTCCTGGAGGCCCCAGATCTAGCTACCCAATCGGATTCGAGGCATCTGCGAGTTGCAAGAACGGAGATACATGGATGTCGAACGTCCAGGCGCTGTCTGCTTATAGAGCCGTTTATTGCCTCGAACGCGTGGCCACATGGTGTGGCTTCAACTTCAGTTGGCCGGCGTGAAGAGTGCGCTGCCGTTCAAGGTTGGTATTGCGTGCGGAAGGTGAAGGCAAGCAACGCATTACCTGCGTGCGTCTTTCCGAGTCCAGATTCGGCTTGCGCCGGGTGCCCCCGCTTGTCTGCAACGCTTTTTCAGTGGTCACCAACAAACCATCACTCCTGCCTGTTCGGCGATATATATAGATCTCGGTTGCAATTGCTCGGGCTTCCAAGTTGTGTTCATACGAGCGACGACGCTTCTTTCACACCTGTTTCCGAGTGCGCATTTTGTGGGACAATCATCGCCACGCCAATCATGGCTCCTCCAACATTGATGGACAGCATAAGCGTCGATGACAGGTACGCACTGAGGGATGTACTTCGGCGCAAGCTTCAGAACATACCTGGAGGCATCCTACCTCCGTCCACTTCCTCCCCGGTAGTCGTCCCGCAAACGCAATTCTACCGACAATGATGACACGAGCAAACCTTTGACCATAACAAACGTTGTGCATCAAGAGGCAAATGCTATCAACCTACCACAGTACGTATATCTAGCAGCTGCACTGCCACCTCCTCTACAGAGCAAACGTTAAGTCATCTAGCATCCCGGCCGATCTCCGTCTTGAATCTCTTCTCAAGAACCAAGCCACAATCGACGCTCAGAGCCGTCTCACCATCAGAGACGTCAAGAAACAGCACATCGATATCACACGTGCAATCTACTTCTGGCGGTTCGACGACTTGCATCAGTTTCAGCGCTATCGTGACTCTGCGCGTTGGAACATCGCCATCTTCATCGCATTGCTCACGGACGTAACGTACGACGATCCTAAACCCGAAAAGCCGATAGCCACCTGTGATAACCCAAAATCTGCGAAGGCGAAATTCCGTATCTCGCCGCGGTCCTCGAGCACTACAATGATGCTGCTGTCTTCGAAAAGGGGGAGGCTTTACTGTGGAAGAGCACTATGTACGATCTCTTCACACTCAACTCGGCATAGAACCAGACGCTGAAAAGGGACATGAAGCGTCTCACCAAAGAGTGGCAAGCAGAGCTTGAGCGTATTCAGAAGGCGAAGCATTTGGGTAACATCACATATGAGGTCCCGAAAGCCTACAATGCGAAGTTTGCCAAGTTTCATCGGTGTCTTGATTCCTGGACCGCGGAGCCAGCGTGCTCTGTACTATCGTGCTCCGAACCAGAAGATCGAGGATCTAAAGCTGCAGAGTGACATCTCCGGTAGCGATATGCAGCCAGGCCTCCTAGAGACTCTTAAGGCGAACGAGCCCGATTACTACGTGCCCACGCTCCAGCGCAACACCAAGCCGAAGGTCAATACCGAGCCGCCGCAGATACCAAACACTACCATCCTTGATTTCGCGGTGCAAGATGCTGAGTTTCTAGAGGTGCAAAAGCCAAAGCCCGAGGCGTCGACGACGGACTGGCCAGCATTGCATTTCCCTAAAACCTTACCGCCGAATCTAGGGGAGCAGAAAGCTGCCGAGGTCGTGGACGTGAAGGAAGCTATTTGGTTTTTAAAGAATAGCAAGCCCCAAGAGATGCTTGCTAAGCTAATGGAGCTGTTCCCAGAGGAACTCCCCGTTCGACAGCCTATATTTGCTTCGAGCACTCCTACATCATTGCCTACCCGCCCGGAAGTCGTTACCCCGCCGACTTTTGAGGATTTGGGTGCATTCGTAGGCAACAATGTCCCAAAGGACTCGATGGACAGTGCGGCCCACTCCAAGTCGGTTGCCAGCATGTCGTCATCGTCATCGTCACAGGTCAATCAGCAGACGAGCATTGGAAAGCGAAGCGCCGGTGAGCAAGATGAGGGTCTCGAGGAGCGGGAGTAGAAGCGTCATAAGGGAGAAAAGCCCATTGTCACCCGCTCTCTCATGCTCCCTGTGGATGACTCTCTTCTCCAGGTCGAGACACACTGGCAAATCTCCGCCGATCCGCCCGCTGCAACCTCGACCACCTCGCTCTTCGGCAGCAACGAACAAAATCTGTGCAGCTCTCAATTCAAAGGCGGCGATTAGGCGCTGACAAGCATAGTCTTGGAAAAGCGTTGTAACAGGAGTGACCCTCGGGTTATATAAGCGAAGTTTTATTAGAATGCAGATATGGGACTAAGCAGCCAGGCGGCATGCCCTAGGACACACTTGCAGACAATTATTAGTATAAGGCCCAGCCTGGGGCTATGTCTCACTTTTTTGGGTCTCACGAACAATGAATAGTCGGATGATTCATCAAAATAGTACTATAGTACGAATTCACGCGAAGCGATGATAAACAGCGGTCTGACAACAGTGAGACAATGCCGGGTGCGCTCAGGTCCCTGGTTCCAACACCTTGAGCATTTTGCAGCCGTCCTGCATCGCTGTGTCTAGACTTCTAGCTTATTGTGCCTATCTGTTGCTAACCTCTGCATTACCCTATTAAGGAGGCAATGCCCTTGTCAACCCACGCTCGGTAGATTTCTCAACATGTTCCTCGGGCGCCTTGCAGCAGGTACAAGCGTAACCCGATACTGCCTAGTCTTCGCGGGTGTGAACATCATTTCTCCAATAGGTACATCGACCGTTGTCTGATGCAAGACAGCGCTATCTCGTGCAGGTACATACGTATGTAGCAAACTCTAAAATCACAAGAAGCAAAGTCGCCGTTGAAGGCAGAATTATGACCCAGGATTTTTTTTCCAAATAACGAGCCTGGTAGTTGGATCTTCGTCGGACATCCTGATCGTGAAAGCCTGCGCTCAGCCTTGCTCAGCCCCTTCAAGTATGGGCACTTGCCAATGAAACTTCAGTGGATGTCGATGCGTGATACAAATCTTCACCCTATGTCAATCTCCGCACTCACACAATGGTATCTTGCGGGTCGGGTATCAGGGCTTCGACATGTTGGTACCGATGGCACTGTTCGAGGAGCAGGTGTACGTGGAGGACGCAATTCGCCCCCGCAATATAGTTGACCAGCTCGTTGGTACCGAAACACATTTCTAGCTGCTTTAGCTATGCGTGTGCATGGGGGATACGTTCGCATGAGCAACAGTATACTATATCTGGTGCAGAGCTGACTGCGTCGCCACTTACAGATGGATCTTGGTGAATCACGTGACAATCACTTTCCTTCGGCATCCTACACAGCAGTCCTCGACTTGGACAACAGACAGCACAGCCTTAAAACATTGGAACCCATTTTCCTTTTGCAGTCCTGGACATGCCTTCCTAATTCGTCCTAGCCTGTTTGTAAGGTCGGTCCGTGCAGCTATTTTCGGACTCCGAACCAAATCACAGCGCAAAGTCTACAATCCCGGTCGGGGAGCGAAACGCAGGCAAATACGCTCTGGCCTTGGTGGGGTAAGCGGTGTGATTGCACTTCATGCTGTGAGCCGCACGGGTGTGTGCATAAGTGTCTTGAGAGCGGAAGCGAAGCGGGAGCAAGTGGAGTCAGTGGTTTGTTCACTCTGATGTAACTTTTCGACTCGAGAGCAGGCGAAGCAGCGCGGGTCTGGTCGCATCGAGAGCGCATCACTAATGCGAGTGTATACCTGATCGTGCTGGTACCTGAATATACTAAGGATAGATCCTCGTGTGATATTTACGCCCCACGCGCGATGCCTCGAGACGAAGTCAGCGGAGGATTCATAGCCTCCGCATCTGGGAATAAGCATCCCCACTACGCTGGCGTTGTTTGATCAAGCTCGTTGCTAAGGGAAGGAGTGGCTTGATTGCACCTTCCAACATCTAGGTAGCGAGCGTGATGCATTGCACTGGTAGTCGTGATCTACGAATATGCACTCCATCGAGATTCGCGAATGCTATACGATAATATGGCATTTAGACAGAAGGATCTGGATAAGACGAGCTAATGATGACTGTGTTTGTTGCGTGGGGAAGCGATCGTGCGATGCATTGCAGTAGTGTTGCTCTTGTACGTGGGAGAATGCGGCTGATGCGAGGCTCAATCGTGAAAATCGCTGTACATCGAGGTTGACAAACACTTTACGCTGTCGTCTTGTAGGTTGGGGATGAGAAATCTTCAGCTCATCATTGTTGGGAAGGAAGGGCGCCAAGTGTGCACTAACACTCGTCTTCGTTGCTCACTTAGTTGTCGTAGTGTGCATGCGTCGCGAAAAGATTTAGGCTAGGGGCTGAACAACCAAGCAGTACAGTTTAGAAGAGTTGTAGTTACCCAAGAAATGAGCTCGACGCAGCTTAGCTCGGTATTTGAAAGCACCAGATACGAGGACGAAGCACATCGTGGAGTTTGAAAGTATTAAATTCATCTATTCGTTTCTAGTGCCGTATTAGAATGCTCGAGGCGGCTTTCTAGGAGTCTTTGGACTAGGTAGTGGTGGATAGTATTTCTTGTAGTACTGTCCTTCTTCCCGCTGGTCCCTCAAGAAGCTCTCTTCTGGCACGCTGATGACCTTGGATCTATGGAAGACATAGTCTGATGGCGGCCTCCTGCTCTGCTGACTGCTGGCTTCGGATCTTATATCGCTCGTGTTGTTGTCCGAGTCGAAGTCTATTATTGGCAGCACGCCTACTTCGGACAGTGATTTGGGTATTTCAGGGATCTCAGGGATACCTCTCGAGTTGCGAACCGTCCGAATGGTGGATTTTCGCCTTAGACTGGCGGAGCGCGAAGCACTGGTGGGTATCTCGATACTTCGCATGAATACATCCTTTGGCGGTTCCGGACTAGCCCGAGGTGTCGCAATGTTCAAGGGGAAACGGTTCGTTTGGGGCGATATAAGGTGTGTAGATGCTCGATCAAGCCCATAAGTAGCCAGCGGTGCGCAGTACTCTTGTTCCTTCTCCTCCTTGATGGGCATACTGGAAGACTGTGACGACATGGAGTCGAAGGCTCTCCGCTTAGAGAACCACGACATGTTTTGGAAATGCCGCTCTCCGCATGACAGGATGTCCTCGCTCTTGGTAGATCCCGCAAGCATCTTCACTATAAAGGGGTGTAGGCTGGGGAGACATGCAGTAATGATGGACAGATTCTGCGCAACTTGGATACAGAGCACGGTACGCCAGCTTTCGTAGGTGAAGTCATTGGTATGGCGTGCGTTGAAAAAGTGTAGCTGCGCACTGACAGCGGCGACGACGCTGGCATCGTCAGTAATGAACCACATATCGAATTTAGGTAAACACGTACCTGAGACGAGATAAGAATAATAGAGAAACAGACATGCGCCGACCAGCGGAGGTTCGAACGTTCCATACACAGAGGGGTATCGTGATTAGAAGAATTTCAACAACAATATTCGTGCTTCCGACGTAGTTGACCCAGCTGGAGATATCGAGGCATTTCTTTCCGTTGCCCCATCGCCACGGATCGGGCAGTGAGCACGAAAATGCAGCAACAAGCACACCGGTGGTCGTCCAGAGAGCTGTGAATGCAGCAAATCCAAGGGTCGTATAGCGTGCTATTGATCCGGGAAGAATATCCTTGATGAGCAAGCACAAAGATATCCTAGCGCACCCCATGCTCGCGATATAGAGTATACAGCTCGCATACTCAGTCTGCACAAGTTAGCATACCATTGTGACCATTGTAAATGATGACCCACCTTCTGGAATATAGTGATCTGGTTGGGATTCAGCTCGCGCATATGCTGACCCAGTACCTGTATTGACTCTATAGATACAGCAATGGTTTGACCGACGCTGAAGAGCTACTCAGGTTAGCATTGCGATGGTTAACACCAGCTCTCGCAACTCACAAAGGCTAAAACAATAAACAAATCATGTAGCCCAAATCGGCGTGTCTTGTCTTTGATCGATAGTCGCATTGTGAATCTTGCGGTGAGGACGCATATCGCAACGACTGTCAACAACCAAGACACGATATTGATAACAGTACCGCGATCCCCCGTAGGAGCAGTCCGCCTTCTCTCTAATATTTCCATCCCATGGTACATGTTGAAGTCGTCTGTTAGGATACCGATCGACGACAGCTAAGTGACCAAGATCATGTGAAGGATGCGCACCGGCCACAAGGCCAGCGAGTTCGACCTAAGTTGACGGCGCAGATGCTGGGGTGTATGGACGCTTTAGATAGATGCTGCGTGAGGCGCTCGGATCGAAGCGCGCAACCAAGTACGAACCGTGGGGTAGGCGTAGGATCCGGCAGTGTGAGCTTAATTGGCTTATGGGCTTCAGGATATAAGACGGTTACTGCGCGCATGGGGCCAGTGGGCGATCCCGACGAAAGACAGGGCTGCGTTGTAGAAGCCCGAAGCTGCCTTTAGCACGTGTGTACCACGTAATTATTGGAATCGCGAGTCATTGGGGAATAATCGTGTATCTACCGAAGCATCGACTCATCTCATCGTGGCACAGCTCATAGTGGGCCGACACACAGCCCTAGCGTACGCTGCACAGCACACCATCGGCAGGTTAGCACAGGCGGACAACGAAGGAGCAGGCATTCAGGCCCGCTTCGTATGCATGAGACAGCTGCGGACCAGCCAGACACAATCATATCGCTGAAAAGGGCTGGTGCCGCGCGACTGGAGAAACGGGAGGACAGCTTGTCTAGAGGCACCGGACTTCAAGGAGATGTGATAGTCCCCGGTAAAACCGATGCACGGACGTTTTATAAGCACCGCAGGATTGCTTTTAATAAACGACAAATCTTTTCCGCCTTGCCGAGCTTGTCAGCGTGAAGATGTGATTGGCCCTGCGCGAGAATGGAAGACGCATGGAACCAGTAGACCTTCTCTGGCCCCTTGGCGCTGTGCAGACAGCCTTCATAACGAAAGGCTGTGCTAGTCCGAAAATGACATAGCTCTGAACATCTTTCCTCCCAACATTGTGACCTGTCAGCGCTTGGACCTCAGTGTCATTACGAACAACATGCGCCGCCATCTAACGTTATCTATGAATTCGTCATCTCTACATGGGCGACAAACCGGTCTTCCACCTTTCGGTAGCGGCTCTAAGTCGTTGTGGGGAAGAGACGGCAGTAACGCGATACCCGCACTTAGAAAGTTAGTCGCTGTCTTACCGATCACCGGAAACACTTACGCCACAGCGTTTGTCCAAAGACATACCAGCCTATGCAAAACCGTCCTTGGCAATACAGAAAGCATCGTCCCTGTGCTTTGGTGGGTCTCAAGACGCCATCGGTTTGATACATCCGTCCACAACATTGAGCTGATTACGACCATCATCTATCCTGTTCTTCCGGGGAACGATAGCTAATCGAACGGAAGCAGAAACTTGCAGCTCCTACGCGGGCATAGTCAGCCGCATCATGTCTACACGCCACCAGTTCCAGAAGTTGTTGTTCCCAAAAAGGATGCCTGGCACTGAGGCTCTACACGCCTAGAGTGAAGGCGCATACAGCTGCAGATGCCGACTATGTGCACATCCAACCCGAGGGACTTCGGTCTTGACGGTGCGAGCGATGAGGGTGAAAATTAAAAGGCTGTCTGCAGCGTCGGGGCATCAAGGTGATGGATGCATCATCACAGCGGCTTACGCAGAGAATTACCTAGACTTCCAAGGCACACCTTATCACGTGGCAACTCACTGTATACTACCTTTTACAAGAGCAGATCTACGATTGTACGGCTAGGTGCCGGTCAATGTCAGAGGGGCACCCTTCATGTCAATAGACTTCGGGTGGTGGTGGGTGGTGGGAAGTGCCTGCCAATTGAACGCGTGCGCGACGCGCCAGGCGGCTCCTTCCTCCACAGCGTCCCCGTTCCAAGTATCTCACCAGCCACGTCTCGAACCGTTCCTCCTCTCCTTGAGTGCTCTACACCTGAAGGTGTAGGTTACGGCCGCCCCCGGGCAACCACAAGCATTCCATCGCCACCGATTCAGGGTTCGCCGTAGGGACCCCTTCACTGGGCGTTCTAAAAGTTTTTAAGTGGAAGCTGCGGCTCAATCTTGGAGTTGCTCAACTGCTGTCGGTGTCTTCTTCATGATGTCAGCGGTTGTCCTTCTGCCGCGATCCGTCTGGGTCTTACGATTTCCTTTTCTCTCAGAGAAAAGTACCTTATTCACGGCTTCACCTTCTTTTCCTTCCATTTCGGAGATGTCGTTAAGAGCCACAGATTGAGCCTCCGGTCGTCGCAGCCGTGCAACTCGCGAACTGGAGCGAGAGTAGCGGGCTTTAGGTAGGAGCCTCGAACGACATCAGTCGCGAACAAGGCGTCGATCCGTAACTCCAGACCGGTCCCGTCAACGCTATGTACCGATCGCCTGGCAGGGACAGTCTTCGAGATAAGCCTCGTAGAGGACGGGATAGAGCGCCTTCGAGAAGCCGTGGTAAGACGCAGCGACACTCTTGGCGTGGGCAGGTGAGCTAGGCGCCAGTATAGCAGAGACAAAAGTTCACAGTGAGGTGACCGTAGTCGTTCACCTTTCAAGCACAGGAGTCCACAATACCGCGCTCGGTCCCATGCGCCTCGTCCGGAGAGGTCCGCGGGTCAATCCAAGCCACAGTACAAGCGCTCGATGCTTGATACATACCGGCCGCGATCACGGCGTTTGAGAGAAAAGGGAGCTTCGCGCTCACCACCAAGACCTCTGCCGCATCCCCGGCAGCGATGCCAAAGTGGCCAGCGTTAAGAGTATCAGTGACCTACAAGAACGAGCACGCTTTGGCTCTAGAAGTGTTGAATCACAGACTCAGGAAGCAAGGGGACTTGCTCGATGGAAATTCTGACATCGAAGCTGAAGGTGATAGTGATGCGCCTGCCAGACCATCATTGAATGCCACACTTTAATTGCACAGCGATGCACTGGAGCCGCTGCGGAACCGGCCTGGTCTCTGACCAGACAGCGTCGTGGAATCTCAGGATGGAGCTGATCCTGAATGAAATCATCACGCTCTGTATCATAATTGTTCGTATTTCCCTTAATTATGACACGGCTACGTAGGACCTCGCACGCTTTTTCACTTTACCGAGACAGCGCCCACCGACCGTAGGTCGTTTCTTAGGACCTCACACACACGATTTTGTCACAAAGTTGTAAAGTTCTGTACCTACCTTATCGATACTCGGTTCTTCTTCAAATTCGTGGCTCACCTTCACTTTCACCTCAGCAACGGGCGCACTAACCACGCGTATCTACGCTAGAATCTCGACAGCAATGTCAACAGTATATCAAGACACCGCCTCTCTTTCAGGTCCAACTTACGTGCTGCTCAAAATCACAACGCTCTCACTACCGCTAACCAGACACACGATCTGTTGTCACGCGTTGGTAGCAACTCATAACCTCGTCTTATGCGCCGCCCTCACTTCCACATGCAAGGTACCACTTGGGCCGCCGTCGCTGCTGGCAGCCAAGTCCAAGGTAAGTGATAGGTGTCAAACCCACTGCTTCGCAAACTTTGCTAACCTCACATGAAGCGCCGGCGAGCGCTGTCGTTCCCACTAGCAAGAAATCACAGCTTTCCGCTATAGCCAATGATGGTCAGAATTCAACCGCCGCAAAGGTCAAGTCGCGCTCTGCCAATGCGTCCGACGCAAATAGCGATGTCCCGAAAAAAGATGTGACGGCCGGTACAAAGTCTACCATCGTCGCTGTTCTCGAAAAGACGTCGACTCAGAAGAACAACCACAAGGAAAAGGAGTCTGCTGTAGTCTCCAAGCCTCCCAATGCAATTGAAGAGCAGATTCAAAAGGCACCGGACGCCGTCACATCCTCTGTCGTCGGAGCGTCGCACACATTAGGTGCTAATAAGAAGAAGAAACTCTTGGTCAATGCTCCAGAGTCAACTGTCGGCAACTTGTCCCCCCATTTGAAGATAACAAGCCAGGACAATGTTACAGACTCATCTCTGCCTGTCGCAAACGAGGTATCCATTACCCCTATCAAGAAAAGGAACAAAATCAAGATGTGGAAAGCCGGTCACAAAGTCAAAGACGCCAAGAAGGTGGTACATGAGGTAGCGAAGAGTACTTTGAAGCCTTCGGGTGTCATCAATGGCGCCGACCAACAAGTCTTCGACTCCAATGTACACAACCCGGCAAACAATGCTATGACGGCGAACAAGTCGGATGCTGTCCTAGCTGAACCCGATCGCAAGGGTCTAGAATATACCTCGATCGTTGAATGTGTGCACGTATCTACGGCTGTCTCGGAGGCGGCTCTTGCATCCGATGCGTCGGCCTTCGACACTCCGACGCCCGCAGCCTTGCCTCTGGTTGAGACTGAGCTCTTGGAGCAGCCTAAGCACAGCGCTCACGCTCACAAGAACAGTGACTCTACGGAACTCTCAGTCCATACCGTGCAAGACGCAGGAATCGCACGAACTCGGTCGGTGGTATCACGCAAACGTATAACCCACCACGACGTTGAGACATACGTCGTGAGCCTCGGTCTTCCTGGCATCTCGTTCGACGAATTCGGTGTCTGCATCGCATCTGATGCTCCCGATTGGGTTCGCGGTCGCGTTGCTCGTAGGGTATACTGGCTTGTTTCGGACTTCAAGGCGGGTAAGACTGCGACAGAGATTGATATAGCTACCGAGCTTGAACTCGAGAAGAAGGAGAAAACACACTTTCATCAGGCGGTATGGGATCGCCTATTCCTGATCGAAGACTGGAGGAATCCGATCAGCGACCAAGAACGCCTCGACTTAGAGCCCATGATGCGGGAGTTTGATATGAAGCTCGCCGCCAGACTAATTTCTGACTCTCCCTCCACAAAGGTGGACGATAAAGTTGGAGAGGAGAAGCCCCTGGACAAAGTCGATACTTACTCGTCTTCGTTGCTGTCCATTGGGGAAGTCGAGTTCCAACCCCCAGTTCACCAGCAGACCAACTTTCAACAGGATCATAGCAACAACGACACTCAAGTGCTGCGGCCTAATTTCCGGTTACCCTCTCAAGAACTGCCTCCGGCGAACCGTGTTGTCCCCGGTCTTCATTCGTCTTTCAAGGCCACAGCGAATGACCACTCTTATCTTGTACCTTTCATGCTGGATCCGTCACTCGAAACATCTTCACTGCAAGAGAACGGTCAAAACTCTCCGCAGCACCATCGACCAGCAAGCAGGCAGCTTTGCCACAACTTCGCCAACGGCTACTGCTACTACAGAACAGCCTGTCACTTCATACACGCTGGCCCCGGTGAGGTTCAAGCCGTTGCTGGCCCAAGCCAAGGAAATCCGCAGGAGCACAACCAGAACCCTCGTCGACAACGCCAGTCGAAGAGCACGCAGCCCTGCCGCAATTACGTGAAAGGCTACTGTCCTTACGGAGCGACCTGTCATTACGTGCACATTCATCATGGTGAATATCAAGCCGTTGCTGAATCGTGCCGACAGGATTCTACGTATGACGTGTTCGACTTCTCGCGTTCTGTGTCGCGGTCATCAAACAACAGGGGTACGGCAGGTCGTCTGAATTCTCAGTCGAACGACCGGAGACAATCAACGCGTGCACCTTCTTCAAATGCCCGTGTGTCAGGGTACTCGAAGACGAGGGCGCGACTTACACCAGACTCACATAGCTCGACCCAGGGCTCGGCTAGGGGATCTCGGCCCAACAAAACTCCCCAAAAGAAGAAGAAAGATGAACCCAAGCACAAAGGCGGCAAGAAGTCACAAAACGTGAACCACTGAAGGTTCTCCCGATGCCGTGCGATTTGGTGATAAGGGCCTGAGCGTCGCCGATTCTTGCCGATTCTTGCCACGCTCCAAGCGAAGCACCACAGTGTAATGCGGTTCGTCCTTGAACACTGTAAGACGGGTAGGGTTTGCATTATTCGATTGACCGATCGAGTCACTTTTTCTCTTGGGGCTTATTAGTCCTGGCAGTAATATGGAAATTTCTTCTTGGAGAACGCTACGTGTCTGATATTCAGGTACTGCTCGAGTTCATGTCTTGTTTCTGCGTTAATCTCGCCCGCACAGTAGCGTAACAGGTTCCAATTCGGTAATGGTGTACTAATATCCCTATCTGTTTACTTCTGTTCACTGTAGAGAATTTGTTGTGGAGTTGTTGAGCCTATCGTGCCAACTTTCATCAGTCATGCCACAGAGACTTGTTTCTGGCAGCTCCGGTCGAGTGAAAGAGCTTGATCCAAATCTCGGAACTCTCCAAGTTGGCTGACTGGAGACTTGAGGATCGGCCTCTGATCTTGAATACTCCATAGTGTTAGGCAATCCCAACGTGGTACACTTGGAGGATAGCAACGACAGTAGGCCAGCCGACAGAGGACTTGCTAGTAACAGCCCGGCACCTGAAAGCGAGCAGAACACCAAGGTGATTTCAAGCATGGTATTGAGTTGTAGATTGTCAAACCGGTACATAAGGCTATCCAATCACTCTACTTCCTGTTATGCAGCATCTAGCATGTTGCTCTCTTGACCTTCTTGAATCCCTGCTTCTGAACCTGAGCTTTCGCTGCAGCAATCGTAGCCTGAGCGTTCGGGTCCTGGAAGCCACATCCGTTCTTTCCGTTCTGGAATTGTGCGGCCTCGGCACTGCAGACTCCCTTGCCGGAGGCGTCGGCACAGCATGCGGAAGAGCAATCGGCATTGCTGACACATCCACCAGTAATGAACTGGGCGCCGTTGCCGGCTCCGACATTTTTGGCGCCGGCGACGTTGGGCGTGATCTGTGCGAAGGAAAGGGCGGCAACTAACATTGCCATTAGTAGGGAGGACAAGATATGGCATCTATGTAATGACGTACAGGCCAAAACGGTGGCGATGGTGAAGCGCATTTTGATGACTGAGATTCGAATTCGTGAAATATAAAAAATTGTATATAAAGCGTTTGAACGGACGATTAAAATCAGATGGTATAAATGAACGACGCCGGGTCGGTATGCTGTCACAGACGCAAGAAGTGAAAGGTTGATGGAACAAAGTAGATGGTCGCGATGAATGTCTCGTCTCAACGCAGCCTGCAATCCTTATATACCAGCCCATCGCCACGCATGGTCATGCTTTGCTGCCTCAGGTCTCTCTATCCACACTACATCCTTCATATGGATCCTTACGTAGAGTGTGTGATCAGCTGCTGTCGTGATGGCAACAGGCACGTCCAAGGCTTCGCTGGTGGCACAAGACGTTGCAGAGAGTACCGCATGTCGTAATTCGGTGTTTCGATAGCGTGCCTGATAAGTCGGTAGAATATGCGCAAGCAATGCACGGTGGTGAGCGACCAATCGCGCGATGGCTTGTGTGGCGCATGATCCATGCGGGGATGGAGCACACGGCGTTTCGTATTTGCGGCGTGCCGAATCGCATACTTCCGAATCGAAGCGAGCCACTAATCGTGAACTTTGGGCTACGCTGCTTGTAACGATGAGCCATCTGTGCTTGTATTATTCGGCCAGCTTTCGTGTATTATATGTCTGCGGGAGCAGAAAAGAAGGTCGATTGCGTATGCTGCCTATTAGTATTTATCTTTGTTAACACATTGAAAAACATGAAACGATACCGAGACAAATTCTCATGATACTTCACGAGGAGCTTCTGCCTATATCTGGGAGCCGAACGTTGTAAATTGCGAAAAATCATGGTGTATGCTAATGGAAAGCGCTAATTCAAAAGGGCGAACCGCACTCCTGCACCCTCCGGCTCAATTAGACGACCTACATGACATCAGGCTTCAAAGCTCAGACACCGGGCCAATAATTTTGATATGCAAGATGTCGGAAGTTACCATAGGTATTCCATGCTCTGGTTCCATATATAGCTTTTGTTCAATGATTCTCCGAAATGACGCATCACTTTGAAGCTTCCATGCCCTCCAAAGATGTGACTTGTTGTGAAAGGAGGGCGCAATAAGAAGTTCGAGACCTCAGACTAGAATGTCACGTTGGACTTGCAGCTAAAGGTCTGCGCAAGCTTGTGCCTAAAGGCCTCCTCCACATCAGGGAAGATGGACTAACCAACGTATTACGGGCAATCAGTACCTTCCACCACGGCCCAGTCCTACGGAGCACAAGGTTTCTCGAACTTTTCCTGGACATGTTGGACCCATTTAAATCTGTGCCACAAAGCAGCTATGTAGTGTTGCTTCTTCTAATTGATAAATTGGGAATTACCTTGAGTACCGTCTAGTTGCTACTTCTCCACAGGAAAGGTGAAAAAGGATTGATGGCGCTACAGTGCAGCTCGAAAGAGTCAAGCTGACGCGCGGTAGCAATGTACGCGTATACTAGGGCAAAGAAACACTGGGCGGCAGTCATTAAATGCATTTGAATGAGCAGCAGTGATTTGAGAACTATTTTCCTCTCGTTGCGATAGCCTCCGACCAGCGCGGTGCGTCTGCTTTAGTCTTGACGTCGTCAGACTGCTCTTGTTCCTAGAATTGTATTTTTAGAGCCGTAGATCCTAATTAGGGTTTACTTAGATTCTTTTAGGGGTGCATAGGAAGGAGAACCCCAGCGTATGCGGTATCGCATGTGTGAGTGAATCGCAGTCTTCTCCAGCACGAAAATTTCAATCCGAAGAAGCGATAGCGGATGAAGTGCGCTCTGAAACCTTCAATACATGTTGATTGCTCTTTATACTCTGCCAAGAAGAAAAGTGATAGTACATGTTTCCCTTTGGTGCCTGGATGGACTGGACAGAAAGGATCTAGTTCTTGAGAGAAGGGGAAAGGGTGGTTTGAATTGTCAGTGAACCGCTTGAGGAGACTGTGAACGATGAACGCCCGCAGAAATGCTTTGCAATGCTAATGTGGGGATGCGACCTACTTCTTCTCTCACCTGTCAAAAATCACTTCAATCACAAGCCAATTCCCCTGTCAAGCCCTCGCCTCGTCTTCTTCTATCGCTTCATAGCCCTCTCTTTCGGGCACCTCCAACCCCATGAGCAAGCCCAACGCAACCAGGAATAACAAACCCGCCACAATATACGGAAGCCCAATCCACACCTCCTGCCTCTGCCGGAGACCTACAGCGTATAGCCACGCATAGATCGGACCACTGACGGAGCCGCCGATCGCGCGGAGCATAGTGATGGCCGAGTAGATCATGCTGATGTCGCGGGTGGGCACCATCTCGGTTGCTAGGGAGCGGAGGAGAGAGTCCTGGCCTGCGCCCATGGCTATGATCACGACGCCTGTATGAGAGTCAGTGGGTGTGTGTCTTATCTGGTAGTAACAAAAGAGAATCAAGAGAGTCGCGTACCAAGAATAGCAACAGCTGCAACAGGCGCAAACCCTAAACACAGCTGTCCCACCGCAAGCGCCAGCAGACTCCATCCCGCAACATTCTTATCTTTCATGGCGGGCGAGAGGTTCTGAAATCGCACAGGCAAGGTCGCGGTAAGAAGTGGGAGGAAGAATACGAGCATGAGCAGCTCTACGCTCATCTCAAGCGAGTTCAGGAAGCTGGCCTGGAGGGTGGGAGTAAGCGCATATCCTTGAGCGTGGAGGTCACGGCGAACACTTACATCTGAGAAACTCCACCCGAACCGTTTCGACACGTAGATCGCCAGCATAAGCGGGCCCGCGTCGAAGCCCAGCTGGCACAGGAACACTAGTCCCAGCATCGCCACAACCTGCTTGTTCCCCAGGAGCAGCGTGGCAACGTCTTTCAGCGCTTTAGCCGTACGTCTTATTTTTGCCTTCCACCCAGCATCCCTCCCGCTCGAACCCACAGGCTTCCTCCCCGCCTCGACAGTCTGATTCGGTATCATCGCCGCTGCGACAGTCCCAAGAACAAGACTTCCCAGTCCCACCGCCCACGGCAAATAGTCATTCACCCTCATCATGAGCCCGCTAGTGGCATATCCCACAATGCTAGCAGCCACGCCCGCCGCCCTGCTCCGGAAAAACATCCTCGTTCGGTCCTCAGCACTCACCACATCGACGATAATCACATGTAGTAGCGTAATAATGGTCGTGAACCCGCCCCCCACACAGCTAAACACGAAATGCAGCCATATCAGCCGAATAGGAAAGACATTCGGAAACCACGTCACCAGGAAGGGCCACCCATCTTCCAGAAAAACGCCAAAGATCGCAATCGCCAGAATCAACGAGTGCCCATACCGGTCCGCCAGCGCCGCGAACGGAATCGCAAGCACACTCGGAATGATAATCGACAGTCTTTCAATCCCGCCCAGAAGTGCCAGCTCCTCCTGCACGGGCGCTGCTTTGCAGTCGTGTGGGCCCGCACCTGTGCTTGGGGAGCTGTAGTACTGCTGGCAGACGATGGCCTCGTAGATGGCGATGCGGGGCGCGGGCTGCACTGTCTCGCCAAACAGAAACAAGAACGACGTGATGTAGATTAAGGGGACTGTGTATTTTGTGCGGGTCATCTTGTCTGGCCAGAAGGGTCTTGAACCCTACGCAGAGGGGAGGGGAGGTTGGACTGGCGGAGGTGGTGAAGTTCGGAAAAATCTTATCTGATGAGATGAGGCGCCAGTGGACTGAATGCGGTTAGACTGCCGCAGATCTGTTCAAGTCCTCTCAATCACGCAGTGAGGTAACGTAGACTGCATGTTTCTCAGCAATAATTTGTGACGGAAACAAAGGAACCCGGCTTCCGTGTTTTCCTCGAGCAACAACGCTCACAGATCCTAAATACCAGAGTTGATTGTGCCAGAGTCAATCACAACATCACTTCACGCTTCCTATTCGCCCCGTTGCACGAAGTACAACATCACAACTCAGAACTGAGCGTAGCAGCGTAGCGACTAATGAGATCTTCGACTGCAGCACACCGAAAATACTCACTTGATACTTTGTATTCATGATTCCGCAAAGTAGGCAGGACATAGACATGAAGGGCATCAAAGGAGCATATATCTGTGGCCATGGTATTACGATAGATACGCCCTCATCCTGTGGACGCCAGCAACCGCACCAAGCATGAATCATTTTTCCAAACATATGAGTTCTAGGCATAGGTTTAGCAATGGAAAATATGTTCGTCCCGGGACACTATGACTTACGTGATTGAACAAACTCAAGTCGACGTAGCCTTATGAACCGGACCTGTTGCGTGCTCTTCAGCATCATCGCGGTACATAATATCCTCATCATCCATGGCACGTTGCGTTTGATAGTTTTTGTTGAAGAGCACCTCCATGTCTTCGAGACTACGCTGGCTAGTCTCAGGGTACAGAAGCCCTGTCTCTGGTAAGTAATCGTGCCACAGCCATGTCCAGCTTTGAGATCACTCACATATGAGGACTGCAGACACCAAATTCGTGCTCATGAAGATAAAATGCGTCCTGGAACCGATCTTTTCCATGCCGATGGGCCAGGTCTGGGATGAGATGATAGAGCCAATGGAGCTGCCTGACGCAGCAATATTCAGACCGCGAGCTCTGAAGTTGGTCGGGAAGATCTCAGAGCCGTACACCCAAGCAGCTGGTCCAAATCCGATGGAGTAGCCAAAAGTGTACATGAAGATGAAGAAAATGCAGACGTAATCAGCTGCGTGATTGATGTTGTTAGGATATGCCAGTGGCAGTGCACCGTTCACCTGAAGCGAGTCAGCGACCACTGCAGCAAGCTTCAGCATGGGACTTACCAGTAAGGCAAGGCTCATAACGAGACAGGAAACGACCAGTGTCAGTCTCCGACCAAACCTGTCGACGAGCCAAGTGTCGATCACCGTACATCCAACCTTCAAAGTGCCTACGCTCATGGGGAAAGGAATTAGCTCAGTCACCAGGGTGCAGCTGTGTACAAAGGGTCTCTATCTGAGACACTTTGCAGCGAGGCCTTACGTACTCTCGATACCCCCGATCATGAGGGTCAGCTTGCGCTCAATGCCGAGGCTCATGAAAATGGACGGCAGATAGTACTTCATAGAAGTGTTTCCACACATCTGCGCCATGAACTGCAGGAGCGCTGCGCGCCATAAGCGATTGAAAAGAGGTCGATTGCTGAAGAGTACAGTCCATCCTTGATTGGTGGCAATGCGGCGGCTCCGTACGTCATGTTCCATTTCTTCGAGCTCGACAATAACACGCTGATCAGTGGGGCTCAAGGCCCGCAACCAGGCGAGACTTCGTTTGGCAGCATCGCCACGTCCCCTCTCTAGGAGCCATCTAGGACTGAACGAAATGTCAATGCATATATTACGGTCGAAAGGGGTGGAACATACGTTTCTGGGCATAGAAATACTCCAAGGAGGAATACAGACTCCGGGATGAACTGCAACATCATTGAGACACGCCAACCGTAGTACGTTCCACGTGAGGATTCCCAGTGGCTGATGCCGTAACCGACCCTGACACAGTCAATCTTGTTGAACACTGCAGGAATGACTCCGGTGTGCTTACCAGAAAGCGATGGCCAATCCAGCGACGAGGCCAACGTGGTTGATGACCACGTATCGTCCTCGATGCTTCGCGGGTGATATCTCACTGTTCAATGTCAGCCCTTGCAATCTAACATCATAGAAGCAGTACCTCTGGTATAGCGGAACGGATGTAGACACAATGGCAAGCCCCACACCGCACACTATGCGGCCAGCTATCATCATGGCAACACCATGATCTCCTTTTGCAGCCGTCTGAATAGCAGCTCCAACCGCTGTTGTTAAAACTCCGGTCGCTGCAGCTACTCTCCTTCCGAATCGGTCTGCGAGCGGATGCGAAACAAAAAGATAGCTGAGCCACGTGCCAAGGTAGTATATCGAGGTGATGAGGCCGGTAATCGTCTTGTTTGGCTTATGGAGGGATTTGATGAAACCAGGATGAACGTATATACTAGCCATGATTCCTAGTAGGGCGCATTAGCTTCCGGTCTTTGCGCAAGCCGATAGGGCGTGTGGGAAATATCTACCGATGTTATATCTTACGTCTTGTTAGCTGAATCAAGGCGAAATACGGTCTCACATACCCCCATGCCAGAGAAGCCAGTCCGAAAAAGAGACTGACAGTTAAAAGGCGGACGGAAGCCTTCTTCGGCAAGCTGGCAGCCGTAGCCGCTGATGCAGTTGCCATGCCGTCAAATGTGGGCGACAAGAGAGGCTCGGCGCTGTTCTCTCTCGATGTTGCTGCAGGTATAAGTTAGACCAGCGGAGCCCTTCAGTACTTGAGGTGAGCTCACACTCGCGCCGTAATGTATGTTGCGTCGAGAGTGGCGTTCGGGTCGCCATGTTCCCCCACGAGTTTGGGCGAGACCGGCAGTTCGGCGACGAATAGCGAGAGTCTGGGGCAGGAAGCCACGATGCAGTCCTCGTATTGACAGCTCGAGTTGGGGAAGGAGCAGCGACCCGGCAAGTGTTTCCTCATCCAACAACGCAGAACAGAGTTGTCGACCAGCCGGGGCACCGCGTGAGGGCACCTGCATGCTTCAAGCGAGCTGATCAAAACAACACCCCGCCGCAATCAAGGGTAGCTGCAAGCTGCAGCGGGCGCAGTACGCAAAATGCGAACTGTGATCACAGACACGATTTCTCTCTGCGCCCATGATCGCATATCTTGAATCGCATCGAACGAGCAAAAGACTCCAGAAGGAGGTCCTATCACGGCATGACATTCTCGTCAGGAGAAGATCTGTGCTGGTCATGTCGACGGGTTTGGGATGGGAAACGCCCTGCCCATTTGAGCTTAGTCTGCCATTGTTCGCCCCGCGTCCCTCGAGTCGCAGCATACTCCATCGCCCTCCACCTCCCAGATCCAGCGACGATACGGAGGCAAGAAGTGGCAGTTTGACCTGGTCGCTCAAGTATATAGCAAACAGCTTTGCGCAGACCTACGTGCAAACAGCGCCCTAGAGGCTGTGTCTCCGCATCAAGGCCCACCCTGGAACCCTTGACTTAGCATGCTCTCAACCTGCCCGTTTCGCCTCGGTAAGTGGATTGGTAAGTGACTTGGTTGGTTTTGCCTATCATGCTCCATGGATGTTTATGGCTAATTGCATTGCGGAGCAGGCCACGGTGCTACACGAACGAATCAGCGCTCCCTCAAAGAATTATTCGACCAATGACTCCTACCTTGGCGCCCTCTGTGATACATGATCGCCCGGCACTCTCCCAGTTCCATTTAATTCTTACTCCGCTCAATTGACACCTTTACACAAGATTGGACAGCGCGGTGTTTTGGGAAGGCACTTAATCCGACCAAATTGGATTGAGTGACTCTTCAATCAAGATGATGGAATCGCCATGGAGTCTGTGCGAGTCAAACCGGGTGAGAGGGAGGCTCAGAAAAGCTGCGTGGCTCCTGCAAGGGATGGTTGCGCCTTCCCACCCAGCGTCATAGGCCTCAAGAAATCCAGCACGGTAGACGCGTGAGAGCAACCATCCACTCAACCTCCGATCTGCATCGGCATTCTTTTCTCGATGAGCAATCGATAATCATATCCATAAGCCATGAGCGCCAGAGCAGGCGTCGAAGGAGTTGGGCTGTTGGAAGGTGCGTCCCATCATCCTCTGGAAGTGAGTCTGCCTGCTGATTCACATCCATTTCAGTGGAACATCAACGTGAGAAAGCTCTCAACCCCCTACAGTCAGAAGTAAGTGGCCATGAGAATCGAACAAAGTCCACGTATACTCATAACAGCGCGAAGGACAGTGTGGTGGAAGGGAAGGTTACTTGGCGAAACCTACCACAGAAGAAACAGCTGCTGTTGTTAGCACTATGTCGTCTATCCACGCCCCTCTCGAACGCTTGTCTACTGCCATATCTTTACTACCTAGTCAAATCAATCCTGTCGGATCCGGAACACCCTTCGGCTCCGCAGCAGATTTCGCGCTTGACGGGGCTGTTGGTCGCCGCATACCCTTTGGGTCAGATGTCGACATCTATGATCTGGGGCAGACTGTCGGATCATTACGGTCGCAAACCAGCTATCCTTCTGGGGCTGTTCGTCAGCGTCACCGCAAACCTTGCGTTCGGGTTCTCGAGAACAATAGGGATGCTGCTGTTCTGGCGGGTGCTGGCCGGCATGGCAAATGGTATGCTGGGCGTGATGCGGACAATGACGGCAGAAATCGTGAAAGACCGAAAGTATCATACACGAGCTTTTCTGGCTTTGCCGGTCGTTTTCAACTCGGGGCGCGTTGCGGCACTGGCAATCGGCGGTTGTTTAGCGGATCCAGTCAAGAACATCCCATGGTTATTCGGGCCTAGAGGGCTGTTCAACTTCTACCACCACCCAGAGGGAGTAAGTCTTCACGAGACATCCTCGCTTGCGTTCACTGATAATTCGATCCAGGTTGCCTGGGCACTTGTTTATCCATATGCCCTCCCCGCGCTATTCAATGGGGCTGTTCTAGCTACGTGCCTAATACTTGCTTTCCTTTGGCTGAAAGAGAGTCTCCCCTCGAGAGAAAACAGCTGGGATCCCGGCCTTGTTGTCGGCAGGGTGATCTCCAATTTGTTCACAAAGAAGACGCGAAGACTTAGATCCGGCTACTCCGCAATCCAGATTGAGGAGAACCAGTCGTTATCTGCTAATCTACTGACCACTGAGTCTGGTTCGGGGTCGTCAACTCCGATCCGAGCCAAACCTGCGTCACGTCGGTCAGGGCTTCGTGGCATCTGGACACGTCCTCTCGTCAAGACCCTCATTGCCTTTGGCCTGCTCCCACTGCACAACGCGACCTTCCTCCACGTTTTTCCAGTGTTTCTCAGCATGCCCACTGCTCCAAATTCCAATGCTACAATTGTTCGCTTTACCGGCGGCCTCGGTCTCGCCTCCCCTACCGTAGGTCTTTACCTCGCCTCATTCGGCATCTGTGGGATCCTCCTGCAGCTCTTCATCTACCCGCGCATTCAGAAGTACGTCGGCAATCTTGGAGTGTTCCGTATAGCGAGCGCTATCTTTCCGGCTGCGTATTTGCTAGCGCCATACCTAACCCTACTCTCGGGACACAACACCGCCCAATGGGTCGCGATGGCGACAGTACTTTTCTTACAAGTGATGGGAAGGACAATGGCTATGCCCAGCAGTGTCATTCTTCTAACGGAAGCTGCGCCGCGACGAGACGTACTAGGCACTGTGCATGGCGCCGGGAGTACCTTGAGCGCTCTCTCGAGTGCGGTAGGTCCTGTCATCGGCGGCATGCTTCTGGCCAAAGGCATAGATATTGGCGTCATTGGTCTTGTATGGTGGAGTTGGCTCCTGCTGGTCGCGCTTGTAGCTCTCGGATGGAGTTGCGGTCTAGAGATTGAGGAAAAGGGTGAAGAAGCTAAGCTTGAAACCCAGCTTGAATAGCCGCGATCTCTGTAACCCTTCTGAACATTGCTTTGCAACGGAGAAGGAATCGATAGTATTCTAACGCGAAAACACATTCCTATCGATCACTGCTGGTAGAGTTGCTCTGTTTTCCGACGAACGAAAAAGTGTGGCTTCTTTCATTGTTACTGCTAGGAAGTCTCGTATCTCAGCGCCCCCACACGCAAAGGCCAAGATACGCCCTACATACGCCGCCTTCTAACATAGTAAATTGTAAGTTGCGAGCAAGAAAGTTATGTATTCTCTTAGTGGCAGGAAAAGGCGCAAGCCCCCGCGCGCCGGCTCCCCACGTTTTCCCGCTAGTCTTACACCTGCAACCACTATCGCAGCTCACCATTGTTGCTAAAGAACGACGCAAAGATACCGCAAAGTATCAAATTAATTTTACGCGCATGAGGGTTGTCTCTCCAGTGGATGGAAATGCTCTTCTCAGGTCCAGGGTAGCAGCCTATGAAATCCGGCAATGCTAGATTCGCTCGGAAGCCTTGTAGAGATGTTCGCATGCACATTCATTCCACGGCGCCTCCCGGATCGGAAAGCGGAGGCGCGATGTCAACGCAGGTCTCACGGCATTCACCATATTCGTACTTAAGCTTTGCTCTATCAGCACCGTGCTCGCGCGAAGTTACTTCTCCATCTACACTGGCCGCGACCAGCTCATGACGAGCGACCACACACCATGACCTCCTTCCTCATCCGCGACGTCCAAGTCTTCACCGGCGAAGACACCATCCCAAACGGCTATGTCCATGTATCTGATGGCAAGATCAAAGCAGTAGGGCCCATGTCCGCCATCCCCGAGCTCTCGATCCCGACGCACTCTCGACCAGGCCACACCCTCCTGCCCGGCCTGATCGACGCGCACATCCACGCCGACATGGCGAACCCAACAGCCCTCCCCCAGGCCCTCCGCTTCGGCGTCACCACCGTTTGCGAGATGCACAACGAGCTCGCGAACGTGGTGAAGCTCAGGAAACAAGCGCGTGAACCCGACACGGCGGCGTACAAGACCGCGGGGCAGGCCGCAACCATCGAAAACGGGTGGCCGATCCCCGTCATCACGGCGCACGACAAGAGCGCCGAGACGGCGGCCGAGATCGCAAAGTGGCCGAAGCTGTCCTGTAGAGAGGACGTGGTCGAGTATCTAGACTGGATGGAAGCAGAGATGCAGCCCGATTACATCAAGCTGATGCACGAGTCTGGGACGAGCATGGGGTGGCCTTTAGCCAAACCCAGCGTCGGCCTCCAGCGCATCATCGTCGACGAGGCCAGCAAGAGAGGCCACCTCACCGTCGCGCATGCTACCTCGTTGCAGGATACGCTGGAGGTGCTGGAGGCGGGGGTGCATGGGCTCACGCACACCATCTGCGACCAGCCGCCGACGCAGGAGCTCGTGGATGCGTATAAGCGGCGGAATGCGTGGGTGAATCCGACGCTGGCGACGATGGGGAGTCTCACAGGCGAGGGGAGGGAGCTGCAGGATCGGTTTGCGCATGATCCGCGCGTGAAGGGACTCATCGACGAGTCTGCAGTACATAATTTGTGCAACTGCATGGGTTTCGCGGCGCAGCATGGGAAAGTCGAGTATGCGTACGAGAGCGTGCGGATGCTGAAGGAGGCTGGTGTCGATATCCTGTGGTGAGTTGCCTTATCTACGAGACCTGATGAGCAGGCTTCATGTCTGACTATGCACAGCGGCAGCGACGCTGCCGGTCCCGCGGTTGGCACGGCCTTCGGCCTATCCATGCACCAGGAGCTGTACGTCTACGTCCACAAGATCGGCATGACGCCCGCCGAGGCACTCCGCTCGGCGACCAGCCTTGTTGCGAAGCGCTTCAAGTTTGCGGATCGCGGGAGACTGGCCGAGGGCCTGAATGCGGATTTGCTGCTCGTAGAGGGCGATCCTTTGGCCGACATTAATGCAACGTTGAACATCCGGGGGGTGTGGCGTGAGGGCCGGATGTGTAGTGTTCATCAGGGGAAGTTGGAGGAGTGAGATGATTAGGATGGTGGAAGGGGATGTAGCTGGACTACGTTGAGCGCTCGGACAGGTGGTGCGGATGAAGGTAGAGGCATTATTGTTCGCAAGGATGCTACTAGAATTTACTCTTGTTTCTCGTCACGGTCAGGGTGGGCAGGGCGCCCGCTTGCGTCACAGTGAGGGTTGATGCTGCGCCCCGGTGTTTTCACTGTCAGTGTCGACGCCAGGCAGGAAGATGGCGAGACGGGATTGCTAGTGGTGGAAGGCTTGACTGACGATGAAGATGGCGCGGCAGAAGAAGGGGGTGAGACCGAAGAGGAGGAGCTGGAAACGTTGTCGTTGTACCCAGGCATGGAGTAAATTGGTCCAGGGGAAGTGGATGGCAGTACCGAAGAGGACGGACTGGGGATGCTGTATCCTGGGGTCGGAGAAGACGGCTTGCTGGAAGAGTGTCGAGGAGAGGAAAATGACTTAGTTGCCGGGAAAGAGGTAGAGCTTGCAACGTTATAGCTTGGAGTTGAGGATGACGGGGTGATAGAAGATGAGGGCTTGGCTGAAGAAGATGGTTTGACAGAAGACGATCGGACGGCCGAAGATCGCGGCAAGGTACTGATGGGTGTGTCAGTTGAGAAGTACGGCTCTCATCATCTGAGACGTACCATAGTCAGAATCGTATCCGTTGCCATATCCCGTGTCGTACTGGGCCTCGGCAGCGGCTAGCATGGCAAGAGTAACCAATGCGTGGAACTTCATCTTGACGAATTGTTGTAGCGAGTGATAAGTCCATTAGTTTCAAGGCTGCAGGATGTTGAGCGCTGAACTTGTGGTATAGCTGCAGATATAAGTACACATCCGTCCAGAATATTGGCTTCGCGACTATGTCGCTCCATGCCGAACACTCTTTGCAATGTTCCCGTCGATGCCGACGCCTTCTCATTTGGTGATTCTTTGTCGCCGGACACGATTCCTTTCGCAAAGCTTCCATATAAACAATGGGCACCTCCATCTGCAATTTCCCGTCAACAATGAACGCGACCTCTTTGTGCGCGAGGTGCGCAGGCCGTTTGTAGGTCGTGGCAGCCACTGTCGAACATGCCAGGAATGGACCTTATAATTTCGCTAAGCATTCTCTCCACCGTGGAGACTACAACTGTGCTCTTATTCCTTTGGGCTAGCCGCCAGCAGTACCAAGGCTGCATCTTGCATCGCTCTCCCAGTGATTCCTGCTATCCCTTCGTTCGTCAGCAAGCCATGTACGTTTCGAGTGCATCTTCAGGTCTAAGTGAATACCATGAATTCCAAGAAAATACCAACTACTGCAAGGGATATACCGTGACGCGAGGGGGGAATATATGTCGGGGGTCATGATGCGTGAATATCCACAAACGCCAGCAAACCCACCAGAACCGATAGGAAATCCGTTTGGTGCTCCTCCACATGAAACCGGTTCCAGCCACATGGCCAAAGAAAGCATGTCCCGATCGTAACCACCTTGTAACGCCAAATAGACCAACCCACTGAAGGTGGTGACACAAAATGCAAATGTGGTGGAGTTGAAAGCCAAAACCCAAGACTAAGCTCCCGGCCAGTCTCAAAGTGCCATACTGAAGTCTGGATACCATTGTTCCTCGGACGCGGCGATGCGAGTGCTCCATGTAATTGAGCTTCGTGTGTTTTGCAGCCTCTTTAAGCGACAAAGAAGTCGTTAGGAACGGATGTGAGGAGAACCACAGCGCCTGCTGCACCGATGAGACCGGAGGCCACGTAGGATGCAGCTTTGGTGAGGAGAGATCGCGGTCGCTTCTTGGGACGCTGATCGATGGCATTGACTGCTTCGACCGCTGTCGCATCGGGAGCAGTGGCACCCGCCGGTGCCTGCGCAGCAGGCATGGGTTCTTCTTCAGGGCCTTCCACAGCCTCATCCAAGACTTCGGCCTTGCGTTTCAAGCCCCCAGTGACCGAGGTCGGCGTGGGTGGCTGCTGCGTGACGTCCTCGACGATTTCACGGATCGACACCTCGGTTCGGCGCACTGGGGGTGACGAGAACTCGGAAGACGGCGCGGGCGGTGGTGTCTGCACACCCGAGATTGGAAGTGCGGCAGAGCTCTTGGACTGCTCCCATGGATTCTCTACTGCCGACGAGTAAGAGTGCGGTGCGGCGTACGGGTGGGACAAGAATTGTTCAGCCGGGCCAGAATAATTCCCTACAAAGTGGGGCGAGTAGGCGGCAGGGAAGTTGGACGCGTTTGCCGCTGCGGAGGAGTTAGAGCAAGGCGATTTTTGGAACAGAAACAAAGACATAGACTTACGCGGGGAAAACGAGCTGGTGTAGTCAACCATCGAGGGCCACATTGGGCGGGGAGCTGCAGGGCGAGGTGGTAGAGGTTCCATGCCGTCGAGATAAGTGCGATGGTAGGAGTCAGAGAAGACGTCGTTCGATGTGAAGTATGTGTCTGGCAGCTTGGGCGCCTCGCCTTCGGTCGTGAGCAGTGTCGCAGGCCCAGAGTTTACAAATGGCGCGGGAGGGGCAGGCGGCGCAGTAAGACCCAACTCGGAGCTGTCGTTGCCAAAATCTATCGTGGTCGAGGCACCGCTCAAGCCCTCTTGAGTCTCGGGAGAAACGGGGCGAACCTCAGAGCTGATCTTCTGGCTGTCTTGCTCTTGTCGAGCAAACATCAGACGGGTCTTGTTCTGCTGCTCCAGAAGCTTGATCTGCATGGAAAACGGTGAAGAGGCGGAACCCTCCTCTTCCTCTTCGCCATCGTCCTCTTCGGCCAGTTCCATGTCGCCATCTGATTGACTCTCGTCAGAGTCAGCCGAGGCGATGCCGTACCTGTCTAGCTGAGACACATTTTCGTCCTCGCCGGAAGAGATGGAGGCAGCATCGCCCTCTGAGAAGACATCGTCCCCAGAAATATATCCATGTCCCTTGGGGTTAGCGGTGGGCAGATGCTCGGGGTAGAACATGGGGTCGTCGTCATCTTCATCACCATCATCGGGCGATGGCGAGCGTTCCTGCGCGTCGTGACTAGAAGCTAGAGGAAGAGCTACACAAACTCAGTACGGCGTGTCAAGACGATGTGCGTAGGTGACTTACTGGTCTCCTGGAGGTGCTTGTCGAGCTCGTCGTCGTCGAACTCGTTGTCGTTGCTGGCATTGGCACGAACCTCGGGAACATGGTCCGCATCTTCAGTCTCGACAAGGCGTCGCTCATTGACGTGGTCGATGTCGATGGTGAGGGGGTTTGTCTGGGTGCCGTAGCTGGGTGGGCAGCTCAACTCGTCGTCCACCTCGACATCTTCGTCGTCCGAGGATTCCGGGACTGTGATGCCGTTGGGGTACGAGGGCAGGGAGGACTCGAAGGTGAACTGGCGTGCGGTATAGAAGACTGGGCAGGTGTTAGCAGCGGAGCGAGGGTCGGACGGGCGGTGGAGCGTACGCTGCTCGCGGGTGACGTTGGCACCGAACTGCAGGACATCGCCGTTGTTCAGGCGCTGGGCCTTCAGAGGGTCCAGCCTGACGCCGTTGACCATGGTGCCGTGCATGGAACCCTTGTCTTGGATGCACACGCAGGCTGCTGGCGGAGGCGTTGCTGTGAGCACGGCGTGCTCGCGGGAGATGGTCGGGCTGTCGATGAAGGCGTTGGCAGGGCCGACCATGAGCTCTGGCTTGGCGGCGTTCTTGGAGGCGCGGCCGATCTGCACCATGCTCCCAGGACGGAGCGTGAAGGTGCGGGTCGTGTACTCGTCGAGCTTGTCCGAGGAACGGAGGGTGATGTCGATGGCTGCGGCGGCGTTAGCAAGCGGCTCTCTGGCCACTGGACACGGTACCGGCGCACGAGGGCACTTGCCTCCGGAAGCCGCCATGGTGCTGGGAAGCAGGTGCGGGTGCTCAGAGGATGTGCGGAGGGGTGAGCGGGCGACGGGGTGTGACGGTGCTGGGGCGACGAGCGGGCGGGGTCGGCTGGCTGGCGGAGCGTTGGCCTGGGTGAGGAGGCAGCGCCTGGGTGGTGCGTCCGGGGCCCAACAAGTCAGCCTGGCAGCGTTGGCAAGCGCAGCAGCTCGCAGAAGACGCCAGGCTGCGGGGCGAGCGAGGCTCTTGTACGGCGGGCAAGAAGGTGCGGCCTCTCGCAGCCGCACGAGCGCGGTAGCTGCCTGCGACGCCGCCAGGCTTATCGCTTATCGCCCTGCAGCACCGCGCTGGGGAAATGCCCTAGCGGCTCAGCCTGCGTCGCCCTGCCGGCGGTGCCCCACCCGAGTCTCTGGCGAACTTTTGCTTGCGCAACGACGCTGCCCACGCCTCGCCTCCGTGACTCACCCGCACACGAGCATGCCCGCCTGCTGCACCCCCGGACGGTAGCCCTGATCCCCAGCTTGCGCCCGCAAGCACCCTCCCAAATGGCGACCGCAACCGTCACCGCGACCGACGCCCGCCACGCCAAGGAGCAGGTCGTCGACAAAATCCCCGCCCGCATCAAGCACATCCAGTTCGGCATCTACTCGAATCCCGACGTCGTCAACCAGGCGGTGCTCGAGGTGTCGGACCGCAATGTCTACGACCTCACCACCACCGCCGACAATGCCCGCTCCCTCACCGAGAACGGGCCCATGGACACGCGCATGGGCATCTCCACCAAGGTGGGCAAGTGCACCACCTGCGGCGAGGGCCTGAACGAATGCAACGGCCATTTTGGCCACATCAAGCTTGCGCTGCCTGCCTTCCATGTGGGATACCTCAAGCACATCATCGAAGTGCTCAACTGCATCTGCAAAGACTGCTCGCGCGTGCTGCTGGACGTCCCGGAGCGGAGGAAGCATCTGCGCACCATGCGCCGCCCAGGCATGGACAACCTGCAGCGGACCGCACACGCCAAGAAGATCATGGAAGAGTGTCGGAAGAGGAAGCATTGCCCCTACTGCGGCGCACTCAACGGCACCGTGCGCAAGGTCCCTGGACATCCTCTCAAGGTCATCCACAACCGCTACGACGCCTTCCTGCGCTCTACCGCCAAGACGAAGAAGACACCCCTCGGACGGAGAGAATTCGAGCAGTCTTTCGAAACAGCGAGAGCAGCCAACAATGAGGTTGACAAAAACTTCAAAAAGGCAGTCGATGACATGCACCCGCTGCGGACCCTCAACCTCTTCAAGAAAATTTCGCCCGAAGACTGTGAGCTGTTGGCCATGATTCCTGAGGACGCCCGCCCAGAGATGCTGATCTGGGAATATATGCCTGTACCACCCGTGGCTATCCGGCCTTCCGTCATGCAGGAGGCAGGAGCAACCGAGGACGACATCACCAACAAGATCGGTGACATCTGCCACATCAGTAGCATCATCCGAGCCGGGCTTGCGCGCGGCTTCCCTCTCCAGATACTCATGGAGCAGTGGGACTTCTTACAACTACAAATCGCCATGTACATCAACAGCGAGACGCCGGGCTTGAAGCAGCAGGGACTCCAAAAGACGATGCGCGGCTTCTGTCAACGACTCAAGGGAAAGGGTGGTCGATTCCGGCAGAATCTGTCTGGGAAGCGAGTCGACTTCTCAGGTCGCACCGTTATTGGTCCCGACCCTAATCTCGCCATCGATGAGGTGGCGGTGCCCCAGCGTGTTGCAAAGAATCTGACATATCCCGAAAAGGTCACCAGATACAACATGGTGAAAATGCAAGGGCTTGTTAAGAGGGGCCCCTTCGTCCACCCTGGCGCGAACAACATCATCAAGCTCAACGGACGCTCTATGGCGCTGAGCATTCTGGCACGCGATACGACAGGTCAAAAGCTCAAGGATGCTTCTGATCGGTTGCAGATTGGCGACATTGTGGAGCGTCACCTCGAAGATGGTGACATAGTGCTCTTCAACCGTCAACCCTCCCTTCACAGGCTTAGTATCCTCAGTCACCGCGCCAAAATTCGACCCTGGCGGACATTCCGACTCAACGAGTGCGCCTGCAATCCTTACAACGCTGATTTTGACGGCGACGAGATGAACTTGCACGTGCCCCAAACCGAAGAAGCCCGGACAGAGGCGACTGAGCTCATGGGCGTCAAATACAATCTAGCCACCCCCAAGAACGGAACACCACTCATTGCTGCCATTCAAGATTTCATAACAGCAGCATACCAACTCAGCAGCAAAAACAACTTCTTCGACCGAGGAACCTTCACTCAAATTTGCAACTACATGTTCGCGGGAGAGGGCGCGTTCGATCCTTCCACGGGCAAAAAGCACGCTATCGAACTACCGCCACCTACAGTCTTGAAGCCGCAGGCTCTCTGGACCGGTAAACAGGTCTGGAGCGTTCTCATGCGTCCTTTTAGGGACTACGGAGGGCGCGATAGGCCTGTCTTGGTCAATCTCGAAGCAAGATGTAAACAGTTCAAGGCCAAGGCAGGCGTCGCGGACGACCTCAACGAAGACGACGCGTTCCTGGTCATCCGGAACTCCGAAGTCATGTGCGGTTGCTTCGACAAGGCCACAGTCGGTGACGGAAAGAAAGATTCCGTGTTCTACGTCATCATGCGTGACTTTGGAGAAGACTATGCAGTCCAAGCCATGAATCGACTTGCAAAGGTTTCCGCCCGCTGGCTCACCAACAACGGATTCTCCCTAGGCATCAATGATGTTACACCCGGAGACAGACTGAATCAGAAAAAGCAAGCTCTCATCGACAAGGCGTACGCGGAATGCGATGTGTTGATCCAGCAGTACAAGGCAGGCACGATTGAGCGCATGCCGGGCTGCGACGCTTTGACAAGTATGGAGAACAAGATTGGTGGTATTCTGTCTGCAGTCCGTGCGGCTGCTGGTGAGGTGTGTTTCGAGGAGCTTAGCAGATGGAATGCGCCTCTGCTCATGGCCAAGTGCGGATCCAAGGGTTCGAACATCAACGTCTCCCAGATGGTTGCTTCCGTTGGTCAGCAGATGATTGGCGGTGCGCGTGTCGCCGATGGATTCCAGCACAGAACACTTCCGCACTTCCCGAAGGCTGCTCGTCAACCCGTCTCGAAAGGTTTTGTCAGCAACAGTTTCTTTTCTGGCCTGACGCCTCCAGAGTTCATCTTCCACGCTATGAGTGGACGTGAAGGACTTGTCGACACTGCGGTCAAGACAGCCGAAACAGGTTACATGAGTCGAAGACTGATGAAGTCGCTCGAAGATCTGTCCAAGCAATACGACAACACTGTCAGCAATTCTTCTGGGACGGTCGTGCAGTTTCAGTACGGAGCCGACGATCTTGACCCCGTCGATATGGAGGGCAAGGCCGCCCCGGTGAACTTCGTTCGTACCTTCACCCACGCAGTTACTATAACTTGGAACAACGCCGTTCCCAGCCTTACGCCCAACGCAGTACGAGAGTTCACTGAGGCGAGGCTCAATAAGAGGCGGAACGCTAAAGACCTCCGTCGCATGAAGCTCGACCAGGTTACTGAGCTTGACTTCAACGACGAGACCGACATTGGCCTCGACGACAAGGACCCCGAGCGTGCCTTCTTAAACGACGTGCAGAACTTTGTCTTTAAACAGGCGGACAAACTGGAAAAGACGCTAGCTGATCTAGGACTGCCTGATCCATCCAACGCCACCAGCGAACGATCTGACAGTGACACTGCGAGGTATGGTCTGGCAGACGGTATTGCCAAGATATCAGCGCAGGCGCTCGAGACGTTCATCGAGCTTTGCCTCACCAAGTATGACAGGTCCAAGGTGCAGCCAGGCCACGCTGTAGGTGCTATCGGTGCCCAGTCGATCGGAGAGCCGGGTACCCAGATGACGCTCAAGACTTTCCATTTTGCCGGTGTCGCCGGTATGTCCATCACCCAAGGTGTTCCCCGTATCAAGGAAATCATCAACGCGTCCACCGCCATCTCCACGCCAGTCATCGCATGTCAGTTGTCCAACCCGGACCTGGAATCCGCCGCGAGAATCGTCAAAGCCCGCGTGGAAAAGACATACCTGAAGGACATCATTACTTACATTGAAGATATTTGGCACCCAGATGGTTCCGCGCGCATCAACATGGGTCTCTGCGAGGAAACGATTAGAAGTCTCTCGCTCGATCTCCACGACCACGATATTATCGCGGGAATCAACAAGCACAAGCCGCTCAAATGGGGCAAAGCCGGCGCCAAAGTCACCATCAAGAACGGCAAGACCGTCACAATCTTTATCAACGACCCAAAGTTCGAGAAGAAGCCCGCCGCAAAGTCGACAAAAACCATACAAAAGGAGCACTTCGAGCGCGTCCAGCAGGTCAAAACGCTCGTCCTCGATGCTGTCATCAAAGGCTTCCCCGACTGCGTGCGCGCCATCATCAAGAAGGAGACCTCGCCCAACGCCCGCGGCAACTACGAGTGCCAGCTCCTGGTCGAGGGCTACGGCCTCAAGGACTGCATGACGACCCCCGGCATCGAGCCCTACCAGACCAAATCCAACCACGTCATGGAGGTTAACCAGGTCCTCGGCATCGAGGCCGCGCGCGCCACCATCGCGGCGGAAATCGGCTCCGTCATGGGCTCCATGGACATCGATCCCCGCCATATGGCGCTGCTGGCCGACGTCATGACGTTCAAGGGCGCGGTGTTTGGCATCACGCGGTTCGGCCTGCAGAAGACGAGGGACAGCGTGCTGCAGCTTGCGAGCTTCGAGAAGACGCCCGACCATCTGTTTGAGGCAGCGGCGAAGGGGAAGATTGACAACATCGATGGTGTGAGCGAGTGCATCATCATGGGGCAGAGTGTCAAGCTGGGCACGGGGAGTATGGAGGTGTATCGGCCGCTGGAGTTTGGGGAGGGTGATATTCAGGTGAAGCCGACGATGTTCGAGGCCGGGTGGGATGCGTTGTAAAAGCAGGTGTATAGCATGGTACGGCGTTGGGCAGGCGTTTTACCTTTTTGCAGCATAGCGACGGATATCTGGACGAATGAGCATCGAATCGAAGAGCATGTACACGAATATTGAGAATGGGATCTGACTGCATCACAACGCTGACCTATCAAAAACAAAATGTTGCATTGTAACCCATATGAACGGCACGTGCTGTGGTCTGCTTAACAAGCCAGCATTGCCATCCCAGCGTTGCTGATGATGCCATGCGCGCCAGTGGTTCTGCACGCATTCGACTGCTCTGCTTTCGAGGTCCTCCGTGTGCGTGACGTTTCATTCATCTTTCGCGATGTCTCCCAAGATGCGGGGATCTGTCCTGTGCGTGCAGTGGAGTCGGGTAACAACTCCACACGCAGGCGGGGGGAGGGCTGTCTTGCCCGGCCCACGATATCCAGGTCTAACATATCCCAGGCACCAGACCGCATGCCGATGGCCGTTTCCTCCCATGCCAATGCACTGAAACCGAATTGTTGTCCTCCTCTTACCGGCCTTCCCCTGGTGAAGGCTTTGATACCATTTCTCCATCTCCATCTTGTATGCGTCCTTGCATCCTTTTCAGTCCAAGCCAGTCGTGTCGTACGCCCTTCGATATGCCATTCTTCCAGCAGAGAGTCGAGGAAAGTGGAGTCCGTGCCGCCCACCGTTCCCGCGCAGTAGCGATGTAGAACACAGCCAGGTGCCTTTCCCGAGTGTGGCGACTGAAGACGCTAACGCTGACGCCTCGAGTGGGCAACGGTGTGATCGGTCGGCAGAGAACACGGTCGGAACGAACAATTTCCCATGCACGGCCGTCGAAGCGCAGCACAGCATAGTAAAGTCCCCACTCAATACTCAACTCTCCCATTTGAATTGCGACAGAATTACGGAAAAACCAATCAACCAAAACCAAGCGCCCCACCGCTCACCAAGTAAACCGCATCAAGTTCGGATTCAACACCACGGGCACCAGCGCATGACTCACCACCACACACGCGAGCGGATACACGGGCGTGAAGAACCGGATCCGCCACATCTCGTCCAGTCCATACGCGCAGTACAGCATCGCAGTCGCGACGGCGCCGCACCAGAGGAACGTCCACTTGAACTTGCGCAGCACGACGGGCACCTCTTCGAAAAACGGGAGGAGAGAGACTTCCTTGGCCGTGGCGCCCCAGGACATATCCAGGTTGAGGAAGTGCCAGAGCAGCGCGTGGCTGATGTGGAAGGAGATACCGCCGAGGAAGATGACTAGGAGGGGGACCCAGGTGAGATTCTCGATGAGGTTGCCGTGGAGGGAGCCCTCGTTGTTGCGGTACCGCATCAGCGCCAGGGCGATATTGCCCAACGCGGAAAACACGCAGACAATGGAAAAGTAGACTTTGAAGCTGTCGATGTAGTAGTGGTCGAGCATACCGTTGAACCAGCCGATGAGGAAGTAGTTGCTGAGGGTGAGCAGCCAGGCCGAGCCCAGCGCATAGTAGGTTCCGATGTAGGCGATAATTGTGAGCTTGGAAGGTAAAGGGATGCCCGAGGTCAGGAAGCGGAGGAAGAGCGGGGTGAGCGGACCGCGCGTGGGCCAGGACGAAAGGGGGTGGAAGATAAGCTCGTTGCAGCCGTAGGCGTATCTGCGACGATATGTCAGTGTTCTAATTTGGCTACAAATAGGGGAGGGATGGAAGGGGGTGAGGGAAGGGCGAACTCACTTCTCCCACCGATTTAACTCATCATACACCGTCAAACTCACGCCCTCCTTGAACCCATCCCCCTGGTACGCCGCGAGCCGGACAATATACCCCACGTTCTGCAGCCGCAGCGCCATGTCGAAGTCCTCGCTCACCGTCTCCTCTGACCAGTACTTCTCGACCTCTTCATCCTTTGTCTCGAAGACCGGCTGCTGTATCGCCCTTTCGGTAACTTCGTCCAGGATCGGCTCCCCCGTCTCAGGATCAACCACATCCTCCAGAACCAAGTTTTGTTCCTCGGTTTCGTCCCGCACAGGCAGCACCATGCGCTCCGTCGTCTTGTACGCAATCTCCTGCACCGCGGACCACCTCAGAACAGCATTGTGCCCAACAAAGGGCGCGACGTCGCCGTTGGATACCGCGAACTTGATCTGCGTGTACACGAGGTTGGTGAAGAAGGTGATGCCGCGCTCGAAGAAGCTCGTCGTCACGTTCATCACGCCCGACGCAAACTGCAGGATGGCGACGTCACGGCACTTCTCCATCTCACTGACGGCCTCAAGCAGGCAGTCCGCCGGCACGCGCGTGTCAGAGTCCACGACGAGGATGTAGTCCCCGATGCGGATGTTGCCGTCGGCCCACGTGCCGTTCTGATCAATGATGGCCGCGAGCTCTGCGCTGTATGCGTCGTTCTCCTGCTGCTGGCTCCAGTCGTTGTTCTCGCGCTGCCAGTCGTAGCGGGGGCCCGTCAACTGCTTCTCGACATCCGTGCTCACGCGCAGCCCATAGTTCATGTTGCTCGCCTTCTTGAACTTTCCGCGGCGGTTGTGCAGCGGTTTGTGCTCGATCCTGCCGTCAGGATTGTGCGGCGGGCGCGCCACCCACCCGATATTGTTCTCGTCGAACCACGTCTGGCGCTCCTTGGCCTCCTCGTCGGACATCATCTGCATGCCGTCGTCGTTAACGAAGATGTTTGCGCTTCCGCCCTGCATCTCGTACGTGGAGATGGCGGCCTTCAGCGAGCGCAGGGTGGGCGCGATGACGGTGCGAAGGTTCTCGCGGAAGATGGGCATCTGGATGGTGATGTGGGGCAGTTCGGTCGCGCATAGGCGGAACGGCGCTTTGCCCGAGTAGACTTTGGTGTTGAGCTTCATGTGGCCGACGCAGCCGACGATCTGGGCGAAGTTGCCAACGAGCGCCTGGAAGAAGAATAGGCCGAGCCAGAGCTGCGGGATGACACAGAGCAGGAACAGCAACCGCTTGAAGCCCCCGTCCATGGCGATCTCAATGCATATCTGTCTCCAGCCGCCGCCAAGGGCAGTGAGCACGAGGATCAAAGTGGAGGCGGTGAAGAAGGGCTGCCAGATGACGATTGAGCGTCGCTCATCCTTTTCGCTTTCTACATGGATGCCTTGCCAGTGGAAGTATGTATTTTTCGGATCGTCCCTATCGAGCTTGTCGTTGAGTGGTGGGCCCTGGCAAACCATGTTGAACAGTGCATCATCGATGTCAGCTGCACGCTTCACGAGCATGTGCGGCTGGTCTTCCCAGACGACGAGCATCCTCTTGGACAGCACGAACGCGGCGGACTGGTGCTTCTGGCAGAAGGGGAGTGCCTCGATATCGGGAATAACTTGGAGACGAACGCCCTCGTTGATCTGGACAAAAGGGATCTCGCTGTCGCTGAGAAGCATCTCAATGACCTTGGTCTTGATTGTCATAGCTGCCTAAGGTATGTTAGCGACAAGCCCTCCGTCGATTACATGCAACCGTTCTTACCTTGACATTCAGCTGGTGTATAGCTTCGAAGGTCATTGAGCCATCGTACTCCAGCGTCTCGGGACAAGTGATGTACGACCCCCTGTTCTTCTTCAAGAAGACACCTTCACCTGGGGCGCCGGTCGTCCAGAGCTTTTCTTCCTGTTTCATATGTATAAAGTTGGCTACCATGCCAAACTTGGCATCCTCGCTCATTCCCGGCGCTGCATTGTGAAAGTCGGCCAGCAGACTAGGAGGTCGTGTGGAGTCGGTAGAACGTGAGGAGTCGGAAGGGACGTTGAGAGACGAGTGTCTCCCGGATTCAGGAACACTTAGCTGGTCGTCTGTGGCCTGCTCAGGCTCAGAGCGATCATCGGGATCACCGTTACTTTCTTGGTCTAAAGCTAGCTCGGGCGCCTGGTCTGCAGCTGGTTCGGGTCTCCGTCCCCTCCTGCGAAAGGAATTGAAGAAGCTCGCCATCAGAACGGGGAACGTCGTACAGCCAGAAGACAATGGTAGACTCCCTCCCACCCACCACCGGATGATAGAGGAAAAGTATCAAATGGTGGTAGCTGCAAGCTAAAGAGAGAGTTTTCAAAAAGCAAAGGTTGAAGGGACGGAAGGAAGGATTGTGGGCGGCAAGAAGATGAAGTAGCCGAAATCTCTTTGTGTGGTATATTGATGGTGCTGCGGGTTCATCGGTTCCGACATAACATCGGTCGGTCAACGGTGGAGCTGTCTTGTTTGACGGGCATGAGTGCACCTGACTTGGCATATTCTTTCAGAAGTGTTGAGGTCCTATCGCGTTTCCTTTTGTAAGTAGGGGGGATTAGTGGCGTGCAAGGCACGTTGAATTTTGCTATTGTGTCTGGTTCCCCCTTATGGAGACGAAGTAGCGGAAGACTATAATGCGAAGTGGCCTCGGTGGATTGCTAGGGCTTGAAATACACGGGTGCGTGTGGGTATCTGGTGTTTGTTGGCCAGCCAGTTCCAACGAACCGAGGGGACTCAGCATTAACCTTGACAGACATCTCTGCGGGCGCCCGATACTCGATAAGTCGCATACGCGCGCAGGTTTGAAGCATAGCCGAAAGATTCGCGCAAGTGGCATGGTAACTAAGTGAATTCATACATTCTTCCTGCGCGGTGTCATCTACGCTATCATTGTTAGCAAGCTTTGATTAGCGTCAGCTCCATAAAGACTATGGTGTTGGCGCGGCGGGTCCTGAGAAACGTTGAACTCGCACAACAGCCCACTTCGGCCCGGGACCATGCTGCTTAGGAGAACCATCTCGAAGCTAATCGAACATCGTCTTGTACATTTATGATATCCTTCGAGCTCGAGAGTCGTTGTAGCAGAACTGAAATTTGTTCATCCAACACTTGGCGCTCACTATCGACAACCGTACGCCAACCCAACCTTTTCAACGCCGGATAGGAAATCAAAGCATGAACCATGCGAGCTGTCCTGAAATGGCGCACGTCCTAATCCGCAAGCCTGCAGCTGTCAGATGGTGAAGGAGTGTGGGTGAGTTTTCGCACCTGTAGCTAACAAGCGTGTCGACGCGATGATTGCTCGTGCTGAAACTCCGCAGCTGCACCTTCTCGCCGTTCTTGATTTCCTTGGCATCGCTGTCGCCCCATTCGAGTGGAACCTCGGAGTCTGCGTCCGCGTAGACAAGCACGTTGAAGGTGCAATTACCGTCCAGCATCGGCAGAAAGGTGACTGAAGCTGTGATCTGGCGGAATATTGACTGAATTTCAGCTTGAATCTCCGTCTCGGTCTTCTCTTCAGGAGCGTCGTTCGCACTGTATCTCATGTCAGCTCCGGCGCCAAACGAAGATGGCAATCTGGACCCACGCTGGCACTGAGTTCTCCTTGTCATTTGTCTTCTTAGACGATTTCGACTTTGAGTTTTTGCCGAATATCTGAACCTGCGCCCGCGTTAGCTATGAGAAGCATTGTTGCTGGAGGATTGCTCACATCGAACTGCCACCGCTCGACGTGCTCGCCTGTCTCCTTGCTCGTGATGACGATGACCAGCTTAGAGATCTTGCCACCGTACATCCAATCTTTGAGCTGCGACATGATCTTTTTGATGTAGGCCTTGACCTGGTCATCGGCCGTGACCATCATGGTCAAGCCATACTTCTTTACCCTGGGCAATCGTCAGTGGTGCTGCTGCCGTGCATTGCGCACGGCACTCACGCGGTAAAGTCCTCGGCGGGATATACGCCTCGCTGGAATCTTTTGTGCGTTAGCAGTGACGGGGATTGGCATGTTGGAGTCCGCACAATATGGTGTTGATAGAGTACTCGAACTGCAATTGGGATTAGCGTGTGTTCACGATAGCATCGTAGCAGGCGTGACTCACGAACTCGTTGACGACCTTGGAGGAACCTGAGAGCGGGTCAGCTACACGATTTACAGTGATACAGCGTAGGATGGGCATGGGGATCCACCAAAGCTTCCCAGGTAGAGCGGGCGGCTTACCCTTCAGGGCGAGCTTGTGGACTTTCGACGAGTCCTTGCTCGAGGAGGACTTTGATTTGGAAGAGGTTCTGGGCTGCGACATGTTTGCGTTGTGGAGTGTGGAGGCGATGGAGCAGTTTGGGCAAAAGTTTGTTTATCGCCGTGTTGGCGGGGTAACTACGAGCGCACAAGACGCGACACCAAGCCTGCTGGCTGTGCGAGCAATATGGATCAAGAGTGTGTGAGGTCAAGGTCTACTAGGCGTCGTGTCTGGTGCGGGCGGCTGTTCACAATGCGGGGTGGTCTTGATAACGAAGAAGTTGGTGGGTCTGGCGGCGGAGCAGCCCCTGTTTGTCTTCCGAGGTGCTCAGGCTTGATCAGATAAGATTAGATCAGACGACAGCAACTTTTTGCCGGGCGCGACGCGGACGTCCGCAGCCATTCCATCACGGTCCCATGCGAACTCATGCGACCATGCGTCCGTACCGCGAGCAGCCTACTGCGAAGTTGGCAGGGCCGCGCCGTGCGCCCCAATTGCACCGGCCTTGAGCGCGTCCGCCCGCTGGCACGCAGCTACGCGCAGGCATTCCGCGCGCAATCCGAGCTCGAGAAACGCATCGCCGACATCCCCATCGAGCGCTACCGCAACTTCTGCATCGTGGCCCACGTCGACCATGGCAAGAGCACGCTGTCGGACCGCCTGCTCGAGCTGACGGGCACCATCCAGCCCGGCGGCAACAAGCAGTTCCTCGACCGCCTGGATGTCGAGCGCGAGCGCGGCATCACCGTCAAGGCGCAGACGTGCACCATGATCTACCAGCACGAGGGCGAGGACTATCTCCTGCACCTGGTCGACACGCCCGGCCACGTCGACTTCCGCGCCGAGGTGGCCAGGAGCTATGCCAGCTGCGGCGGCGCCCTCATCCTCGTCGACGCCAGCCAGGGCGTGCAGGCGCAGACGGTCGCAAACTTCTACCTCGCCTTCTCGCAGGGGCTGACCCTGGTGCCCGTGCTGAACAAGGTCGACCTCCCGCACGCCGACCCGCCGCGGGTGCTGGAGCAGATGCGCGAGACCTTCGAGCTCGACCCGGAAGCCGCAGTCCTCGTCTCGGCCAAGACGGGAAAGAACGTGCAGGCATTGCTCCCTCAGGTCGTCAAGCACATCCCGGCGCCGGTGGGCGACGTGCACGGGCACCTCCGCCTGCTGCTCGTCGACTCGTGGTACGACGTGTACAAGGGCGTCATCCTGCTGGTGCGAGTCTTTGACGGGCAGGTGCGCCCGGGCGACACGATACGCTCCTTCGCCACGGGGCTGAAGTACATCGTGGGAGAGGTCGGCATCATGTACCCCGACCAGACCCCGCAGACGGTGCTGCGGGCCGGACAAGTCGGCTACATCTACTTCAATCCGGGTATGAAGCGCTCGCAGGAAGCAAAGGTCGGCGACACGTACACCATCCAGGGCTGCGAGAAGCTCGTGCAGCCTCTGCCGGGCTTCGAGGAGCCTAAGAGCATGGTCTTCGTGGCCGCCTTCCCGACGGACCAGGACAAGCACGAGTTTCTCGAGGACAGCATCAACCAAATCATCCTCAACGACCGCAGCGTCACCTTGCAGAAGGAGTCATCCGACGCCCTCGGGGCTGGCTGGCGTCTCGGCTTCCTCGGCACATTGCACTGCTCCGTCTTTGAGGACCGTTTACGCCAGGAGCATGGCGCGAATATCATCATCACGCCGCCATCCGTCCCCTTCAAAGTTGTTTACAGGGATGGCAAAGAAGTTATCGTCACGAACCCCAACGACTTCCCCGACCAAGACCAAGCCCATCTCAAGGTCCAGGAAGTGCACGAGCCCTACGTCCTCACCACCATCACCCTACCCGAAGAGTATCTCGGCGAGGTTATCAAGCTCTGCGAAGCCAACCGCGGCGAGCAGAAGGAACTCACCTTCTTTACCGCCACACAGGTCATTCTGAAATACGATCTGCCCCTCTCGCACCTTGTCGACGACTTCTTCGGCAAACTGAAAGGTGCAACTAAAGGCTACGCGTCCCTCGACTACGAAGACTCGGGTTACCACCGCTCCTCCATAGTCAAGCTCAACCTCCTCGTCAACGGCGCCCCCGTCGATGCTGTCTCCCGCGTCCTGCACACCAGCCAGGTCGACCGCGTGGGCCGCACCTGGGTCGAGAAGTTCAAGGAGCACGTCGACCGCCAGATGTTCGAGGTCGTGATTCAAGCCGCCGTCGGCAAGCGCATCGTCGCCCGTGCGACCATCAAGCCCTTCCGCAAGGACGTTCTAGCCAAGCTGCATGCGAGTGATATCAGTCGCAGGAGGAAGCTGCTCGAGAAGCAGAAGGAGGGCCGCAAGAAGCTGCGGGCCGTTGGTAGTGTCGTCATCGAGCAGGAAGCGTTCCAGAAATTTTTGTCAAAGTAACCAATATACCCATGTTCTCCTCTCCCAAAATTGTCGACTGCTGTATATCGTGTCCTCTTCACACCATCACCATCTCTCTTGTCTCCAGTACAACAAGGATTAAAGTACTCGGTAGATTCGGAAGGCGGAGGACCGCTCCGCTCGCTGCACGAACTCTAAAACACCTCTCGTGGTGCATGTAGCAGGGACCCTAGACTCTCGCTGTCTACGATGTGCAGCTCGCCAATCGTGATCAAATTCTGCCTCTGCAGTGAGGGGCTGGGTTGGATTGGGTTGGATTGACGGGACAGAGATGTGGAAAACCGTTCCGCTCATACAACAAACTCTAAACCACCCAAGCCTCGAGGCGCCTGTCAGACTGGGCATCTCGCCAATCGAGCTCGTATCGGCCAGGCCATTCGTGCGGGCATCCCGCTGCGCAGATGTGCGCTGCGCTCGCGCTAAAGCCGATGACATCAAGATCGAGACAAATCGCAACGTGCGGCTCCACAAAAGCGCGGGCCAAGGTGCGAGATTAGCTCCTCCTAAGCACCTTGTTCCACCTCGCTACCGCGCGTGCCAACGGTTCTTTCCAAACTTTATCAGGCATGAGGCTGCAGGGCCTATAAGTTAGACGGGATGCCGAGGACGGTGACGTCGAGATGGCGGCGGCAACGGAAGAGGCTATCTCCTGCGCGGACTGCGCGAGGACGGTTTCTACACGATCTTTAGAACGGACATTGTAGAAGCATAAGTGCAGGCTGAGCTGAGACGGCCAATTCGTTGTTCTAGCAACACGCGCATCCACAAAATGTTACCTTATATGGGGCTGCGGGGAAAGAGTTTGAAGTCGGCGATAAGTTTGGTTTGCGGGTTGTGTTTCTTGTAAGTCGATAAGATGGGCTCTGTCGATGCGCGCGACTGACTGCTGTAGGTGCTTTGGCTATGCTCAAGGTGTCATGGGAGGGCTGTTGACGGTGCCAGCCTTCCTTGAGAGATTTCCGCAGGTTGACACAATCAACAATGATTCGTATCATAATGCAACAATTCAAGGTAGACTTTATCGAATGCTCTAAGAGGCGACCACATGCTGACGAGTGCAGGTGCCGTCGTGGGAACGTGGAACTTGGGATGCTTCGTCTCGGCCATACTCACCATCTTCTTGGGTGACTACCTGGGACGCAAGAAGACCTTGATGATAGGCCTGGTGTTCTGGGTCATCGGAGAGATCATCCAGTCGTCCTCGTACAGCTTTGGCCAGTTCATTGCCGGCCGTGCCATCGCTGGCTTCGGTACGTTCCGCCTCACCTTCTCTCTTCTTGTGTATCTTCTGACATTTCCAAAGGCAATGGCTTCACCACGGCCACCGTCCCTGCCTACCAAGCCGAGTGCGTCAAGTCCCACCGCAAAGGCACGATTCTCATGATTTCCGCCGGCGCGTTCATCGCCTTCGGTCTCGCCCTCTCCTACTGGGTTGTCTTCGGCTTCGCCTACCTGTCCAACTTCGCCGCCGCATGGCGCGTCCCCATCGCCTTCCAGATCATCTTCGCGCTCGTTGCCCTGGCAATCTTGATAGTGCGAGACTCCCACCAGCACATTGCAAGAATCGACAGCTAACTTCACAAAGTTCATGCCCGAGTCCCCCCGCTGGCTTATCCTTACCGGCCGCGAAGACGAAGCGCTCCGCGTCCTGTCCGCGCTCAACGATGAGGACATTGAGGGTCCCGAGATCCGCGACGAATTTTTGCAGATCAAGGATGCGATCCTCATCATGGCCAAGGGCTCCGCCTCCTCCATGACAAGCAACCGCGAGCGCCGCAACTTCCACCGCATGGTGCTGGCATACGGTGTGCAGGTGTTTCAGCAGATGAGCGGCATCAATCTGGCCCTCCAATATCTCGCGATCATGATGTACACGCAATTCTCGTACGCGGGGTGGCTCGCGCGGCTGCTGGGGGCATGCGCGGCGAGCTTCTACTTCTTGTCGAGCTTCACGGCCGTCGTGGGCATCGACCGATTCTGGGGAAGGAGATGGCTCATGCTGTTTGGTGCTACGGGCATGTGCGCATGCATGGTGCTGCTGACGGTGCTGGGATATCTTTGGCAGGACCGCGGCATGAAAGGCACAAACATCGCGCAGACCGTCTTCCTCTTCGCGTACCTCTTTTTCTTCGCCATGGGCTGGCAGGGCATGGCCTGGCTGTACCAGGTTGAGGTGGTGCCGTTGCGGATCCGCGGGCCTGCGAATGCGCTCTCCACGAGCGCGAACTGGCTGTTTAATTTTGTGTGAGCCATCCTTTACTTACCTCCGCCGCATTATACCATGAACACTGACATGAGACAGCGTCGTCTTCATTGGCCCCATCGCCTTCCACAACATCTCCTGGCGCACCTACATCATCTTCGCAGCCACAAACTTCGCCATCGTGCCCCTTGTTTACTTCTTCTACCCAGAAACCGCCTACCGCTCCCTCGAAGAAGTAGATGTCCTGTTCCACCTCGCCAACGAAGGCCCCGGCAACCCCTGGCTCTCTGTCGTCAAAATCAGCTTGAACGAGCCCCTCTGGTTCGGCAAGAAGGGTGACGCGCCGTTCGATTACGAGCAGAGCGACTGGCACCAGCGCTACGTGCAGCTCATGGGCAGCGGCAGTGGCACGACACTGGAAGGCAGCGGCGGCCTGCACCGCGAGAAGGCTCACGGCAACGGCGGCTCCAGCGGCGGCACCGAAGGGCGCAACACGCCCAATGCTGCCGGTCTGATCGAGCAGGCGATGTCCCACTCGAACAACTCGCCCGGCAGCTCGGCGACGCACTCGTCACTCAGCGAGAAGCGGCATAAGGAACAGTACGCCGCGCACACGGCCGCACACCGCAGCTCCACCGGCACAGGCACCACCGCCGTCTCACTGACACCCAGCAAGCGCCCGCCCCTCCCCGACGAGCCCGTGCATTCATTCCAAAGCGCGCACTCTGCGCATTCAGATCCCAACTGGGCCGGCTCGGCACTCGCACCGCCGCCGCTCCGCGTACCCAGTCGCGACTCCAGTCTTACCGCGCGCTCGAACTCCCTTTCACACTCCCGCTCCCAGTCCATTTCCTACCCCCGCGTCCCATCAGGCGGCATAACGCGCACTGAGAGCGGGCGCCAGACATACTTGCCAGATGGCATCGCCTCGCCTGAAAACTCCCCTGAGTCGCTCTCGGCGTATGAGTCCGAATCTCAATACCGGCTGCATTATCTGCCTGACAGCGTGGAGGCACAGATGCGGGAAGTCCTGGGGCGGTCAGGCGTCGTGCTTGGGGAGGGAGAGAGGGTTATTATTGCAGGGGATGGGAGGGCAGTTGTAAGAGCGGAGAGGGCGGGTTCAAGGAGTAGTAGTTTTAGTCACCGGGTGGCGAGAGATGCGGGGAGGGGGCATTAGGCTCGTCAATTCCTGATCTTTGATAGGTCGGGGTAATGTATAAGGGTTAACTATTTGTGTGTATGATACGATGGAATGGCGGAGGACGGGATAGGATGGTATAAGATAGGATAGGGTGTCCCAAATACGTGTTCATTTTCTTCAGATTTGACATACTTGATTCTGGCGATCTGTAAACTGTCCTGTCTCTTTGACACGCATGTTTCTGAGTGAGTGTCATTTCACGAGCAGTGATGGGTTGGTTTGGCTCGACAGAACTGCTGCAGTGTGGAGGGCACCTGCCAGACGTCTCCAGGACACTTGACAGCCAAATGCGGCCATTGATGCCGCACCCTCAATGACTTCTTTTGTCAACTCTTTTCTCAACTCATCGGACCAAGGATCGCCATCCTGTCGTCTCCGACCATATACCATCATCTCTCAACCCCTTGATTTCTTTGATTGTTGACGCGAATACGTGCCCCGTAACATGGTGGACAAATTGAATTGCGACCTCTCATCCCCTTCAACACATGATCCAGCACCGCTCCCGCCAGACAAGCCTCTTCTGCAGAGCACACCACCCAACACCCCGCCTTCTAGCCTTCCAGCCTGCCAGCCTGCCAGCCACGCAAAATGCGCCAAACCTGCATGCAACAACTCCAGCAAAGAGCGGGCACACCACCACCCTCCACGCGACACAGGACAAAGTAGAGTAATCAAGTGGCTCGATATAGTGTGCATATTTCGGGCCTACCAAAGCAGGACAAACTTCAGCTGGCTTACAGGCACACTACCTCCCTGCCTCCGCTTCCCTGGACCCACCCACCCAATAATCCAGACAGCAAGCCGGTGAAGCCTCGAAAAGACTCACGCGCCTGCCGCGGTCTTGCAAAATTGCCTGACTAAACAACAACAACAAGACCTTGACGACAACAGCAACAGCACCCTGACAACAACACCCGCAACGCACACTCACGTCAGCGGCACGTCTGCTGCACGTTGGCCACCACCTCGCCCCCTCCCGCACATGTACATGTGATCCTGATCCTGCCGACCCACGGAGCCTCACACATTGTGCATCGCGTAGCGCGGCTCCGGATCCTTTGTCAAGTGCTTCTGGAAGCTCAGGGGGGGATGTTGGGCGGGCCATGCAACACGCGCCGGCCAGCCCCACGCAACGCAACGCAACGCGACGCAGGGTCCGCTCCACCGATCGGCGCAGGCATCTTCTGCGTTGGATGATCTGAGCCGTGGGTAGCGAGGGGACGTTGGCGCGAAGCGGGCTGGGGACGAGGGGAAGGACGCCGATGACGGAGGGGAGGACGCGGCTGAGGTGGGTTGGGTGCGGACGTCACGTGTGTTTCCATGCCCCGCAATGGTTTGCGCAACGAGACAACGTAGGGCAACCCAGCGCGCGAATATCACACTCATCTAAGAGTACTGTACCACACGTCTAGATTGCGAACATGCAGGTCCCCCTGTTGGCGAACCGCTGTGTGGAAGAAGGAGTTGAGTTGGAGCCGATGCTGCCCGCTCGAGAGGAGAATGGAGCGCGCAAAACGACGTCGAGAGATCTGGGTGGACACAAGGAAAAAGTGAAGAATAAAAAACAAAGCAAAGAAATGCAGAAGTGGTATCTCCCAAGCCGACCGAATCGAACCGAACCCTCCCCATCCAGGAACGCCAAAGCAATGCCGTGTTGTCTCCATGTACCGTCCATTCTGAGTGACTCCCAGCGCACCGCGTCGGTGCATCCGAGTCGCAACGTCCTACGGACACGACAGCCTCCTCCCTCTCACCCCGTCTTCAAGCCCCAGTAGCTTCCCCCGCAGCGCACTCGGCAGCTTTGCCCTCGCCCACGTCTGCAGCGCACACCGCCGCATATACGCCGTCTCCTCGCCCTTCATTCGCAGCTGCCGTTGCGCGAGTTTGCTCTTCCTCAACCTCAGGCCGCGTTCCTCGGGCCCTACCGCCTTGGCAGGGCCCGTGGGCGACGCCGGCGCGGCCACCAGCGCCTCGAGATCCACGCAGTCCGCAATCAGCGCCTGTATCCCGCCGGACAGCTGTGTCGCGCGCGAGAGGAGGTACGGCCAGTACGTGGGGCCCCAGAAGGGGTCTTGTGCGAGGGCGGCGCGCAGCGCGGGGAGGATGTGCGGGATGGGTGGTAGCGCCGGCGCAGACGTCGTGTCCTGTGGGTGCTGTGGGGGGTCCTCGGTCGCAGGGGAGGAGGCGCGCGAGGAGGATGCCGAGGCGGCGGGGGAGGAGGGGGGAGACGCGAGGGAGGACGTGGAGACGAGGGATGCGGCGATGGTGAGGCGGATGTGGGATTCGGTGGAGAGGGTCAGGGTCGTTATGCATGCTGTGACACGCTTATTGTTAGCATTCCTCCATCAGGTGGTTTGGGATTGTAGGATACGGACCAGGACACCCCCGAGTGCGGCACCAATCTGCCTCCTCGCCCGTCGCGAAGCATTGCAGCCAGACAAACGCGCCACGCGCCTCGCCTGCAAATGCGAGCTCCAGGTCCTCACTCTTGGCCGTGCGCAGCGCAGTGCTGGCGAGCGCCTCTGCGCGGCGCTGCAGCTCCACCACAGGCATGACGAGCGCGTGCAGCAGGTCGCGGTGGAGCAGCCATGTCTCTCGCGTCTGAGAGTCGGACGCGGCGTGGAAGTCGCAGAAGCTGCTTACGCTGTCAGTCGGTGCGCATTGGGGTGTGGTGGGGAGCGAGGTGTGGGGATAGATGGAGAGGTATATCGTACTCAGCGTCGCCAGCCAGACAGCTCCTCAGCAGCACAAACCCATCCGACCCGAGCAGCGCCTGAACATCCTCACGGGGGATCGCAAAGGGGCTCTCGTACAGCCGGTCCATGTGCTCCATGGCGTGCGTGTGCATAAATTAGGATTAACTGGCGCTCTGATACGTGCAGGCCGGACGGCGTGTTCATTGAATCAGTCGGAATGTAGCAAGGAAGGAGCGCGACGAACACGCAGCGGCAGCAAGATGTCGACAGACGAAACGAGACACCAGCAGGGAAAGCAGAGCCAAAGCCAGCGAAATAAGACACGCCGGACACGCGCACAGTCGACGGAGCAGCGCGAGCCAGAGCAGCGGCCCCCCTTCGCTCTTTATGAACGTGCGGATACCCCCTCCTATCCCATCCTCATTTACCCCGACGCGCCTCCCTAGCCCCCCCGTAGCCGGACTCAGCTGCGTCGGCCGCCTCAACCTCGTCGCATCTCGTCAATACTCACGGTGCAGCGCCCAGCATCGCTACGTGGCGCATCCGTGGTAAGCAGTGTGGTGTTTACCGTGCCATGGACAACGCCAGCGACGCCCAGGCCGCTCGTCATTGGCGCCCCGGCACCTCCGCACGCGAGCTGCAGCTTCCCGCGTCTGCGCGTGGGGGAGCGATAAGTAGCTCCACCAGCCATTGCTGGAAATCCGGCTCAAGCTTTGTAGCCACATACACGATGTCTCGTATCCTGGATGCGGTCATGTGAGTGGCGCCAAGCATAGCTGATGTGATGCGCCGGGTCGGACCTCCGGTCCACTGCCGTAGCGCACCCGCCGCCGGAGCTTGGTGAACACGCGAAGGACGCAGCTTGTTCCGCACCGTCGTGGCGCCATGGGTGGCGCGAGATCAATAACGCATCACAGCAGGTTTGATGGGACGCGGTCGGGGCATATGCTCATGTCGTTCGTTGTCACATAGTCTGGCACTTCAACGTACCAGTCGGCGCGTGCCACCAACTCTAATCGTCCCATAAAAAGACCAGGTCGTCCTTCGTAACAGCCTCCCGTAGCTTCTCAAGTCCACCAGCTCAACCACCAGCTCAATCACCAGCTCAATCACCAGCTCAATGGCCCTACCGTCTCGGTCTGGGACGGTTCCTCTAACGCTCGCGGCGGACACGCCCGCTGCAACGGCTTGACTTTTGACGCTCTTCAAAGCCTCAAAGCGCTGGACAGATTCGGTGCCCTTCGGTTGGTCTTCCTTCTGTGGAGCCGCGCAATCCGTCGTGCCCCGGGACACTAATTTAGACGGGTTGCCGTTGCGACTCAACGCTCGACCATCACCATCTGCGGAGATGTAGATAGAGTACAAATACACTCTCTGGACCAGGAGAAGCTGACGAGAGAAAGCTACACGGATGGCCGCAGGGCCAAGGCAACATGTCCGGAGTCCACTTATCCAAGGACTGAGGCCCGCAGCCCAACCGAAAGCGTTCGTGTGCCCACACCTCCAGCTGCTAGGCTGTAAGAACCGGGCGTAATTGTAGTGAGCCGAATTTCCGGCCTGTTCACCTCCACCAAAATGCTATTTCCACCAAAACACGGCGCAAGAGCCATCTGTGTTCAGCACACGTCGCATACTGTTGTCGCCCAGCGTTTGCTTCCGTCCAAACGGATCGACGAGCAAAGCAGACAGCTTCTCTGAGATGGGTCCCATTTCTGCCTTCGACACTGGGATGGGCGGGCTGAGCGTGTTGGGGTCTCCTTGCAGGAGGGCGTAGATGCTGGTTTTGGCGCGGCCCATCATCCGATGGTGGATGTCGCGGAGCGTGTCATACAGAGGCCATAGAATGTCGAGATAACGGGCGGCTATGGGCTCTGTAGAACGGCACGTCTCGAGCATGTCCATGCAGGCTTTGCTGTATGCGAGATCCTGCTCAACAGTATCGGCCTGGCCTTCGAGGAGCTTGGTCGTGGCGCTGTAGAGGAGGACGATGCACGCTGTGAAAGCCCAGTAGATGATCAGCCAGCAGCGCTTTGTCAAGGTGCCATCGAACGAGATTAGGCGCAGAATCCGAGCTACCTGCTGGCCTGCTAGAGCGCACTCATTTCGATACCTCTTCGCGTCTTCAATGGACAGGTTAAGATCCCATGCCGCGCCATCCGTGAGCTGCACCTCGGCCGTTGCAACCAGCAGCTGCCGATACAGCAAGATCACGGCACCGAGATACATGATCTGAGAGTGGGTTAGTAGGGTACAAGCACGTGGCATTGCATCTACTTACATGCACCATCAATATGGCCCGCCTCTGGTACAATGTCATGGGCGGTGGGTTGGGCGCCGTCAACGAACCGATGCTCAGCATCTGCGGAACTTCAGAGCGCCACGTCTCGAGCTGATCGGCAAGAGTCTGAATGGTGGTTCTGGTGACTGCTTCCGGAGATGAAAGCGCTTTTGAGATATCGGCCGCGATCAGTCCGATCCTGCTTGTTTGCACATGGATTTGCTCATCAAGGGTCGAATCCATGCAAGGGGCAGGGCAGGCCAGCTGGCACATGTCAGTTTTGGGATCGACCGCCGCTTGTTAATCGCTTTCGACTTACAGCTACGTCTTGTGATGTGACTTCGGAGGTGTAGCCAAGAGTATAGGAGAGCCAGCAGTCCATGAAGATCAAACTACGGAACAGTCGCCGCCAATTGACATCGGCTGCGGGATCGCTGGTCTCTTTCGCCATTGCTGGATATTTCCAGCGGGCGATCTGCAATGCGGCCACTAAAATAAGGTGAGCAACTTCTAACAAACAGCGCTAATGAGCAAGTCTTACCTAGCACATATCGCGCACTCATGTGCTTCTCCAGCAGCGCGTAAAAAGCTGTTGCCAGCAGCAGACGCATAGTGCGCAAGTAGTCTAATCGCGCAGTCTTCTCGTTGAAACACAGGGTACCAGAAGCGTAGAGCACGCGTCGAATCCGATCCGGAAAGCAATCCATATCGTAGTGGGCACCCATTGCTGCAACGGTGAAGCATTCTGCTAGAGTCATGGCATCGACAGGCTGCTGCGGTCTGTAGATGCGGTCCAGAATCTCGTCCACCTGTGCGTAGGACCACATATACAGAAGTGACCCCGTGCCCTGGACGAAAGCATACATTGCTTTTCTGACGAGTTGTTCAGATGGTAGGTGTTGCGCGTCGTACGGCCGAACGCTTTGACCAAGGATCTCGCCTCGGAGGGATACGAGCTCACTGAATGCCAGGGTGAGGGCATTGTGGCAAACTTCGGCTTCCATGCTCAAGGGCGTGGCCGGAGAAGTGAGTGAGGTTGCAGGACTTTCTGATGAAGCTGACGGACTGGCCCTCGAACATTCATGGTGTGGCGTATACGAGGATGAAGTCGTCGTTCGACTTTGGCTTGGGCGTGTCGATGAGGATCCTTTGCTCGCCATATGTTGCTGACTCCTGAAATCGATCAAGTAGGCCTGATGCTTGCGCCAGCTTTCCGTCTTTTTATACTCGTCCATTTGAGCTTCGTACTCTTGCATGGCACGTGCAGCGTGACTTTCCCAAATTCGCTTTTGCTCCGGGGGAAGGTGCTGCCATCGTCGACCCACTTCTCTTGCAATGTCCACAAAGGAGAGGATGCTAATGTCGGGCTCCGTGCGGAGGTGGTCGGCGAAGTTCACGTCTACATATGATTAAGCTATGGTTGGATTTTCGTTGATGAAGAATTGCATACAGGCTGTCTTTGGCTTCTTCGGCGCGTTGCTGTCGGCTCGTGGATGGCGTCGATACCTCCTCTTTTCTCGCGGTGGTGGAGTCTGAGTTTGCCTGGTTAAAGTTTCGAGGGCGGAGGTGGAAAGCGCAGGCTGGTCGGAAGCATTGCTCTCGTCCAGAGCCAGTGTGGATGGCACTCCACGAAACGTTGCGATCTCGCGCTGTAGGGACCGCCGATGTCCAAGTTTGAAGTTCAAGGCGGTCAGGTCTTCCTCGGTGATGTCGAGGACTGTCTCCCAGTTGTGGAAACCATTCTCTGTGAGCGCATCCAGGTAGGAAGTCAACCCCAGACGTTCCAAGACGTCTGGGAGCATAGGAAGAGATGGGGAAGGGATCGACATGGGCGCCGGTGTAGCGTGAAGCCACGGGGGCATGCAGCGTACATATGTGAGGGTGGACCAAACATGGTGGGTGCACGAGACCCTACATGGGAAGACCCGAGGAGGGAGACGCCGGGCCACTCAGATGGCGATGAAAGAGGAAGCGCACATTAGCGGTGGGCTGATGTCGACCGTCCGGACGGCAGTCTAGACCCTCGCCATGCAGCGCCAAGCTTCCGCTACCAGAAGCTTGATCTTGTAGCGCGCAAATTGTGGCAAGCGCCAGTGAATTGACGCGCTGCACATAGACATCTGGAGCGTTCGAGCATCGAGCATCGACAACCACGGCGTTTGCGCTGCCACAGGCAGCATCGACCCACGCATTCTGTTTTTCTCTGTCGCGTGCTTCGCCGATGGTGGTTCGGCGGCGGTCCGGATCCACGCTTGAGCGCTGCAAGGCACATGCACGCCCGCCAGCAGCCAACACCGCCCGGCCCAGGCTTGCTCAGACGTGTTCGCGCACTATGCGGCCAGGCAGGCTGGGGTTCGGGCGCCGCGGCCTGCCAAGCGCGCTCTCACGCTACCGTTGCCATGCGCTTGATTGCCCCAACCCCACCACAACTTCGTGATCTCGAGGAAACGGTCCCACCGCGTCACGATCGCAGGGCTTCATGTGGCTGCGACGCCCTCATGGCCAACTACCAACGCGGGAGAGATCTTGTTTGGTGGGCCCCGATCGGACAAACTCAAATTCCTGGCGGTCCCTGAGTCAACGCCGCCTCCACACAACCCTATGGCAAAGTCGCCCATCTCGATGCGATTCGGAAATCTAGTGCCCATCGGATTCGAGCCCTTCGTGGCGCTAGCCTGTTTCAGCCACCATGCGAATTCGCATGGTAGCCGCTGCATGGCATTCACTTAAAAGCATGCTGACAGAAGAAGACCGCGAATCCAGACCGGCTCCTTGCGTGGAAACTGACGGCGCGCTTAGCGGCCTAGACGGAGGTTTTGCGCCTGGCACATAACATAGCCTTGCTTCCCGTGTTGGCATCTCCAAACCAACAATAATCACCATGTCGTGCCGCGAACACGAGATGCCACAACATGCCGTTCGTTGCGGGACCTGACGAATCGAGTGTCCCAACCCGGGCTGCCGTGATCCGAGAAACAACAGACTAATCATTAGATTTGCAAGGCCATGCAGCCTGTCATGATTCTGCAACTGTTCTTTGATTTCGCTTGCGTCCGCGCGCCTCCCCAACAGCTTGGCAATGTGCCAGCATGTTACCTAACTGCAAGACTATTTTCATGATGCTTTAGCCTCTTCTGGGCACCATGGCAATCCAGTATCGGTAGCTAGCGACTAGCGACGCGTTTCCCTGCCGAGCCAATCACACTCTGCATGGACTACACAGAGACTGTGGCTGACCTATTTGGATTAACATCACCTAATAATGTACTCGCGTACGCTACTGTCTCGGACAGAGACCGATCCCTTGTAGATCAAGATGCCCAAGGACAGTCCATCTACTGACCGCCTCTTTGGGACATGCTCTAGGGGAAACAAGGAATACGTCGTATTCTGACGGGTGTTCGCCATCCTTCAGTCGAGATTACGTTGTCACCTCTGTAGCACTACGAAAGCCTTTCTCAAACCGTCAGTACTTGGCGCGTCATGTGATCCGTACTAATCCGTCATGCGAAATCCGACCTTCGCCATTACTTCAACCTGAAGGGTGGCGCAGCACTGGGGCGAGTGATGACTGAAAAAGGGGGTTCTAGAAGACCTGTGCTACTTGTTGGAAATGACCTCGGTAAGTTCATTCCTCTGCTGCCCAACAGTCAGCGATAGGTGAGACGGTCCAATCTAGAGTTGCGGAAAGAATTGGTCAAACCTCTTGTATCTGCTTGCTCTACACCTTCTTACGCTGCCGTGACGGCGACTAGTACAGCAACTCTTAGAGTAACTTTGAAGCCAGCATCAAGTGTTGACTCCAGTACGACGAGGCGTCGTTCCGTCGCAAAAGCGACATCCAAGAACGATGGAGAGGAAGTATTAATGGTGGAACGCGAGCTCCATGGAACTAGTCGTTGACATCTGTCGGATTCACATCTCACACCTTGCCATGCCAGCTGACAAACTTGTCCTGAAGGAACTCCTCTATACCCCATTTCCCATTCTGCCGACCAAATCCAGATCCCTTGACACCGCCCTGGCTCGCTGTCGGACTCGTATACACGCTTATGCTGTTGATATGGACCTGCCCATATTCCAACTCCCGCGACATCTTTAAAGCACGTTCCATATTGGTCGACCAGATGGTAGCATTCAGACCGTAGACAGACCGATTCGCCAGCTCTATGACAGCATCGTCGGAGGACACAATGTATAGCGAGGTGGAGGGACCGAACGTCTCTTCGTCGACGATGCGGGAGGTTGAAGGGTTCAGGACGATGGTCGGCCGGAGCCTAATGTCTGAGTCGGACGGACCGCCCATGAGAAAGTTTTCGCCTGCCCTCTCTGCGTCGCGAAGCACATCGTTCGCATGCTTCCCGATCGAAGCGCTGACAGCACAGCCCGCGTGGCTGCCGGCGCTCTCCATTGCTTTGATTAGCAGCTGCTGGAATCTCTCCGCCACAGCTGCGTGCACGATGATGCGCTCTGTCGAGAAGCAGATTTGACCATGGTTGACCACGGCTCCCATCGCAGCAAGCTTCGCGGCTTCTTCGAGATCTGCATCGTCCAACACAATCGCCGGGCCTTTCCCACCCAACTCCATCAATACAGGCTTCAGGTGTTTTGCAGCTACTTGTCCAATGATCCTCCCCACTGCAGCACTCCCGATGAACTCGACTTTTCGAATCGCCTCGTGCGCAATGATGGCCTCCGTCACTTCAGCTGCGTCCTCTCTCCTTGTCTGTATCTGATTCAGCACGCCCTTAGGCAGGCCCGACTCGATGAACGCCCGCGTGATCATATAGTGTGTCAAAGGACTCAATTCGCTCGCCTTGAACACGACTGTACACCCGGCTGCAATCGCGCTGGCAACACCCCTCGTCGCCAAGATCAGCGCTGCATTCCAGGGCGCAATACACAACACCGGTCCCACAGGCTCCTTGAACACGAAGCCTATGGCGCCCGGCTTCTCCAGCTGTGGAATCGTGCCGTTGACACTACTGATGACCGCAGCTATTTCTCGCAGATATCGACATGCCAACTCGAGGTTCTGCTTGGCCCAAGCTTCTTCGCACGACGTTTCGATCATCTGGCTCTTGATGAAGGTGTCGGCGTTTTCCTCGTAGTGGGCGGCGACTTTGAGAATGAGCTCGCGGCGTATGACGTGGTTGGTGTTGCGCCATGATTTGAATGCTGCTTTGGACGAGGCGACGGCGCGGAGGGCTTCTGCGGTGGTTGCGGAGACAACCTGGTGGACTGTCTTCCCGGTTGAGCCCTGAACTACGGGAAACGTGGCGAGGGACTCGCGAAGGGCTTCGCCGTCTATCCAGAGCGGGACGGTGTAATCTTCCGAGAGTGAAGACATGGTGGAGACGGCAACCGTAAGGTTGTGGTTCTCTTCGCGCTTGAATGAGAAGATAGTTTTGTAGAGTGAAACACCATGAAGTTCATGTGTAGGTCTTCGCCGTACCTCGCGCCGACACGGCTGCGGGAGAGCGTTGGTGGGGTCATGGTAAACTGTCAGCGAACCACGAACAAGAAGCGCCGCGGAGGTTCAACGGCGGCGGGGATTTTCGGCAGTTCCGTACAAGAAGTCGCAAGTGTTCCTTCGATGCTATTTCCGCTGTTACGTCCGGTTCGGTTATCGTGGAGCTTGCTCGCACGCGAAGAATAAGTTTGATATTTGCCCTACTGTAGCTCATCACCAGCTGGATTCGCTAATGCTCGAGTGAAAGTGCAAAAACCCTGTATTTTATATTGGGTGGACGCTGGAAGTACGTCCTGCATCATGCCGGAGGATGGTATCGACCCAAAGACCAGCGCGTTTCGCGGAGCTAGAACCTTGGTATGTAGATTACCAAGCGCTTCGTTTCAGAGTTATTCATATCCCGAATCGAAATCCTGGCGCGCGTCTTCCAATTGACGCTTGTGACATCACTTTAGCCTGCCTCAACGTGTTTTGACGTTATCATCGCAGGTATTAAGCGTGCGTGGGGCAACGCGTGGGTGCCAACGCGTGGTACGATGACCACAGAAGACTTTCCATGCAAATATATTCGAACCCACAAAATTTCAACGGTTTTGGGCTGTGACATGATGACGCGACACGTTCACCGACGAAGGGGAGCACATGCCATAATATCTTCGGACGTCCATTCGACACCGCTTGTGGCTCCGCATTGATCGTAAAGACCACGAGATCGAAAGTTCAAGATCAACATGCCCACTGTCAGCTTAATGTCCACGAGACAGACAAATTAGTCAAGCCTGGCATGCGATGCGGCAGCGTCCGCATATTGCCGCCGCACGTTGATTGCGCGAGCCCGCCCCAGCTCGTCATAACCTCGCCGGAATTTTGCGATATGCAGGGAGGCGGGAGCTAAGCAATTTGGCACTGTACTACCGCGTGGTGCCTTACGGAACTAACGATACTTTCACTTTCGCGCAAGGCGCAGGGCCTTGCATGTGAATAAGTCAGATGGAGCAAGGGACAGATTGCGAGGCAGAGATCTAGGCGTCAGATTCCGAGACGGGATTGAAAGCGATACCGCACAGGTACTTGCGTAGAGAGGCAGAAGCGCGAGAGTATATGTGAGCGTTGTTATACTTTAGTGCTGTGCTGACGAGGACTCAAATTGGGTCCACCGCCACTTCACTTCCTCACCCTCTGCCAGCCCACCCTTGTTGACAAACATGCGGTTTTTCATCACTGCAGCGGTTGCTTCGCTTCTACAGACCTGCTTCGCAGCGACTGCGACGGATTGGCGGTCGAGGTCTATCTATCAGGTCTTCACGGATCGGTAAGTTCAACCTTATTATACTAGGGTCCAGCAAATGCGTGGTTCCAATCACAAGGGCACGATACTCTTGTTTTCAGCTTCCACCGCAGTGCTCCATATCGAAGGCTGGCAGACACTATTAGGAGATGGGGACTAGTGTCCGGCATTGATACAGTATCTGACATATGACAGCTTTGCACGAACGGATGGCAACACTGCAGCTCCTTGCAATGTAGCGAACAACCTGTACTGCGGCGGTACCTGGAAAGGCCTGGAGAAGAAGCTGGACTACATAAAGAACATGGGCTTCACAGCTGTAATTTCGATTTCGTCTCATTCACAGTAAGCTCATACTGACCGCGAACGAAAGGTATGGATATCACCCATAACAGCACAGGTGGCCAATGCCTATCATGGTTACTACCAGAATGACCTCTACTCACTCAATACTCATTTCGGCACGGCGCGCGACTTGCGGTCCCTAGCGTCAGCGCTGCACTCAAAAGGCATGTACCTCATGGTCGACATCGTGCCCAACCACATGGCCTTCGCCAGCTGCCCCGACAAAGTCGACTTCCGCCGCTTAAAGACCTTCAACCATCCCGACAAATTCCACAGCTATTGTCCAATCAAGAACACGGGGAACCAGACCGAGCTCGAAGACTGCTGGCTCGGCGACTGCAACATGGCTTTGCCTGACATCAAGACCGACGACCCGTTGGTGGCGCGTGAAATGAACGCTTGGATCAGGTGGCTGGTTTCCGCCCATAACGTCGACGGGCTCCGCATCGACAGCGTCAAGAACGTGAACAAGGCCTTCTTCCCACCGTTCTGCCGCGCCGCGGGTGTATTCTGCATGGGCGAGGTATCCGAGGGCCACGCAAACTACACGTACCCGTATCAGAAACAGATGGACTCTGTGCTGGACTATCCGCTGTACTACTCCATCACCCGCGTGTTTCAACAGAAGAGCAACATGTCGGATTTGGTTGTCGCGCTGGCGTCGTGCACAGATAATCAAGAGACGGGTTGCAAGGACCCGACGCTGCTGGGCGCATTCTTCGAGAACCATGATAACCCGCGCTTTGCAAACGTCACGCAGGATCTCAGCCTGGTGAAGAACGCGCTGACTTTTACCATGCTGGGGGATGGCATACCGATCGTGTATCAAGGTCAGGAACAGAATTTTGCTGGTGGCGACGACCCTTGGTGTCGCGAGGCGCTGTGGTCATCCCAGTGAGTTCATCTACTCATCGAGCCAGACGACGCTAACGTTTGTAGATTCAACACCACATCCCCCCTCTATAAACACACCGCACTCCTCAACAACATCCGCAACCACATCGTCTCCGAGAGTGCCCCTTATCTTAGCTACCAGACCCGCATCCTCGCGTATACTGCGACGGAAATGCAGCTCCGCAAGGGCGCGATCCGCACCGTGCTAAGCAATCAGGGAGAGCATGCACCAACGTGGGCGCTCAAGACGCAGGGAATGGAGTTTGAGAAGGGAAAGACTGTATTCGATGTGTTGAGCTGTGCTAGGTACGGTGTCGATGGTAATGGCGAGGTTGACGTGAATATGAGATCCGGGGAACCGGTTGTGCTGGTCGAGGAGAACGTGCTGCGTGGGAGCGATCTGTGTACATGTGAGCGAGGACGTGGGTCGCCGCGGTATCGTACTGTGTGTGGCGGAGAGCGGGGCACGCATGACTTGTAGGGTGTCTTGTGGCAGGGGCTTCGCAAGAAGAGCGAATTGAAGAAATGCGTATACTAAGATCATGGCTTCCGGCTTGAAGCGTTTGTTTGACCTTATTGAGCGGCATATCTGGGATAGTATATGCAATTGCATTCATGACTTTTGTTAATCGTACTTTCATGATGACACAGAAACTACCCAAAGGCAGAGCTACTCTCGCACGTAGCCGTTAGAATACGAGCAACCAAGTCCTCCAAGAAATCTCATCTCATTTCTTTGAAAAGGTTGTATATGATCATTGTGATCACTCTTTTGTTCGTTCCCAGAAATGCGCTTGCGCTAGACTGCGACTCTCGGCATGGGAAACTCACCCTCTCACGATCAAGCACCACCCTCTTGATTAGAAAGAGGAAAACACCACAATTATACTAGACTATAACGGTCCTACAGTCTAATCAACATCTCTAAATCCTCTATATAATCTATGTCTCGGCTATAGCTAGTTTGTTAGACGACAGCTCTCCGCACAGAACGTTCACACCCTCCCACGACTATGCATAATCTTCCCAACCAGAAGGGATAAAACTTTGCGTGTTTTATCAGGCTACACAACCCTTTTGAGTACAATCCTGCAGGACCATGCTCTCCTTTCGCAAGGCCCACGTCCCAGCACTATCAAAGGCACCATCCCCTTCCTCTCCGCCAAGACATCGACACCCTCCCACGGCTACATCCCCTCCCTCCACCTCGTCCAAGCAAATCTTCATAGGTAATTTCACGCTAGCTTAGCATTTGAGCCCAGCTTCAAGCTTTCCTCACACCACGACATAAACGTATCAGCCACTGGCATCACGACTTCACTGCACCGCCGCTCTCGCGCCGGAACTCCCACACACACACACACACACACACACACACACACACACACACACACACACACACACACACACACACACACACACACACA